CACTTTATACCAGAATATTCTTGAGACAAATCTGAGGCCATCGGTCTTGCAATAACAGGACAATGACCCGAAGCACAACAAAAATAATCAGAAAAATATGGAAACGGCCAAGTCGAAGTTCAGACCTCAACCCCACTGAGATGCCGTGGCGAGAGCTGTGCAGAGACGAATGCCCTCATACAAGTAATGTTGCAAAGAAGAGTGGGCTAAAATTTCTCCAGAACGATGTGAGAGACCGACTAACTCCTACAGAAAATGTTAACTTCAAGTTATTGTTGCAAAAGGGGCAAGATACTGAACCCCGAATTGCCCCTGGTGGCTGTTCCGCCAGTGTATGAATGTGTGTGAATGTTAGTTTCTGTTTGAGCACTTAGGCTCAGTGTATGAATGTGAGTGAATGGTGAATGCAGATGTAGTGTAAAAGCGCTTTGAGTGATCGAAAAGACTAGAAAGGCGCTATACAAATACGGAGCATTTAAAGGTAGGTATACATGGTAGTGAATTAAAGGGTGTACTTATTTTTTCCCCACCTGGTATGTGAATGTTTTTTTCTTTTAGGAAACAATGACTATATATTGAAATCTGTTGGGTTTTTTTTATCATCACCTGAGGTTATTTTTTTGTTTAAATAAGTTACAATAAGGAATGATAGCAAGCAACACAGGTATCTGTTTCAATGTGCAAATGGGAACAGGGCCATTGTTGCATGACAGACGTGAAAAATTATGAACCTATCCTTTAATATAATGGAGAGTGCTTTACGGCGTTAAGTTACAACTGTATACAGTATCTTTGAATACCATAAAACTTTCATTAAAACCCTAGTCCCAGTTGGACCCCTCTCCGCTTTACTGGCCTGGTGTGGCTTCACATTTTGACATATAAACGCAGGTCTCAATTAGAAACCTGGTCTGGTTTTTTATAGAAGTTCTTTGGATGTATGAAACCTCTTGAAGCCCACCAGGCCACCTGCTAGAGCTAGTTCTAAGCTGCTTAGATCATGCAGACTAATATAAATATTATCTTTATATATTGTCAGTATGGACATGCTGCAAATCGATAGATCGGTCACATTCTCCACAATTAAAGTATATCAATATATCTCAAGAGATTGAAAACAATTGTTGTCACTTATCTGTGATTTACAGTGTGTTTGTTTGACAGACTGTTGGGTGTCCTGCTTTTTGTGTATGTGTTGTATGTTTGAAAGAAACACAAGTGTTTAAACTTATTCTAGAGGTTTCCCTGTCCCTTTAGGCTATGGGTGTAATGACTTCTTACTCAACTGTCAGAGCTGGACAAACCTTTTCTATTATTTAAAGCCCGATAACTGGGTGACATCACAACCCCAGCCATATCTCCACCCAACTTCAACGTGTGCAAAGGTCTATCAGCCAGAATAACTGGAAACACTGTGTGGGTGTACAGGCCCTTTAAAATGTGTTTTTTATCTTGCAGTACAAAAGATGAGCTGTCCGTGGTGCTGAAGATTCACCTTGATGCCATGTGTTCTTCAGTTTCACAAGTACACTGTGGGCTTTAACCAAGGTGGTAAGTCACAGCTGAAACAGTGAAGCCAACCAAAGCCTGCTCAGTTCCATGTAGGCCCAAAAATGACGTAGAAACCCTGTGACATCCCGTCACACATGAGAGATGTAACCGTATAGTTTAGATTATAAACTCTCAGTGAATCTAAAAAACTATTCGGCCATCAGTGACGCTGCGTTGGTGTTTGGCAGATGAGCCCTGTAGGTGGGCTGATCAGACAGTGACAATCTGAGTCAGACAAACACACTGTGACTTTTGTATGTGCAGCGCTGTAGCTACCAGAATTGCAGTGTTGCTGCCGTCGCTCTACGTTACTGGCTTCGTCCAGTAATATGCTGTCTATGGCTTGGCCATGCCCACAAATGTTTCAAATTCTACTGGACATCCGAGGTTCAGAAGATCCTAAATGTTAGGTTTACATTTGGGGTAAATGTTTATTAAATGTGTTAGGAGTTTTGCTAGGACATTTGTTTAAAGCACATTTATTTAAAGCACTATACAAGGCATGTATGCCTTAAAAATATGGCTTCTGAGATTTGTGGAAGAAGCAGATTGTAACAAGAAAGAGAAAGTGGCCCTCAGTCACCTTAGTGGTGTTGGTAAAGTTCTCTCGGACCTATAGTTGTTCTTTTTTCCTCCTCCATCCTCTTTCTTTTCCCTCTATTTGTTCAGGGATTAGCTCTCTCAGTGTGATATGAAGCATTTAAAGGGGGAACTACTGATTTTACAAGTCAACGTCAATTTACTTCTTATGGTTAGTGCTATTGAGCATGTGAAAACAGTTATATCTTATGTGTCTCTGGAGATTTGTCAAGTCTAAGAAAGTGATTTGCTTGAGTGACATCACACAATTATTTGTCTCAGATAGACGTCAGAGGTAGGAGAGGAATTTTTTTTGTTTTTGATTGTAATCCCAAAAATGAATGTATCGCATGTTGCCTAAATTCTTCTGAGTTTATTTATAGAATTTATCATAAAAAAGACATTTTCATCACACAAATTGTGGGAGAGTGGCAACAAGGACAGGACCCCAGTGCAGACTGTTGAGAACAACAGGACAATTTCAATGATTTATTGATTCTGAAGTCCTACTTATTTGAAGGTCCAGGTTAAAGTTCAGGTTACAGAAGCTCAAAAGCAAACACACGAGGTGCAGAACTAACACTGCAATTGGGACGAACTGACAGAAGAGCAAAGGAAGTGGATTGGTATATGTAGAAAGCGGCTAATAAGTGAATGAGATGCAGGTGAGGTGGTGGGTGGGGAAGGCAGCCAATTGCAGAGCAGATGAGGGAAGGGGGAACAGGGGTGAGTTTAGCGCCGACAAAATGTAACGTTTTTTTCAATGGAAACGGTGGCGCCTCAAGCACCCTGTTGTGTACGCAAGCCCACTGCATTTCCCTGCCTTTTTAACACCGTTGTGTAACGTTGCACAACGTTGCAAGGAAACATGGCCTTCAATCCCAAAAACGTTGCGAACCTGTGCAAAACGTTTTGAGATTGAACTCGCCCCAGGTGTGGAGATGGGTGGGGCAGACAAGTGATGGGGAAATGAGGGAAATGAGGGAAAGTCAGAGGGCAGCTGGTTGATGGAGGGAAAAGGCAATGGGGGGCCTGGGGAAACAGAAAAATGCCAGGAGAGGAGGGACATGGAGACTGTGACACCACTCTGTTTCAGTAGCCACGAGGTTTAATGTCGAAGCTCCACTGAAACATCAGGAACCAAATCTGAAAAGATCTTGACTTTGATCTGACCAAAATTAAATGTGATCTATTTATGCTTTGTTGGTCCCTGGACCCCACGGACACAGACTAACACCCCTGAGAGCTTCAGCAGCCAAATGTGCACTGTGGCACACTCCTCATGGGGGTGTGCTGTTGCTGAGTTGTTGTCACTTGGGTGTTTATCTGCCAGACAGCCTTCATCTAACGTGTCACAAAACCCTGCACACATTCCCTCCTGTCTAACATAGCTGCAGTTTTCACATTTTGTCACAGTGCCTATATTTGAGCTTGACTATGGTTGTGTATTTCTAAAAACAGCCAGAGAGCTGTCTGTCTGCATGGAAATGGTTTTGGTTGGTGTGGCAGAATGGGCCAGTCAGTGGCCTTCTTGTGTCAACTCCCCTCCGACATTAGACCAGGTCTGATAAGGTTTGTTGATGAGGAAGCCAATCTAATAAGGCTTTTACCGGCATATAGTTACACAGACATTGAGTGGGAATGTTAAAATGTTTTATGCTCCACACAATCATGGGCAGTGGACAGTGAAGGAGAAATATTCACTAAGATCATTTACTTAAGTAATATCAGCAATACCACATTGTTACTATATTTCATTACAAGTACAAATCTTCCATTGGACAATACTCCTCTTCTCAGATTTTTTATTATCATATATTTTATATTTACTTATTTATTTTATTATTTCTCTTTGTCTCTCTCCTCTCTCTCTTTTCTCCTTCATTTCTTATCATTTTACCCTTTGTCTGTTAGTTGAACTACTTATTTCTTCTGTTTGTTTGATAATGTTGTAAGAATACAATGTTTTACATTTTAACATGCTTTATTTTATTTCTCATTTACCTATAAACATGAGTATAAGTGGATGTACAGTGCGTGTGTGCATCTATGTATGTGTGTATATAGCTATGTGTAGTCGTAGCAGGTGTGTAATAATACAACTAGCCTATATGCAATCTCCTGTGGCTCAATTTTTTTAAAAACTAAATTAAATTCATGATTTTTCCTTCTAGAAAATTTAAGTTTAGAAACTACTAAGAATATTCTTACTGTATTGACTGCTTTTTTTTCAGTTTTTTTAAAGAAAGTAATGGTGGCTTTATGGACTCAGACAATAGCATGAAAATAATGTTTTTAAGAGTTAAAGTTAAATGTTTCCATCTGAAATATAATGAAGTAGAAGTAAACTAGCATAAATATATATGTTAAGAACGAGTAGGGTCTACCTCTGTATACAGTAAATAGCCTACTTAGTCATTTACACCGTCTACTAGTGTTCCTTATAGTCAAAAATAAAATAGGCCTAATTACTTATTTAATGTTATAAGAAGAGATTATCTATGATTAGTTAAAGTGTATTCATGCACATGATTCATTGCAGAATTATAAAAAGCTGATGTTTTGTTAGAGTATTTATGGTCATATTTAATGAAATCATTTTACATCAACGACCTCTATTGGTCCGCGAACCCCAGCTTGAACCCCAACCGTGTGGCCTAGACAGTGGTTAGTAATGTCTCTGGTCCTTTTTAGATACCCGTCTTTAGGCTTCACGTCGCGGTGAACTGGAATGTCTGGAGCGCTTCCGTGTCATCAGAGTGTCTGTCTACCCAGAGCCTTGCGCGCTGCACCATCTCTGCCTGAAGGACTGAGGAATCCGGGTTGGGGGGGGCGGGGGGGCTCCATCGCTGCCGTTTCTTTTCTGCCAGACACCGAATGTGAACTTAAACCGGCGGGTTCAGCTATGAAGACTGAGCAAAGTTGTGTGGAGACACCGGCCACTCTCCGGGGGGCCAAAGATCTGCTCCAAAAGCTAGCGCCCGGCGAAGAGGTTGCCCTGGAGAAGCAAGTCGACAGCAAATACGTCGATTTGGAGTTAATGGACGTGAACACATGCGGGGTAAAACCGGAGAAAGACTGTCCCTTTGGTGAAAAAGACCAAATGTCTGTCCTTTTTAACAGTAGCGGCACCGGAGCTCTGCGCGCACCGGCACCAAACCACGAGCTGGCCATTACTGGCGAGACTGAAACTAAACAGAAAGGGGGTTCGGAAATTGGGAATTGTGCAGAAGATGTCAAGGAGAGGCCCTCTGATCCATCCTCGTCATCAGATCGTCCTTATCTTCACGCAAAGTCAGACAATTGCCTCAAATCAGGAGACAAAATCGAACCCGCCGTAACGCAGCCCGGGGTGCCAAATAAAGAAGACAACAAAGCCACACCCAGCGACCAGGAATTACACTGTAGTGATAATTATCTGAGCGGGAGAAGTGAGTCGGATGATTATGAGGAAGATGATGATGTTAGTTTGGTGCTTTCCGACGACTCCGTCCCGTGCGTAACGGAGGATGAGTCCCATTACATTACCACGCACGAGATCCAGCTCTCGGAGCTTTCTGACCATGAGGGGGACTACGACGTGGGCTCCTCCGCCAGCTGGGACATTGAGGACGACAACCAGGTGTACTCTTTTGTCGATTATGCTTCTTTTGGCGGTGATGGAGCGGCGCAGGAGAGGGGGGACCGGGGCGCAGCAGCAGCAGCAGCAGTCAGCACTCTGCTTGAAAGTGATCTGTGCGATGCGGCCAAGTTCACCAGCTCAGATGAGAGTGTGTTAAAGTCCCAGCAGCAGTGCAGTGGCAACAGTGCGGGACAGATCCACCTGTCAATCAGAACCACTTCTCGAGCTATAAATGACCCTAGCAACATCCAAGAGCAGGGAAATATTCTTTATCATGCCAGGCGCTCTGGAGACATGAGTCGCTATGTGTTTAGGGGAGTTGATGGGAAGGCAGAGACGTTGTGTGACAGGGCAAAGTGTTTCATAGCTGCGCCCGGACGCTTGCACTTTGGCCGCAAATTGAGGGGTAAAGAGGTCACCGGGTGTTCCAGCGGTGCGTCCAGCGCTGTCAGCGAGCTGGACGACGCTGACAAGGAGGTGCGCAACTTGACAGCCAGAACCTTCAAGAGCCTGGCTTATCCTTACTTTGATGCCATTAATTTCAGCGCATCCAGTGAGTCCTCTGCATCAGAGCATGGGATAGGGATAAACAGATGGTCCACGTTTGTCGACCTGAAATATGGCAATATGAATATGTCACAGGGACTGGACCAACGTTTTGTTTCCCATAAAAACTCAACGGCCTCATTTGAAATAGCCAAAAATATAGACAATAGAGGTTATAAGGACATTACACTGGCAAGCATCAAACCGCCCACCAGCAAGATCTTCACTCTGAATGGGAATCCCCACAGCGCATCGACATCTACAAAGAAAATAGAGCTGATGGGGAAATTCAGTCAGGGCCAGAGTGGGGTCATTAGACTAACAGAGACTCTGAATTTTCGTTGCAATGTCAAATCGGGAATGTCTGGGGGAGAAAGGCGCACCAACTTTGCACAAAACGCCACAGGATCACGTTCCACAGATGAAGTTACAGTTAACAGTTTGCCAAGCGGCCAGAGGAGAGGGGCCAGCAAGCCGCCCTGTAAAACCATGGAAGACGCACACAAGAAAGCCATATTCGCCTCGAGTCTGATCAAAAATGTGATTTCTAAGAAGATGCAGTTCGAGCAGGAGCGCAAGATGGAAAGAGGGGAGATAAGTGAGCCGCATCCGACGTCTTCTCCGTGCTTTGTACACCAGGAGAGCGACAGCCACGGGGGGAATAGGAGCCGGGAGCTGCACAGACAGAGCTCCAAATTTTCCGAGAGCAGCTCTGACTACGCCATAATGTGCGTGGATGAATTAGGGGACATCGTGGACAGCGGCTCATGTGATACCAAGAGCGACTCTCGGAGAGGAGACACGGCCGCCCCCGCATCAGAAACTAATTTGGAACAGGCAAATGAAGCTGGAATCAATACTAAAAAAGGCACATTGGAAGCGTCTAAAAGCACGCTGCTTCGCAGCCAAAATAGCGCGTTCAGATGCTGGAAGGACGAGGAGCTAGAGTTTCAAAAGGATCATAAAAACGATGAAACTCTGGAGGGGAAGTCGCCTTCAGCTAACGACAAAGAGAGCGAGGGGGATCAGTACTCATCGGGCAGAGGCAAACTGACTAAAATGTCACATTTGTTTGTGCCAAGCATCCAACTGCTGGCCAGTGACGGAGAAGTCGGACAGCAGCTGCAGAACAGCAACTATTCCCCATGTGGAGATGGAGGAGGGACACAACTGCGCTCCGACAACACTTTATACATCGAAGACTCCAGAAGGGTGGCTACATCTAAATCTCCGGAAATTAAAATTAACTTAAGGAGCGTCAGAGACAATAAAAAGGAGCCTTTTGGCGTCTCCAAACTGCGCGCTCCTAATATAGGCTGTAACACAGCCAGCCTCATCAGAACAGATGACTTCAAATGCCAGGCGCTGGCTGCAGCTTTAAAGGGTGAGTCTTCAGATAAAGTGCCGCATTTCATGGTTAGAGACATTAGAGATCACAAAGGGAAGCTGCAGACGCCCATACACCAAGTCAGAGATGTGCGCAAACTTGTGAAAAGCTCCTATCACTTTGTTTCTTTGGATAACAACGAAAATAAAACCAACGTTGCCTCTGCTGACAGCCATTCAGAGCAAAAGAAGCAAATGCCCTATCGAAATCCCAATTCCGTGTCCCCTATAGTGATAAAATGTCAGTCTGTGAATACAAACAGTAACGGAAAACAGTTATCAGAGTTATCTAGACGGGAGTCGTTAGACATAGACAGATCGTCTCCGGAGGGCACTAAAAGTGCTCCTCTGCAAAGGGCAGCAGGGAGAGCACCCATAGGTAACTCAAATAATTCATCAGAGGGAAGCATTGGATTGAGAACAGAAAGCAGGATAGCTTCAAAGAAGCAAGAGATAACATCAGATATCTCAGATAAGAAACCTGAATCAAAGATGGCGAACCAGGTTGCTTTGGAAAAACTCCAGGCAGCTGTGAAAACCATGGAGCAGCTCTATGTATTTGAAAGAAATGAATGGAAGAGGAAGAATGAGCCCCAGCGCCTGACAGACAGCCATGTGCTTTCACTGATAGCCAGCGATGAACATGGAGGACCTGAGGAGGAAGGAGCGAGAGCGTGCAACATGGACAAGACGGTCAGAAGAGACTCCTATCCTAACACTGACAAGACGCCACCAGCAGTAGCAGTGTCACCCGGTAATGCCATCCTGCTGAGGCGAGAGGACAAAATCTTTCAGACTCCCGGCAGCCGTGATGACAGGCAGGTTGCTAAGTCACTGCAAGCCACCAGCACCACGGGGAACAAGAACATGTTCAACCTCAGCTCTAGCTTTAAGGCCCCCGCAACCGCAAAGACGCCCCAGCCAAACAGCGTCACACAAACACCTTTCAGCACCAAAAGCTTCACCCCAAAGTCCCCCAAAGTGCCTGTGCCCTTAAATATCAGCCAGAGGAAGCTTAGTGGTCATGAGGGAGCTGAATCAAAGGAGGTAGAGAGGTCCACGCAGGAGCTCTTTAGCGCCTCAGCTGACAACGAGAACTACCTAACCATTCCGGTCAAGTCTCACGCCAGCAGCAACAAACAAGCCTCATCTGCTGAACAAACATCAGCGTACACATGTAGCACCCAGACACACCTAACCACACCATCAAGCCACTTGGGATCCGGCAGCAGAGGCCAGGAAGTCCACAACCAGTCCCCTAAACGCTCCAGCATTGTGATGGAGACACACTCACCAGACATCCCTCCTGCCACCATCTACCACTCCTTTCCGTTGGGCATGTCCACCAATCAGCCTCAGGTGTATTGCTTCTCCCCAGCTATCACCCCTGCTCCCACCCTGGACCCCTTCCAGGCCACCCAGAGGAAGATGCTCCTCGATCCCACCACTGGAAACTATTACATGGTGGACACTCCGGTGCAGCCAGCCACCAAGCGCCTCTTTGACCCCGAAACAGGCCAGTATGTGGACGTGCCTATGCCGCAACCTCCTATGACCCCGGTGCCCATGCCGATCTCACCTTTGGCCCTCAGCCCTGGAGCATACGGACACACCTATATGATCTACCCAGGCTTCATGCCGACACCATCCGTGATCCCGGCCCGGACGCTGGTGCAGTCGCAGATGTCGGTGCACTCCGAGGTGGAGAGTGGCGAGAGAGGCTCGTCGCAGCAGACTGAGGGCATGTACATGGAGAGTCCCTTTTACATGGCCACTGGAAAGTCTCCCCAGGCGGCTCAACAGCAGGCCACTGCCCACAGGCCGCCACAGGGCTTCTCCAGCGTCAAGCAGCCGGTCATCAGCATCACCTCCCAGCAGGGGCCCAGGATCATCGCCCCGCCCTCCTTTGACGGGACCACCATGAGCTTCGTGGTGGAGCACAGATGAATGGAAGCTTACCTGGACAGGTGAGTTGTTATAACTATAAATATCCAAAGACAAAAGAAAAACTGACATGAACGCTCATTAAAGGTTGTCTCAGTGGTATGCACACAGGGAGGATGTTAAGTGGGCACCGTTTCTTTTGAAACCCTTATTTTAATGGGATGTACAGTATATATGATCTAAGGGGACACATCTTTTTTTTTTAATGTCAACCGAGCACGAGACTTGAGCAGTCTGACTACCATTCTGGCTGGCCAGGTACCCCTCCAGTCTGTCAAAGTGCCAGTGGTAGCCAAAATTCTCTGCTTAGCATCAAAGGTCGTTCTGGTGAACCTGTGTTTTACAGAAAGGTTCCCTGCTTCTTAGAAGGTCTGAGCATACAACAGGATGCTAATATTATAAATGTTAGGGCTTCTCATGCTATTGCTAGGATCTCAACTACTACCAAAACTATGATGATTGCAAAAGAATGAGGACCAATTCGTATGGAGACCTAAAGTGCTCAAAATTACACACATTGTCTAAAAAAACAAAAAATGTGGGATTATGAAATACATATGTTATTGATTTTTGGCAGTGTGGTAAAAATGGCCTCATGAGATAAAAAGTCATGTTTTGGACTACAATAAAAATGACTTGCAGTGATCTGTGTTGTTGAGAAAAGCAGGATGGAATAACAATTTATAAGATTTTCAATTTATTTTATTTACATAGCGCCAATAGCGAGCCGAGTTTTAAAAATATATACATTGTTAGCTAATTTATTTTATGTCTGTATGTATTTATATTATTTATTTCACAATGTCTTATTTATTTATTTTGATCCCTTTGTGTTCCGTAGAGGCTTTCATCTAACCTCATAAACGCTCTAGTACGTAATGGTTTGGTGGGGACAATTTTATATCTACCCTAAAGGCAACTTAGTCACAATGCATTTATTAATGTTCAAGTATCATGCCAATTGTATAAGGTCATTACGCACCCAGTGGGTAGTGTTTTTATGTCTTTTAAAGCTTTCTAATCTAATAATCTACTAGGATTCAACAGGCATAAAATATGAAGAGACAAGATGTGATTGTAATGTTTGCAAGTAATTCAGCAAGCAAGCTAGTTGTGATATCACAGCAGAGATACAGAGGATTATACTGATATAAGACTCTTCATGGGCTAGGTGTTTGAATGTGTGTGTGGCATGGTGGACATGCACTGTGTGCAGCAGTAAAAGGTCAGGTGGTGGCAGGAGTTTGTTATGTGTGTACATTGACTGCTTCAGCTGCTGCTGGACATCAAGAGGCTGCCTGGCAGGTCAGAGTCGCAGCAGGGTCAGCCGGCTTTTTATAGGACCAGTCATTTTAAGAGAGAGAGAGTGAGAAGGTTCACTGATCAGTAAACACAACATGAAACATAGCAGCAGATAGCAATGTGGATGAACATTTGGAGTTCCCCTTCTCATCTGAGAAGGACACCCACATATTGGAGGGCTCAGTTATGTTTATAAAGTAAACAGATAGTCTCTAGCCTGATGGTTATAGAAGCCCTGAAAGTCAAGTGAGAAAAGCTAATTGCAGTGATCCATTTTCTAAGTCTGATTTAAATATGTTTTTCTCCTGTGTTTATGACTTGGCTTTTGCCAGGATACTTTCTCTTATTGTTTTTTTTTTCATCTGTGAGGGGGGGGGGGAGTACATTTTGTGTTTATTGTTGTAATACACATTTTGGACACAAGAGGCAAAATATGTGTAAAATATAATATATGCCTTGGATTTAGAATGCATGGATAAATTACAACTCACCTTACGAAATGTTAGCAGGCTACACACATCCTGATGTTAGCATTATGAGCATGTTAGCATGCTGATGTTAGCATTATGAGCATGTTAGCATGCTGATGTTAGCATTTAGCTGAAAGCTTTACTGTGCCCAAGTACAGCCCTGCAGAACTGCTAGCATGGCTATAGACCTTTATTGTTGTTAAGCTTTTACCAGTCACCTCTCTTTTGTTTTCAAGATGTGTTTTTTCCACTGTTTATTATATATATATTATATTTTTTATATATTTTTACCAGTGGTTGTGTTATTTTACCAATTATGTGGTTAGCTGTTGTCTGGCTGAAAGCAATTTAATTTGAGGTTTACTTAAGGTTTGGTTTCTGAAAGAATTATGACTGCTGTGATCAATATTTTTCAAGGAATGCAAACCACCATACAGTATCTTATTGTTTGATAAGAATTTATTTGTTAAAAGTGAATTTGCTGGTTCATATCTCATTAGACTTTCTCCCTGTCTGTCATTTTTATGACAGGGTCATAAAAAATCTGTAATAATATCTTAACCGTCATTTTAATTGAATTTGTTTAATGATATAGCCTATTTAATAGCACTAGTGCGTCTAGTGTGTCACATGGTCCCATTTTTATTCAAAATGTTCGTCTCACATTGGTTTCACTTACAGCAGTGGCCAGCAAGAGCAGCCCCGCGGGCCAAATGAAATATATAAATGAATGAATAAATGAATACTTTGACAGCAGCTGGTGCTGAAATAGATCTCAGTCATGGCAGCAACAGTTACTCACATAATCACTTCCTCTTAAGATTGTGCCTGCAAAATAAAAACCAGAGAAAGTTTTTTGTAGCAATGCTTTATTTTGAGTTGAATTGAGAGCTTTTACTTTGAAAAGTTTGATGGATGTGGATCAGTCGCACACACTCCAGCACATGCTTTCTTGTGAGCATGTGAAACAGTCTCTTCAAAGTTAATTTGTTGAAGAGGGAAAAAATACATATTTGCCCAAGAGGGAACTAAATACACAACTCTCTGATTGAAAGGCCTGTGCACTACTGACTGAGCTTACCAGACATCCAACAATTGTTGAAACACTAGCTGCAGCTAGCTGATAAACATTATCAGTATTACTGGCTTGTCCTTCACCCTCCACTGCACCCTCTTTTTCACCTTGTTTATCAACCAAATCACACTTATTGGGCTTTCTAGAAAAACTTCAGACACTCAGCTGCCGGGACATTTTGCGATGTCAAGGTTATGTGTGATATAGCCTACCAATGTGATGGCTAAAGCCAGCTAGACAGCTTCATCGGTCTATAGTATGTATTTAATATGGTACAGAGAGTTTGATTTTATTTGATTGTATTAATCAGTGCTTGAAGTGGACAAAATAGGTGCCAGTGCCCCCCCGAACTATCCTCAACCTTAAGGTGAAAGTAGTAAATTTTATAACATTAACGACTTTGAGCATTAAATACTTAGTTTCCTGCATTCTGGAGACATTTTTCTGCACCAATTTAAAAGGGAAACAAAATTAAGGTGGCAGGTGACAATTCAAAATATGAAAAAATAATGCAATCTAATACAGTAATCAGCTTTTGGACAATGCACATTTGTTTCTTCTATATTTCAGTTGCATTGCATGTTTTTTTATTGTGCATTGTTTCATTTGTTATTTTACATTTCTCGTTACAAATTGTTTTTCAGAACATTTCTAAAAGCATTCAAAAAGTGATGGAGAAATTCTGATTTTGACCTGTCCCCAGCGTCCCCAATGAAATCTGTCAATATTTGTAAATGCCCCGCCCCATCCAGGCTGTGATTGGTCAGTTCACGACAAGTGACATTGAACTACCAACAGCACACATTTGTTTTCCTGTAAGCAACTCATTTATGCAGTTTTTTTTAACCTCTAAAACATTTAGCAGAGGAATGTGCAGCTCATCCTCCTCCATGTTAATCTAATGTGACATGCCTCGGCCTCCGTAGTAGCTGACAGGCCACTGGCTGCAGTCGAGATGAGAGAAACACTTTAGGAGGAATCTATTTACATGTAATGTAATTAATTTGATGCCAAATGATTGGTCACATTTCTAAATAATAAAGTCGTAGTGACTCTACTAATAATGGTATATAAATACATTGGATTTTCCAAAGCAAAGATGTAACAATACATCTTCATCCTAAATCGTACACCAGTGCACCAATGCAAATCGATGAATCTTACCATTCCTATCACTCACAGAAGAAAAGAGTCAACCCACAACTTCCACTGAACTACAACTAAAATAGTAAGGGATACTTGGAACACATGGAAATACTGGAATACTGCCAATTCAAACATGTGCTGAGTCAAATAATTCTCCACCTGCTGTCTTTTCAGCTTCACTCGGATAGAGCGGCTTCATCTGCAGAGCTGGTGGGTAGAGAAACTGATTCGGTGTGACCCACTGTGTAACTTGGTGTTAAAGTGTAAATTTTCATTTTAAATATGGTAATAATAGTTAGATACATCATTTTGCTACTCATTTTACAGAGATAGTTTAGGACTTTTGAAGTGGGGGTATGAGGTACTTATCCATAGTCAATGGAGGACTGCAGTAGGTGGTGGTGAGCGTGTCCCCAGCGAGGAGAAGCAGAGAGTTTTACCTGTACAGAAGCTAAACAATGCTATATTTAGAGTATTTTCAGTGCTTCCGCCATTTCCTTTGGGACTACATTTTTGCCACCGTAGAACATAAGCGCAACTTGGCAGTGCACTGTATAAAGGAAATGACCTTGCAATTATGAACACTAGTGCTGTAACCATTAACATTCTTTGATAAGTTTGGTCATCTCAACCACCACCAATGATGAATCACCCGGTATCTTTAGGTTAAGTGCTTCTGTGAATAACCAACCTGTTCATAGCCAACTGTCTGAGGCTAGGCTAGGCTGAGATTCAGTTAGAGACAAAAATCTGATGCCACTATTCTAGATAACCTAGGACTAATCCCAACTTTCGTATAAATATTTTCCCTTTTAAAAAAACAATACAAACCCACTGGACGTATTTGAAATGTTTGCTACATTCCACTCCGGTAAAGCAGTTGGCAGTATGTAGAACATTAGCTGTAACAGTGAGGGGAAGTCAACATATACAGTCTATGCGATGGACGAGGCATTGCTCTACATCGTATTTCACTAGCATATACCCCCAAAAATAGATGCGTGAGAGCCGGTAAAATGATTCACGATGTGCGAGTAAAGATATAACCTACAGTAATCATTCTGCATGAATGGTTATGGTTATTGACAAGTTAGTACTTAGCATTAATTAATTAGAGACCAATGTAGACTGTTTTTATTTGCACAAGGATTTAATGAATCCACAAAAATAAAACTGCTGTACTGGAATTAATATTAGGCCTTTACTAGTGGAAAAATATATGAAATTATATTGAATATAGTAACTATAAGTAAAATATTATCATTATACTAACAGTTTACTATGAAATTAACATTATACCGCTTGGTTCATTAGTGTTCCTGGCTGTGACGACAGTTGTTTGGGTCACTGGAGACACCTGAAGTCGTATCTGAACGAGCGTCATGGCATTTTTACATACAATACTGTCCTTTCATCTCTTCCCAGGAAACTAAACAAACGCTCACATTTGGCCTCATTAAAAAGCTGGCACTCCCTGCCTGTCAGTCACTGAAGAAGCTTCTCGGAGGAGAGACGAAACATCTTTGAGTATCCTTAGAACACACGGTTTCTTGTGACTCTACCATCCTATTGTACACAAATGAAACCTTTCACATGTGGAAACAAAGTTTTCTCTAATGAAAGTACTGCTGGTAAATGGTGTTGTGGGTTATCAGCAGTTAATAGTGTGTTTGTGAGAACGTAGTGTTTTGTTTTCTTGGTTCCTAACAGGGCTAAGCTCTGAGTGGATGCTGGACTGCTCTGGGTTTCAGTCTCTTGAGTGTGCTACCTGTCTATTTTATTGCTGGAGGTGATCAGTTAGGGCCCTTCTATACAAGGGCTCATTTACATCCTGGTTAACCTTTTCTCATCTACACAAGATATAAAAAATATGCATTTCTTGCTTTGTTTTATAAAAAAATGTAAAGACTCACTTACTTTGTAGGCCTATATTACATTGACTGCTATATTTTCTGTTTGTTACTGTCATTTTTTTCATTTTACTACAATTATTGCATAATATCTTTTATAAATATTATTTATAATAGGTCTAGAAATTATTTATAGCAATATTTATAAATAGTGTTTATGATAAATATAATTTATAATGTTTAGCCAAATATCTATACCAATTAACTTTATTTTTTTTTTTACCATCTATTGTGTATTGGGTTATATGAATGTGTCACTACAATTGCTTTGAAAAGCATAAATCATCATTTCTCACCATTTGTTTTGATACCTGAATACCTGAAAACATAAATAGTTAATCAACCATGCTGAATTCATTGACATAATACTTTTTTTAGATCAAGTTTTTTCACGATTACCTAATAACAGAATTAACATGGCCAATCCTTCTTCCCTCTTGCAGGCAGGGCAAAGAGGGACCTCTTGGACAACTCACCTGTGTGACCTGCAGACTGATGTACTTTTTAAGCCCCATTTAACATGTATTTCTACAGTATGCATATCACTGTAATTTTTCTGACACTGAGTTGATGATTGTTTTGTACTTAAAAGAGTTTACAGACTGTGGATCTGCCGGCCAATCCACCCCTTCTTTCATTTTGAATCAACTGTTAGTTAAATATGTCTAATTTCCTGTCTAACCCAACATCAAGCATTCTTTCATAATAACTACAATGATGATGTTGTCAGAAAACAATACCACATTTGTGAAAAGATCATCATGTTTTTAGAAGTGTTCATGCAGGAAGGTATTATATTATATTCAAAGGATTAAGCCATGTGAATTATAAAGGATGTGGTGGTGTTTCAGGCAGTCAGTTTTCTGCCTTCTGAGCTGCTGAGCTGTTTGAATGTAGAAAATCTTTAGCTGTGGTATTGTTTTGGATTCAAATGTTGCTCCATCCCTGCCCCACTTGCCATGTATCAATTTATTTAAAATAATAATAATAATAATAATAATAATAATAATAATTTTAACTGTCAAAAAGTCCAAATTAAAGGATCAATTTACCCAAATTACTAAAAATATGCTGATTCTGAAAAAAATCAGTATGGGAGTCATATACCAAGCAAATTGATTCCTAAACTTAGCGAACAGATCAATGTTGTTTACAGTATAGTAGCTGTTTACAGCTCTGTAAATGACACACACATTACTTATCAGTGTTAGGAAAAATGTGTTTAGAGATATAACTTGTGCCTTAACAATCAAAAAGGAATTGTACAATGGCTCACATGCAGTGACTCACTTGTTTAGCGCAGCACATGGGATAGCCAATTAACAATAACAATAAATATTGTATTACATGACTTAAAAACAGTTTTTAAATTGACAATTTCCTGCTTTTATTCTAAATAACCGATACATTATACTGAACCTGTATGTAAAGTTTCCCCTGAACTTTCATGTGCTCAGTTTAGTTTAGCAACAAGTCTGATGAGCAGACGCCGCTAGATGTAAGGGAGAAAATGTGTATTTTTTTTGATGTGTGTGAATGGACTTTGAAATCCCAAATGCAGAATTAAATTGTTCAATTTTTACTGTTCCAATCTTAAACTTGAAAATGAACACATAGTATATAACAGAGGTGTGCAACACAGCAAAAATAACCTCCCAATATTTTTCACCAGTTGTGTGTGATGTTAGTCTTCCAAAGTGTGTATATTCCTAAACAATCTGTTTAATCTATTTGTGCACTTTTCCATTTAATCACATTATAATAGTTTGTCACTGAACTCAAAGTCCTCTTCAAACTCACTGGTTCCACTGATGGAATTTGAATTATCATTTATATCAGTTTTTGATGCATGGAGAAGAGTTTTTTTTTTTTTTTTTTACTTCTGTGCAACAGAGGAAAATAAAGCTTGTTGTTGTATTTGAAATGAAATTCTGTATAAGTGTAAATACTTTTCACAGGTCTCAAGGAAGGCCTGATGTTCTGACGCGTCACTGAATGATTTCTGTGATTCAAAGCCTTGCGCAAAGACACTTAAATAGGGTGGGGTTTGAACCCACACCACCCTGCTGCTTTAAAACCATTACTATGAACTTTCTGGACAGACCGTTAATACTGTGAAGGTAAAGGAAAGTAGATTTGTCATGAATAGAAAAAGTGAGGATGTCTGTTTTGAATGAGGGGACTTTTATTTGGAAATGTTGAATGCACCATGCACCACAGGGACTGGTGGGTTTAGATGGACAGAGAGAAATGAAACGATGGAGAATTTTGTCCAAAGTAAAATTAATGCTCAAATGAAGACTTTAGGTTTTTAATTTTGATGTGGTTTGAAAATGTACAGTGTTGTGTCAAAATACCGTAAGGGATGTTTCATCAGATGCTGATGTTAAATTTGTTTGTGCCTTGTGAAAATTTAATAAATATAAAACCCTTTTGCAGATCTCTCTATTATATTTTCTACCTGTTGTTTGTTGTTTATACATGACCTACAGTATGAACCACAAGCACATAGAGCTTCAGTAAAACGTCACTGGAATATACTAGTTTAACTGTTGTTGTTTTTTTCAAAAACCACATACAATCTTTAATTGTTCTGCTAGTCTCTTGATCCTTGAACCTCTGGAGTGGGTGGTACATATAAACACAAGTGACCACACACAGCATCAAGTTCTTTGAGGTGTGGGATCCAGGTAGGATCTGTATGAACCTGTGGAACATATCTGGTCAACTAAAGACCAAGAAAACTGTCATGTCTAAAGTGGGTTCCTAGAACAGCTATCATGATTATATAGTGTGTTATATTTCAAATAGCTCAGCAACAGTCACCACCTCCGACAGATGAAGGTAGATGTGTAAATGTGGAGGTTATTCATTTTCAAAGCATTACTCAAAAGTTAGGCTTTGGAAAAAATTAAAATTTACATACCTCTTCTGTCCTACCTCCACGGTCTGGAGATACAATTAATGAATTCATTAAAGAAATACTTATTCTTATTCAAATATTCAAACTTCATGATTCCCTCTTCCTTGCCAGAAGAAATACATCACTTAAAAATAAAAGGACACAATTCATTGAGAGTGGAATTATATTGTCAACATATAACTAGTTCTACAGGATGTGCTGGACAGATCTACTGGAAAACTGCTTTTTAAAAAGTGATACCACACCTTACAGCATTACACCTCTTCTTAACATATAGCTTGCTGGATGGAGTGCAAAAACATGTCCACATACAGTATACTACGAGCGATGTCGCCCATGTTGACTGGAAGGGACAACGGAAACACTAGGATTACCACGTCCAGACTCCAGCTCTGTGCTTAACACACAGACCTGAGATTATATCAGAAAAGACTGATCGTGATTGACTTTTCACCTCACTCTCTGATATAAAGCAAAGAAGGGTATTTCCTTATGAACTGGAATAAAGGAGGATGAGATGTATTAGCTGGTCTGGAAATGGAGGTAACGCTTTCTGTGAGCAAAAAGTCCTTCAGAGACAGAGGTGGTACATGGAGCTAACGCTCACCTCGCATTTGGTCTGAATGCACAATATTGGCTGATAGAATGAATCTTCATGGACTCTGGTAGTTTCAGTCTCACGGGCAAGGGGTTTATGACCTTGTCAATCTCCTATGGACGCCCCAAAACGAGGTGCCAAGTTACACGACTTCCAAGGGAGATCCCTGGAGGACAACTACACTTTCTAACCAGGCTGGTATGAGAAAGCAGGAACAGAGTGTGGTCAGCAAGGCATTGGTTGCGAGCAGCAGCACGGATTAGGGCAGACTGGGACTCCTTCCAAACCTGGAGGAACTGCCACTTTAATCTCCTTGACGGTAAAAAGGGACAGTTGAAAACCCACGGCAACTGTTTGTTTCTCCAGGAGGCGTGACGAGCCAAAATACAGCACAGATGTCTCCAGATCCTGGCTGGCCCGCTCAGTCTGCCTGTTGGCCTGTGGATTGTACCCCGAAGAAAGACCGGAGGTGGCGCCCAAACACAATATCTTGAGGAATGCCCTCGCTATGGAAACAGTGGTCTCCACCTCCCTAGTGGCAACAGCCATCACACAGGAAGGAGGGAGAATGAGCTCTGGCTTGGAGTTGGGACTTCCCAGGTTCAGATTGGCAGGAGAGAGCATCAGCTTTAACATTACAAGACCCAGGGCAGTAAGTAAGTGCAAAGCTAAACCTGCCTAAAAACAGAGACCACAGGGCCTGATGAGCATTGGGCCACTTTGAAGGGGCAATATTTAACTTTCAGCAACCACTGGCGGTGCGGTTCTAAGATTGCAACCAGGTGTGTGCTTGTATGCGTGCTCGCTTGAACTCATGTGCGAGCATAATCCGAAACACAACCGCTTTCATACAGAGATCCCATAATAAACGCGGAAACACCGGCATTCCAGCTGTGGCTTTTTTTTCTCCAGACATGTTCAGAATGAATATAAACGAAATGCCGTGTGAGACAGAGACACCATGGAGTAAGAGGCTTTACTCACTGACTGCTAGAAATACCTCCTGCAACACATGGGAAATCAATTGCATATTTACAATATCAGTTTACGTGGTCAGGCAAGTTACTAACCATGAGCCAGTGGTCATAAAAAACCTGGAAGTAACTCAGGTGTCCTCATACAAATATTTAGGTGTCCACATTGACAGTCTTCTTTACTGGAACACACATGTTGACAACCTGTGTCACAAATTGTAGCAGAGGCTTTATTTTTTAAGGCGTCTAAGGTTGTATGGTGTGAGCAGTCAGATCATGATGATCTCCTACCATGCGATCTTAGAGAGTGTCATCAGATATGGAATTACTTTTAGTACTTTACTTTAGTTTCGGCAACTTAACAGTTAAGTTGAAAAACAAGCTTGCCAATATGCACAAAACAGCCATGACTATCAGCCTATACAAAGCCCACATGACCAGGCAGAAACAGAATAGGAAAATTAAATCAGACCCTCAACATCCCCTCGTCCCTGAATACGAAACCCTGCCATCAGGAAGAAGACTCCGTGTACCAAAATGCAAATCCAGTCGCCCAAAATTATAATTTGTGCCAGCCTCCATTAAGCTACTGAACAATATGAAATAGTGCTGTGTGCAATAAATATGTGAGCACTACAGCACTTTACTTGTGATCTAGGTGCAATAGGTCAACGTGCAATAAACATACTAGCACCTTAGCATATGCACTTCACGCAAACTTCAGTTCAGTGGAGCAATGTGCAACAACCGCACTAGCACTTTAATCCATTGTCAACAATGTCCTTTTTCTTCTGTGTTTATATTTTCCTTTTGTGAAGCACAACATGTCAGTACTTGTCAGGTTCTTGTTGATGTGTTTTGTGATGTGTGATGTTTTTTAATGAAGCAACACTGCACTGTGCCCAAGCAGAACTTCCCCTTGGGGACAATAAAGTTAACCTAACCTAATCCCTAGCCGCTAGCTCATCCTTAATTGTCTCAGACAACTTGTGAACAAACACCCTCTTTAAGGCAACATCATCCCATCCAGTCTCTGCTGCCTAAATCCTAAACTCCACTGAATATTTGGCTGTGTGAGGAGTTTATCCTCTGCCTCCCTCTCTTGAACCGGATGATCAACAACCTTTTCTGCTACAAACACCTCATGGGATGAACAAAAGGGTGAACCCCTCTCCCACAATGCTGTAGCCCACTGAGCAGCTTCAATAGTCAATAACCCTGCACATAAATAATCATCAAAGCAACACAAGACTGATGTGTAGCATAAGTAGCTGGCTGCTGTTCAAACACTGACGAACACTGGACAAAAAACTGACCACAGGATTACCAGGACTACAGCTAGATCACAAGAACAGCACTCAAGTACAGGGACAAAAAGGTCAGACTGTTAATAGCAGGAGATAAAACAGCTGCTCAAACTGAAGAAGCTGGCAAGTGAGTGGATACCTGGTTCATTTGTCCACTTAGCTGAGTGACACTAGTGGAGAGAACGTATGGTGTCCATTTCCTCATGGAAGATCTTCTAAGGTTATCCAATGTGCACACCTTGAGTAGTTAATGCTTGTTTGAGTGTGTCCGTGTCTTCTGTGTCTGTTACGGTTTGGTTTAGCTCCAACACCACCAGAGTGCCAGAACAATCTGCCAACACGTAGCAGGGGGAAGCAGTGTATTTAACCAGGAAGCTGATGAGATAATTGGATCAGGTTGGGTTGCTCAGTCAAAAAAGTCAGTGCAGATTTGCAACCTGCAAAGCGTGATATGTCTCAGGCCCAACAGTTAAGTTGCCCACCTGTTGAATGGGTTCATCAGATATGGTTAGCTCCAGTTTAGACTTAGAAGAAACTAATTTTTTTTTACATAACCCAAAATCAATGCCTTTAGTTTTGAACATATTTAAGGCTAATTTATTTGTTCAAATCTAATCATATACTATATTCAATCTGCTAAATAAAAACTTTAACTCATTTAATTCATGCTATGTGGTTGCTGCATAAGATACAATGGAATCATCAGTTTACATTGTTATATGTTTAAACCTCCAGTAAATCACTTTATCTTCGTCCTTGTGTTTCATTTATTATGTTTCAGAGGTAAATCAATCCACTGAGCTGTATTTTAGCTGTGAACTTTTTCATAGGTGTCACTGAAGACTTTTATTCATGAGGAATATTACCTCCGGGTGAGAAAAGATTTTTGGGGGCCAACTGAATTTAAATCTGGGCAGATACAATCTTGATTACCCTCTCCCAATGCAGTGACATGGATTTAAACAGTTGTCCAAAAAAGGACCATGGACCTCGTGTGTCTGCTCCTCTCTATTTACACACAACTGACACATATGTGGAATACATATGTAATTTATATATCACAATAACAAACAGCAGTGATACAAATTCTAATAAATCCTGTCACTGCTGCGGCGACTGATGGTGCATTCAAGTGGTGTCGGGAATAATTAGAATCTTTTTTCCTCCTTAAATCTTTTTTGCAAAAAAAGAAATAAAGTGTACAGGGGACATAAATAAGTATACAGAAAATCACATATTGTATATACCTATTATGAAAACATATAATTTGTAATATGGTTAGCTGTTAGTTCGCTGTCCATGTAGAGTGAACTAGATGTCTGTGTGTTGTTATCTGCTCTGATAGTGCTAATCTAACACATCTTCGTAGTAGCGTCCACGTTGATTCCACATTCGGATTAAATCTCGGTACAAAATCATAATCATTGCCGATAGCAGTGAATGCATCTGGCGCGGTTAAATGACGTCACACATGCGCCAACGTAATATACACGTGAAGCTGTGTGGCTACAGGCTACAGAACAACTTGTTCAGTTGTTTGGTTTATTTTCTTGGTTTGTCTGCCTCTCTGTTTTTGGATATCAGGGAGGTGAAGAACGTTTAAAAGGTTTCGTTCTTCGTTAAAGTGAAGAAGCGACTGGCTGTTAAATGCTGCCAGCTAGCTTCCTGCAAAGAGCAGCCAACAAGCTAACATCAACAGCTAGTTGCTACAGCAACATTAGCCTGCAGACATAAAGTCACCTCAGCTCTTTACAGATGGCTGCTGATAGCGTGAAAAGTGAAGCTTCAGCCCAGCTGGAGAGTGATAATGGAGATGCAAAGAGCAGCCAGAAAGCGGTGAGCAGTAACGGAGAAGCTGCAGCAGAAACTCTGTCCAAAAGGCAAAGGAAGAAGCTTCTGAAGCAGCAGAAATGGGAAGAAGAGAGGGAGCTACGAAAGTAAGTAAGCTTGTTTGAACATTGCCAGCAGCGCAAGCATTTCTGCTTTGCACTGCAAAGGTGCCCACACTGCTGTGGACTGTTGTAACACATGACGTTTGTCCTTTTTAAACTGAGTATCAAGTTTTTCCATGGTAGCCCCAGTGCTCCCTGCATGCCAATCTCCATTCAAAAGGTTGGCAATTTACTATTTGGCCTTAATAAGTAAATAAACTTGAAACCAATGAGGCTCCTTTGCAAGCAAATATAGAAAGCTTGGCTCCTGCTTTCTTTACTTGCTCTACAAAAAAAACTCATAGAGCATGGACCATATCCCATGTTAGTCCTATACCTGCCCAAGTTTATTAACCTAATGTGTCTTTAGTGTTGTCCTATTATTACAAACAAAATAACGAAAAACCTTCTGGAAATGTTTTCTGCTAAATCAGTCAAGGTAGTAAATCTCAGCTGACATCAGGCGAAAGGCGGCGTACACCCTGGACTCAGGTACACACAAACAATTAATCTAGCCTGCATAACTTTGGGAGGAAGCTGACTAGGACGACCAATTTTTTGGTGTCTTTAAATAATATTACAAAGAGTATGGTCTAGACCTCCTATGAAAAGAGTAATGAGATAACTTCTGTAATTAACTGGCGCTATATAAATGAAATTGAACTGAAACGAAACAGCACTCGATGATCATACAGGTTGTAAACAAGCCAGCAGTTTATCCAGATGATCTAAACCACTTTTTTAGAAGTAAAACGGAAATTGAATGTTCCTGAATTTTTCATGTTAATGAGTTAGTGACATAACATTAACGGAATAGGCTGCCTATTTTGTGACCCAGTGTTTCATTTGCATACACCTCAAGTATACAGGGATACGAATACCCAGGCTACTTAAGGAAAAATCATTCCATAATATGACCATAATTGGTCTATATTTGGAATACTGTGTGTCGTAAATTTGAGTCATGGACCAGTAACTCAGTTAAAGTCTAGCGTATCAAACTAATTCCATGGAACAACCAAAACCAACAATGAATTGATTCAACTAACAAGTAGGATGTATTTTTTAGATACTTGACCACACTGCAGACTCCTGCATTGTGTCGTATCATTGCTCACATTTGCAGTATCTGTCCTGTGTTTTGTGCTGCAGGCAGAGACGAAAGGACAGGAAGCAGCAGCGTCGGCTGCAGAGGCAAAATCATCCGGAGGAGGAGGAGGGAGGAGAAGCCCAGAATGTCCGGAAACGTCCGCGCAGAGAGGTGACGCCCAGCTCACTGAGGCTGGTGGTGGACTGCAGCTTCGACAACCTCATGCTGATCAAGGTGAACACCTCTGGGTAACACTGTGGAGGGATACTCACCATGTGTATATTGAGATATGAACTGGGGGACTGACTCTGCTGACCGATAATCTTGTCACGTCTTTAGGATGTCCGGAAGCTTCACAAACAGATCCAGCGGTGCTATGCTGAGAACAGACGAGCCTTGCATCCGGTGCAGGTTAGTGGCTGCTGACTAATAAAGTAGAGACAGTCCTGTCTGATGTATAACCACTCCTTTCACTTCTCCAGTTTTATTTGACAAGCCTGGGAGGACAGCTGAAACAGAGCATGGATGAAAAGGACAAAGGATGGGTAAACTGGAAGGTAAGCCTGATCCTGAATCATGGTTTACACTGATTTGAGTTTTTACAGCCAAGCAGCTCCTCTTCACACTTTGCAGTCTGGCTTATGTTTGGGACACATCATGCACTGAAAATACCGTACAGGTAAAGATCTCCTACAAATGTAAACTGGTTTATAAGAGTACTCCACTGATTTTTGCCTTGTCAGACCTATGACAGACAGTTAAAGAAATAGTGCTCCATACTTCTTCCTCATCAAAACCTGAAAGGCTTTATGAGCCTAGTGCTTTTATCTTCATACTAACAGCTGTCATGGTTTCAGAGAATAACTGTATGTATTTACCCATATTAGAAAAAAAAACACAGCAGAAGTGCTCTCTTGAATGTCCCTTTACTAAATAAAGCAAGATAATCTGCTCTGTAAGGTGGCTCAGGGTGCAAGAAAATGTGATGCAGTGCCCTCCAAGGTGCTCCTATGTACAAACAATGTGATAAAGTGCCCTCTGGTCCCCTGCCAGTGGGGAAACAATGTGACATAGTGCCCTTCCAATGGAAAAATTGTCATGTAGTGCCCTCTAGGGAATGTGGTCCCCCAAGATGCTCCTATGTGCAAAAACATGATGAAGGGCCCTCTGCAGGGATGGGTTACCGCAAGGGCCTTAAAACATCAGGAAAATTGAAATTTCTATTTATTTTATTTTTTAGCCAAGACCCTTTTTTTGCTGACAGAATAGATCTACACTATGATCTGCACTTTTTTTCATTGTAATTACTTACTTACAACAGATTTTGACCCACAGGAGAGAAATGGTCATTGGTATATTCTTAAATGTTAAAAGTAATGCTAAATGCATATTTTCTTTTCTGTTTTATAATAATGGACTCACAAAGAGACATACCTGAGTAACCTTGTTAAAGCAAGAAATCCTCATACTTATTTCCAAAGAGAATCAAACATTTGGCCATAATCTAACACTACTAGTTCTGTTGTGATTCATATCACATGTATCTACATAAATGCAGTGAATATTTTGTACAGTATCCTCTGCAACAGCTTTTATGCTGTGGTGATTAGGGGTGGGAATCTCTAGGCCCCTCACGATTTGATTACGATTCAGAGGACTATGATTGAATTATAAAACAATTATCGATGCATCTTGATGCGTCTTCTATACAGATTTCTGGCAAATTACCAAGTAATTTATTTGCACATTAAAATCCCAAAGAAAACGTCTCCTCTTAGCTTAAAAGGTTTAGCATATTTGCTTTACTAGCCTCTGTGGTCACCATCCTTTAGTCTGCTCCGCAAGCTTTCGTTGTCACTTTCTGCTGCTCGCTCTCTGACTTTCGCTCACCCACACACTCACTACACACATATCACACACTGTTCCTTAAAAGACCTATCTTACACTGCTCTTATAACAGCACCTGTCTCGTAGATGTCTTTTGCTGGCCAAGCATTGAGTGTTACCTTGCTGACAAAGTGTAGAGTGAAAATCATTAGTAGCCCATTTATATTGATGATCATGTGGAATTTTAGTAGCAGCGCTCATTAATTCAGCAGCAGCGGTGTGGCAAAAATAGAGGGAACACTGGTCTCTGTTATATGCATGTCACAGACTGTCCTGTCACTGCACTCCCGACTTCTACCTTTCCTCCACGATGCATCTAAGAATTGATCCCCCCCCCCCCCCCCCCCCCCCCCCCCCCCTTTAGTAGCGTTGCATTTATTCACATACATTTTCTTATTGCTATCATTTTTGACTTGTGTTCTATATTGTTGTACACTATGCCTAACTCTGCGGTGTTGCATAACTGTGTGTGTATGTGCATGCTGCTGCTGTGTGCAGGACATTAGCATTAAAGCGGAGCACTACAGTGACGTTGTGGCGAAGGAGGAGCTGGTCTACCTGACGTCCGACTCTCCCAACGTGCTGGAAGAGCTGGACCAAAAAAAAGCATATGTTATCGGAGGCCTGGTGGACCACAACCACCATAAGGTCTGTGTGGCTTCACAGCTGCAGTACCACGCTGCTCAGGATTCTTTCAACCTTAAATTGCCAACTTTTTGAACTGGTCATGTTCTGTCTGGGTCTTGCTTGCAGGGAATCACCTTCGAAAGGGCGAAGGAGCTGGGGATTGATCACGCACAGCTGCCCTTGAGCAGTTTTGTTAAGATGAACAGTCGGAAGGTTCTGGCAGTCAACCATGGTAAGGACTAGTATCAGACAAATATATGAGACTGATATCAGTAGTAGCAGTGTCTGAGGGGGCCAGGCTTAGCAAAGCATCAACTGACCAATCTTTATTATGTTGCTGGTTTTAAGTTTCCTTTCATCCCTGCTGCAGTGTTTGAGATCATCCTGGCATACCTGGAGAAGGGCAGCTGGCAGGAGGCCTTCTTCACCGTCCTGCCTCAAAGGAAAGGAGCAGTGGCCGTCGACCAGGACGGAACAGCAGTACAAGAAAAAGAGGAGGAAGATTCAGACTCTGACTCTGACCTCGACACACCAGACCAAACTGAAAAAACTGCCTAAAACTTAGTTCACATGGACTACTTCAAACAAAGTTCAGACATCTGCTGTTATGGCAAAAATGCCTAGATATGTGATGCTAAGGCTATTCATGAGAGAATGTTTCTATTAACAAAGAATTTATTTCTTTCAAATTTCAAAATGCTTATCTAATGTTTTTTATTTTTTAAAAAGTTATTTATTGAAAGTTATACTTTGTGCCTTCTGTAATGGCTAATGGCTTAGTTGAAGATGTACAGCTATTATTTCACTTAAGAAAATGATTTATACTTCAAGTTGTATTCCTTTTTTTTAGAGTTCAAAGCTGAAGCTGACAGAGCTGTTCCAAACGGGCTCATTTAAAAGGGAAAAAAAAGATTTAAAACAGGATAAAGTCAGCACATGGCCGTGATCATCACTGGCCCTGGAATTCCTGGAATATTATGGATTATTTGTGAGTAAAGTCACAAAATAAAAATGGAGGGATTTGATACATTCTATGAGGAAGTTGGGGGAATTTTCAAATTGATCTTTGCAGATTAATATAATGCTGAAACTAGTATTCTTATTTTGCTATTGGGAGAAGGTTCATGTTTGAATATTAAAAACATGACATTCAAATGATTGCAGGAAATCATGAAATAGTAGACAAAAATGGGACAATGGACATGTTAAATTTGCAGTGAAGAATGATTTCTGAGGAGCATGAACAGGAATGTGACTGGTAGAGTGTGAGGCAGCACATATAATGCAAAGAGGCCACACGGGACAGTCTTGCACTGGATGCACCGCCCTTGGACATATTTTGATATGATAGACAACCATCTTCCTTGAGAGTGGGGTCACCAAGGACAGGGCACGGTCCTAGACTGTTGCCCAGTTTGCCTAAAAGCAGCCAATGAAAACTGCTATCTGAGTGAAGTATTTAGTCCTTAAGAAAAGTGCATATTATTATTTACATTGAACAATTTTAAGGTAATCTAGATGTGTTGTGAGGTTAACCCAGGGACAAAACTCATAACATGCACGAGAGAACAGGGTGGATCCTTTTGCACCTGAGGCCAAAGCTAATTTGATCAAGGTAAAAGAGATTATGACGATGAGCTGTGCTGCCTGAATTCACTGAGTGTAGTAGAAGGTGTATTTATACATCCTGTTCCAGGGCCCCTGACAAGTTGAACTGAAATGAGAAGGACCTTAAGGCAACACCTGCATTATTACCTGAGTTTGAGGCCCTGTCTCATGAGGGGCCCATGTTAAAATGTAGTTGTGAGGCCTTTTTTCATTTTATACGTTGCTTACATGGTGCATTACCAAAAACCTAACCAGTTGACTAAATAATATATTCAGAGGTTATTGGGGGCCCGCAGTTTAGTCACAACTAGAGCAACAAATAATGAACTACATGACGTTATCCACGTATGAAGGAGAGCGAGTTACTGGCTTTATATCGGTTTATATAACTAAACCCGGAAGTTGTAGTATCCATGGTAACAAGGTAAGGCGACGCTAACCAGAGGAGAGTAACGTTACCTTTTATTCAGCTGAAGCTGCAGAGGGTTCGTCCGTATTATCACCTTTTGATAGAAGAGTCAGATGTCTCGAAAAGCACTAAAAGTGGTGGTGGAATTAAAATTCAGAGCGGTAAGCCTTGTCGTTTTCTGTATTAATTCTTTAAGTTAAACGCCCTCCTGACAAGTTAGCCGCTAACATACACTGGGTTCTGTAAGGACACATCAGACACCACTCCACCTAATGTTAGTCATTTTAATATGTTTTTACCTACATAACGTTACGTTTGTTAGCGCGGGACTTACAGTGGTGTATGCATTCGGCATGTAATGCTCCAAATACTGTTAGTTCAAAACGTTAGCTAAATTTAACCTTTCTTTGACTCACCACCAAGTGTGTCTGCGCAACAGCTGATGTTGTGTATGAAACAAAAAGGGTTTTAATTCACCTACTGGTAATGCAGAAAAACGGAGACTGTTGTAGAGCGCGACTGTGGAAGCACGGCAGGAATGACGGGGGGGGGGGGGGGGGGGGGGCACTGTGACCCCCCCATTTCTTGTGATTAGTGGAAGTGACAGTCGAGAGGACAGGGAAAGTGTAGGTTCAGGGAGCCACAGTGGAGAGACCCCCCCCTGAATTTCACCTGTACTTTCTTACCTGTACTTGTAAATATTACAAGATATTTCCGGTTGAAACTTGACATGATACGATTTTGGAATTAGAGATGATAATGCAGCCTGTAGTTTATGATAGTGTCTCTGGTTCTGGTTCAGCATTGTGTGGGTCTTGAGAGGTCATGATGGTCTGCTGTGTTGTCTGGCTTTCTGGCGGTTTTGCTCTTTGTGACCCCTGACTACAAAAATTGTTTTGTGGTATAGGGCACCCATGAATTGTAGTAATGAATTTGATTGATCATATTTTGACCTAGAAAAAACACTCAGGGTGGAAGCAAAACTCTTGTTACTGCAACAAAGTCATGTTTTGTGTAGGCAACTTATCCATCTATGTTTTATTTTTAAATCGGTAATTTTAATTTTACTTAAGTACTTTTTATCACATCACCCATAGTCATCCCCATATAAAACCCCCAGCTTGTCTCCCTTTGGAAAACAGCCATCTGGAACTGGGGCCACTTGTGGTGGAAGTTAGAGCGCTCTGTATGTAGTCATAGAACTGGTGTTACATCCAGGTAACAACTAATTTTATTTTGTACCTGCTCTACCCTCTAACTGGCCCTGCTGTTGGTTAACACCTTGGTCGAAGGCTGTACCAAACCAAAAAACACCTCAGACTGCTCCAGATGATACAGCAAACACAGAATAAACATATTTTGATGTATATTTGTCAACCAAAAGGAAAAGTTAGGTGTAATGAGGATCAAACGTATTGTGAGGCAACATGCCTCCCGGATCTGCCCAAGCAGAAAGCCAGCAACCTCGCCAGCTGATGATCCAGGCAGAAGACATTGAAATGAAGGAGCAGCCTTGTCCTTGTATTTCAATGAGGAGCTAGTTTTTACAATACAGTAAATACACGATGCTGTCAGACAGTGTGGATTAATGATTAGATATTTTCAACCTTAAAGCTGCTTCAGTGGGAAATAAATCTATGAACATTAGAAACTGGAAGCAGGAGAGATTGCTAGTCAAACTGGATCGCAAGTGAAAAATGTGGCCTCCAGTGTTGGAGAGTTCCTTAAATCAGCAGAAAGTAATTTGTAAAAAAAAGTATTTGGGACATTAGTCACCCTCCACCAGCAGCCAGTAGAAAATTACTTATGCACAGCACAGCTTTTACTTAAAACCACTTTTAACTGAGCTTGGTCCTCCACTGTTCTCAGGTTTCTTGTCCTGGAGTTCATTTGTCAGCCAAGGATGATATCTACCTCAGCATGTGCTTCATGGGACAGTACCGTCAGTCTGATTGTCTCCCTGCCGTCTTTCCTCTGCTGTTTCATGAGAAGATGACCTTTGAAAAGGCAGGTAGCTGAAGTGTAATACATGAAATGTGCTGTTGCATTTTTTAATAAAATTTTTAAATTAGTGATTAGTTAGATCCAGTTATTGTCATTATAAATAAGTTAGTTGAAACATACCTCTATTAAATGACATAAAACTTGCCATGCCTGCACAGTAGATACCAACAAGAATGACAGCTCCTGTTGTATTAATATTGTAAAATAAGGAAGCTAAATAAAAAAACATGAATGTTTTGTTTCCGTTTAGATTTTCAGGCATGCAGTTGACCCTGGAGACATCGCTGTAATGCTTGAGTGTAAGTTACTTACTATTTGGATCATGTATACAGTTACAGAGTCTGTGGCACCTATCATATTAGTTTACAAACTGATGTGGTGGCATATTCTTGTTCCTACGTCTTTTTCATAATTTAAACCATTAAATCCAAAATTCTTCATAAATGAAAAGGGTGTTTTATATTTTATGTTCAGTCATAATTATGACCAGGGGAGCACAGTGTCCTTACATAACGACGTACAGAGCACATACGTGTTTTAAATCCGCTTCTATTTTATCACACAAACAACTGAAGTATGTAGTAATTACCAGATAAACATGTTTATGCTTGAACAGATATAATGTAAACTTATAACAAATAAGGTTATTGTAAAAGTATATTGCAGTATGTATCTCCTGGTGCACGCTGGCTGCCGGCCTCTTACTGCAGCTTCATACATGGAGATATCAGTATGGTGTCAGGCTGTAGGGACTGTTGGTGTGTGTGTCCAGACAACAGGAAAGAGTAGCTGCCAGTTTTCTGCTGTGACACTATTGGTGATGGTCTTCTTGACATACATGAGTCTATGGATCTTTCTAAACGTGCTACCTTTTCTCTTCAGATGAGACGGTCAGAATTGAGCTGGTGCAGTTGATTCCTCCAGGTGAGGTTGTTCATTTGTTCCACTGGTTAAAATTACACCTATTACTGCAGACTTTAACCTAAACCTTACTCCTCTTTCCTGTGTGCACACAACAGTGTGGGACACGTTCTTTAAATTGCCCTTTATTGCCAATTCCAGCCTGAAAGAGCTGTGTCGTGGTGTAAGAGAAGTGTGGTTGTGTTTGCAGTGGGGGACACTCTGGCCTGCTTTGAAGAAGATGCTCGACATTTCTTATTCCCAGAGCCCAAACTGGTTCCCTCCTTCTCTGGAGTAGATCGCGAGGTTCTGATGACCCGAGCACCTCACTTTTCAGTAGGACCAACCCTCTGACACCTTTAATCGTGCAATAATGTTGTTTACTCTCACCATGTGGCACTATGTACAGCCTTTTCACATAGATTCATGAGCAGAACCTTCTTTTTACATTTATTCAGTGACTGTAAGTGAATGATACCCTCTAAGACACCATCAAGCTTCTAATGCAAGTTTTATTTTTATTACTCAGCCTCAGAAAACCAATTATTAACGTCTTATTTGATCATTTTAAAAATACACATTTTCTTTAACTGAATTTCTACAAACTATGTTTTTTTTCTGTCACCTGGTTTCTAATTTTATAGTAATTAAACTACATTTCTGGACCACAGGCCTTGGCCACAGTAGCAGAGGAAAAAATTATAACTGAGTCTGATCTTTGCAGTTTCATGTTATATGGTACAAATATTTCCTCTCCTCTCTTTTCCCCAGGGTATCGCTCCAAGGTTGGAGTTTTCCAGCAAAACAACCATCATTGAGTGCTCAGCTGATGCAGAGATCAACATTTACCCCAATGTACCCCTGGTAAAGTGTATGTTATGTGACTCAAAATGTATGTAGAGGATGTGTAATAAATACACAGCATCACTTCTGATGTGACCACATTAACTGGGTAGATTAGACTAAGCCTCCTTCTTTTAGCCTATATTTGCTTACATTTTGTTAAATTGGCCCCATTAAACGTAGCTGAATTAGCTGTTGTACCTATGGATGTAGAGACAACTCTCCCTGGATTACTGTGATGCTGAAGAAAACCTAAAAACATGATTCTCAGGCAAGTTGGCTAAGTTATGACTCAGAGATGCGAGAGTGTGATTTCTTTGACGCAAATTTTAGCTATCGGGCTAATGTACCTTCATCGACTTCATGAGCTGTGTCACAACTGCTGACCGAGGTGATGACCACCCAAATCAGCAGTTCAAACTACAATAACTGACTTCCTGTTGGTTTTTTAACTCCGACATACACCTGTTCCTTTCACCTTGCACAGTATCATTCCAAGGACCCCTTCAACTCTTCCGTGCCCCCATGGGGAGGCCTTAAAGTTTGTAAACCTCTGGTTTAGAGGATCTAAGACCTAAGGCTAAAAGGATATGTAATAAGTAAATTGTATAGGAAGCCAATGCACAGGTGTGATGTGGTCTCTTTTTTTGTTCATTTAAAATCTGGTTGCTGAATTCTGAACTAGTAGAAGTCATGTTAGTTGCTTCTGACTGAGACAGGAAGACAGTACTAGTCAGGACGAGAAAAGACAAAGGCTTTGAAAACCCTTTTATATCTCTGCTAAACAAAACTTATTTTTATTTTTAACTGCAGAAAGCATTATTGTACAATCCACTTGACCTAGAAAGCCCAGCTGCATATATTATCTTTATGCTGCAGATAGTTTTGAGACATCCACTCTTCTGTTTCCAGAGGCCAGTGATAAAGAGGAACAGGAAACACTCCAGCAGACCCAGGACCTCCTCTCCTCAGAGGAAACAACCTCAAACCCTTGGAAGGAGACGAGGTGGCAGGGCGTATAGAGAAAGACGCAGCGCCAGGTCACCGTCATACATTCCCCGATCCCAGTCCCTGTCCCCTCTGAGAGCTGGAAACACCCACCATCTGGCCCGGCTCAGCCTGGGTTCTGCAACACCCGGCCCTGCCGACTGGGACACAACCAGCACCTCCCAGCCTGTAAGCACAAAAAACACATCTTTATTTCTTTCCCAGCCAGCAGATGGCAGAGAAGAGCTAAGTTAGACAGCAGTTATTTTTATTTTCTTTCACTGACTGTATTCTTTAACTTTTATCTGATGCAAGTTAAAGAATACACCTCACTCACCTAATAGTACCTCTCCGTGTTATGCAATGTTCACTCTCTTTATTGTTAGGTTTGCTGCCACTAAGGTTTTACACCACAATTATTTGTATATGAGAGGAGTGTGTCAGTGTTCAAAGGACATTCAGGGCCTAAGTAATATAAAAAGCATTACTGATACTATAAAGCTAAAAAAGCCAATATACAATAGATTTTGTCTCTCCTGTTGTGATATGTTTTCAGCCTTTTCCACCAGACAGCCATCATGCTTTTGCTGATTTAAATGCATTTAATTCATTTTTGACCATGGGAATTGTAGTTTGTAATAGTAGTATTAAACTAAGTGATTTTAATTTACTTTCTCCAGAGCTTTCAGTTTTTCCATACTTAGGCTACCTCATGAAAACTGAGCAAAGGTGATTTGCTGATGATGACCATACGATATAGTTGAAATGTCTGGAAAATGTTAGTGGAGCTCGAAGTTCGAAGATTATTTTGTCAAGGAACCCCAAAAAACCCATACCGTCTTACGCACTTGTATATCTGTACATCCTGGCTCTTAAAAATAGTACTTAGCACTGTGTAGCAACCTAGCCTAGCTAGCTTCGCTGTCTACCAGTAATGGATAGCTAGCCTAGCAATTATGAGTGCTTGAAACTGGTGCTATTGACGTCCTTACTCTACTGAAAGCGATCTGTTGCTTTTTCTCTTCTGATAAATGTACTTATTTTAAGTCGCTTTGGCCAAAAGTGTCTGCTAAATGTAAATTTAAATGCAATGTTCCCATTGAGTTGGCCAGTTAACTGAGTTATTTTAAACATGCAGTTGTGTAGCCTCTTTAGAAAAAACTATAGGCCTATTTCTAAGCTGCTAAATCTTAAAAAAAAAAATTATTTTAGAGAAAGTTGTTGCCAAACAGCTCACTGACTATACACAACATTTTAGATAAATTCCAATCTGGTTTCTGTCAGAAGCATTCCACTGTGTCTGCTCTTCTCAGGGTCTCCAACAGGGCTGCCAATTTTTCTATTTAGTGTGAGAGTGACTATTTTGAGTGAAACCAAACCTGGTATCTAGGAATGTTCCTCCCTAGAAACTCGGTGTTAATCCAGAAACTGTGTTTCTTGCATTCCAGAGATTTTATGGAGGATTTTAGTTGTTTCCATGCAAGAGTGTAGGTTTTCCTTTCACAGTGGAGGGAACACTTATGTAGTGGGGGTCAGGGGTCACTCTCCGAGAAAAAAATTTAAACACCTAATTTCCTGCATTCCCAGAGGAAAAATCTTTTGCTCAGAATAGTCTTTTCTTTAACTCTTGAGAAAACACTAAGATCTCAATAGTAAATCTTGTTGAGATCACTCCAATCTGAATTGTTGCTCCTAAAACCCCTTAGGAGAAAAGGATGAGGTGAAGTGAGATTGAGGTTTTGAGACTTGATGGACAAATGGATACTGAATTTAGATTACAATAGGATAAATCAAAGTAAAAGATGAGATCTTTTTGAGTTCATTAATGTCTTGCTTATTGCTCCTAAAAAGCAGTTGGGCGCTCTGGAGAGATGTTCATGAGTTTGATTGTATTACATTACTGTCTGTGCTTAGAGAACCGTGCTAGAGACCCTGAGCTGGATTTGAACCCCACTCCTACTGTTCAAATGGCAGCAACACTGCCGCTGCACCATCCAGCTAAAAATAATAATGGTGGACTTATTGTCGTTAAATAGAGTACAATTTTCCTTTACTTAAAATAGGAGAAATACCATATCCACATTTAAAGTCCTAAACATTCTACTCAAGTAAAAGGTATGAAAGTATTCCATAGTGAATGTACTTAAGTAAGTGCTCATTCTGTATGACAGATACTTGTTGTGTATCAGTTCTTGCGTGCATTCGGTCCTTAATGAATTAATCTCTAAACATCATGTCAATGTATTGGGTGTTCCAGTTATACTGGCTGTGACCTTAACCAATTGGAAAACAGGACATTTGAAAGTGCATTATTTTCAATGTCAAAATTTATTTTATTTTTCTCCGTAACTTGTAACAGATAATTAACAATAAATACAATAAGGATTTGGAATTAAGTGGAGTAGAAGTACAAGCCCCCATAAAAAGAAAGTACTCAACCTCAACATTTGACGTAAGTGAAGTAATTGAGTAAAATAACCCCTAAGTGGGGTCACTAAGACAAAACTGAGAAATATCTTGGAGCTTTTTTTCTGGACTGAAATTACACTTATTTAAGATACTGTAGAGATCTCATCTTTTGATCAGAGTAAGACAGAGATGAGTTATTTGCTTCTGAGGCCAATATGAGAAAACTGAGACATATTTGAGAAGAATCATGAGATCCCAGTAGTCATAGCTGAGTTTTCTTTGAGCTCTTTCTCTGATCTCATGGTCCAATGTTCAGGAGACTTCAATTAGACTTATTTAAGATCAGTTCGAGATCTCTTGTTTTGATCAGAGTTAGACATGAATTAGATTTTATATGGTTGTTTCTCCTGAGATGAATTTGAGAAGTGGGAGAAAAGGCCTTTATTCTCACCTTGGTATTAAAATTAGCTCATTTGTGTCTAGGAGAAAAGAAGGAAACAACTATGAGATCTCATCTTGGCTTTTGCTTTCCTAGGGGTTCTGGTGACATTTTACGCTCCAATTTATAGTGGAAATGTTTTTATTTAGGCTATGTAAAGGGAAACACAAAACTTAGGAGCAGGGAACAATCACACATTTAAAAATATAACATAATATAATTATTCTTCTCTCCTCTATTGTGTCTTTTGTTTGGTGAATGACAAATTTAAATGTGCATGTGGCACCTGTTCACGTATTGATTATACGTTTAAACATTAATATCTGTATTAACGATCTAAGCAGCTTAGAAGCAGCTAAAGCGGGCGACCCTGTGGGGTTTAAGAGGTTTTATACATCCATAGAACTTAAAAACAGACCAGGAGTCTAATGGAGACAAGCTTTTATTTGTCAAAATGTGTTCCCACACCAGGCCAGTAAACGGGGTAGGCGGCTATTTGGGACTCGGCTATTAATTGATATTTTTACGGTACTTAAAAAATGGTGTAAATAGTAAAACAATACAAACGCGAATGGGCCAAATAAATGCGTTTTAAGTTTAGAAACATTTTGAGACCCCCCTCCCTTGCCTCACAGTGGTTTGGTCCACTGCCTGCTTTCCCCCTTTACATCACCTACACTCACAAGTCCGGTGAGAGAGAACAAGTCTGAATTGCTTCAGAAGTTGTGGAACTCCAATGCAAGGCTATTTTATTCATTTTAAAGTCAGATGAACTTATTCTTTTCTCTTTAAAACAGATGATGCTGAGTCATAAATAAATTAGTCATGACAAAAAATTATGATAACCATTTTATTTTTCCATGTGTTCGAGAGATTATAACCATACCTAGCTTGTTAAATAACTTGCTGGATAGTTATTCACCCACTACAGCTAACACAGCCATAAGCCTGTGTGAACTGATATTAGGCTAATGGAGTTACTAGTAGAGCTACTGTTGTGTTGGGTTTCGCTCAATATGATGTCACGTCAGTGATAAATTCATTCATTTTAATTCATTTATAAACTCCTGGATGTTAGTTCTTGTCCAATTTTCTGCTAATTTTCCAAACTTTCTGCACCTTCAGAATCTCTCCCACATATCTGTGTTCTCTGACATGTCTAGAAAATATAGTATAAATAATATAACGAGACTAATGTCATCATTTAATGAGAAATCATAATATTTTTTAAAAGTCTACCTGCCCTGTACTCTGCTGTACATTACATTATTGCTCTGCTGGTAGTTTCCCCTTCAAACCATCTGAAAGATACACAGCCTGTTTGGGGCTGTATGTTAGGAAGGGGTACAGGTGGAAACGTAGTAACTGAAAGTAACTGAAACACTTCATCAGGCAGAAATCTCACCAACAACTCCCGAACAGAGCAAGGTTGTGGTTCAGTTTTTGCATTTTTATATTGCAAAACTCTACCAGCTACGTTACCACTTTGTCAAAACTGTCTCACAACGCGAGAGCATGTACACTTGATTTCGCATCAGCTGGGCAGAGTTGAATCACACCGATTTGTCGTTATCAGTTAAAGTGTCTCTCCAATGACAAACTGATGTCTTCTGATGCGGGTGAATGTTCTTTTCTGGCGCTGCGGGATCTTAGTGCAGATTTTGATACTGCAGACTGGGTGTCTCTGGGACTCCATGGACTGGTTCTTCTGTTTTTCTGTGTCGCTTGGTCCTTATATGTGTCAAACCCTATTTTCTTTTCTTCATATATGTAGTATTATTGGTCCTTTGAAGTAGTTTGCCCAACTCTCTTCCTTTAGACATACGTTATGCGGCCTCGATTGACGCCTTCAAAGAGCAGCTAAAGACATTATTTATTCAAACTGGCCTTTGTCTCATTGTCTAATGTGTGCAGTCTTGAGTGTTTTAAAGGCCCAATATTGCTTATGTTGTAAATGTGTGATTGTTTTACTGTTTTATGAGTTTGTTGCTAATGTTTTATTGTTGTTTTGATGGTCTAATTTCTCAGTGTTTCAATGTCTCTAATTTTCTCTTGTAAAGCACTTTGTGACCTTGATCTCTGAAAGGTGCTATATTAAATAAACTTTAATTACTTCTTTACTCACCTACACTGAAATTACTAACAATTAATAAAAACATCTTTTCAAACAAATTTGAAAGAGAATTAGAGTAAAATATTCAAATGTGAAGTTTCAGTGAGAATTAACATTTTTAAGCTAGACTATGTAACTGTGGCCACAAGTGGCAGTTACAGGATAATAGCACATTGAATTTTCCTTCACTTCCCAAAATTTTCATGAGTCCCTTGCTTTAAAGACATCATTGTACGAAAGTCAGATGTGCATTCCCAGATCAGTGGGGGGCACTCATGCACGATATGCACATGGACACGCGCATTTGCCAGTATCAGCTACAGAATAGTGGCAGACAGTTTCGTTCAGCTCAGCAGGGACAACTAAGCTTATATAACTTCTCCCTTGTGATTTGTGTGCATGAGTGAATAAGGTGAGAATCTGCTTACGTTTCTTCAGCTGTAGAGCAAGTTCATTTTCTGTTAAAGGTTCAGTGTGTAATATTGACAGGAATGCAATATAAGATCCATAACTATGTTTTCAGTGGTGTGTAAAGATCTTACATAATAAACCATTATGTTTTTATTACCTTAGAATGAGACATTTATATCTACATAACCGTGGGCCCACCCTTCCATGGACATCATCACGTTGCATCATCATGTTTCTACAGTAGCTGAAAACAGACAAACAGCGCTACAGAGCACGTTTCATCACTACATTCTGGTTGTTCTACTTCTGGTAGAATTCAGGCAGTGTAGACACTCATCACTATGTTCACTAAGAAGTAGTAGTAGAAGTAAGTAGTAGTAGAAGTAGTACTAATATACAGCAGGGGTCTGCAAATAAAATTTGCAATATTTGCAACATGTTCAACCATTAGATGGTGGATGAGAATATAAGCCATGATATTGAATTCTATCAACATGTTGTTTGGTTAACTCAGTCAGTAAGGTGCAGGACTTGCAACCCATGGGTTGATTGTTTGATCCTGCCTTGGGGTATCTTTTTGTTTTCTCTCTTCAACAAATGGATTCTGCAGCAAATGTTTCTCAGATCACGGCATGTGCTGCACTGTTTTTGTTTCGGTGTTTGATCCGCATCCATCAACCTACAGACGCTTTTTCATTTCCCCAGTGTCTCCAGGCTGAGGAAATTTAGGGGAATCACGTTTTCTGACGGCTCTTTCAGAGGTGTGTAAGGCAGGCAACAGACTCTTTTAATGCCCTTCAGAATTTTTCAAAGTAAAAGCTCAGTTCAACTCCAAATACTGCTTGACAGTAAACAAGCTTCTCCCACTTTTATTTTTTAGGCAAAACCACTAAAGAGGAAGTGATTATGTCAGTAACTGTTGCTGCCATGACTGAGATCTATTTCAGCACCACTATTAAAGTATTTATTATCAAAGCACCATAATCAGGCTGTCGGCAAGATATTATTGTTGGCGGGCAGTTTTGGCGAGGGTCCATAATCACAGAGACAATAAACATGTTTCATTTGTCACTGTTTGTATAAACTTTATCTAATGTGTGGTTTATAATGGACTGTGGTGCAGAAACAGTGACAGTGTTTCACACTCTTGGCTTACATTGTCCATGTTGTCTGTCAGTGGCCAAGTCACAATAACATTTACTGAATACTTAAGTAAATATAATTTCTTAATAAATATAACTAAAGAAACCTCATTTCTTGACTGGCCTCTCTGCTGTCTCAGAAGAGACACCTTTTGTGCTGTCAGCCACCGTAGCTGTCCGATGCTCTTTGAAAGGCTAGGGGGCAGTGGTAGACTGGACAGATGGCTGCAATTCACAACCCTCACCACTAGGTGTCACTTAATCTTACACACTGAAGCTTTACCATGCATGCCTTTGTGTATTTCTCAGTTTCCATTTGTAAATGTTGTCTTGTCTTCAGATGTGCTAGCTTGAATAGTGAGTGAAGGCTATTATGGGTTATGTCAATAGGTTATCTGAACACCAAGTATAGCAATTTTTATGTAAGGGAGTTTTCCACCAGATTTGTTTGGAAGATTTGAGATTTCTAATAGAAAGCCCTTATTTGAAAGAACTGGATTTAAAGATATTTTTCCATTGTTAATTTCCAGAATCACACCCATTCACTGTTGTAACCTGTCACTGGAATAAATAAAGAATCCTCTCAGAATCAGACATTTGAATCATTGATGTCAGTTAAATAACAATATCTATCTAGGATTTGCTAATGATAGCTAAAGTCAGCCTCCATAAGCCACAGGTCACACCAGACATAGAAAAGCAAAACCCCTGAGTGTACTGAATTATTCCTAAATTCTACTTTTCATTTGTAAAAAGAGGAACGTGTATTTTCTTTTAAAAGTTACATAGCCTCACTTTAAAGTTAAAGACAGTTTATGAATTGTTGTAGCGTCATGTTAAACCAGTTTCCAACATTTTGCGGTTTTGACAGCTGGGTGTAGTCTAGAAGATATATGAGGATTGGTTGGTGATATTGTCTACCAGTGTTAAAATTAAATAATATTGTAAATGTCTTTTGTGGTGTTCTCCATTGCTAAAAATTGTCATATGTTAATCACTAGTATTCAATTCAATTTTATTTATATAGCGCCAAATAACAACAACAGTTATCTCTGAGTGCTTTTCATGAAAGAGCAGGTCTAGACCATACTCTATGATGATATTTACAGAAGCCCAACAGTTCCCACCAAGAGCAGCACTAGGCGACAGAGGCAAGGAAAAATTCCTTTTAAGAGACAGAAACCTCAAGCAGAACCATGGCTCAGGGTGGGCGGCCATCTGCCTCGACCGGTTGGGATAGAGAGAGAGAGGGAGAGAGAGAGAGAGGGCAAGAGAGGAACATAGACAGAGAGAGAGGGATGGAAGGCAGCCTACACAGTATACACACAGAGGTACAGACATTTTAGTAATTAGTATACACCAATTTCAGGAAACATTTTATATTTGCAGTTTGGAACACCTACTGCATGAGTTGTTACCTTATCACAATAAAATGGTCCAACCTCTTTGCCAAGAGCTTGAGCCCTAGTTGTGTTCATCCTGTAGCAGTTTGACCTGCAGGCCTGCTCATTATGTGCTCTTTCTCCTGTGTGTAGATGCTGGCTTCGTGGCCCGGAGCCAGTCGACCTGCCTCGCCCCACCACTCTGCAGTGTTTAGCAACACCTCTTCACCTTTGACCAGGTCTTCATCCGTAGGTAGAATCTTTATATAAAGCTGATTGGTTTCTACTGAAGATGTTTATGGTTTCAAACTACTTCCAATAACAGCTAGTAAAATTTACCTTTATGGTTATACTGCTGTTGACATGACCTAATTCACTGTAACAAGCTGTTAGTTTGATGATGAAAACCTACTTACAGTCAGGTTTCTCTCACCAAAGAATATTTCTTTCTCCTCCTCTTTTTTCTGTTTTAGTGAGATTTTCTCCAACTGACAGAAGAAAATCTTTTTCCAGTGGTTTGGTAGGAACAATTTAATTTCCTCCTCTTTGGTCTCTCAGGCAGTTTTGGGGTTAATTAGATATGGTCCCAATTCATAACATAAGCATTAAAGAAATAGTTCAACATTTTTGAAAATACATTTTTCTGCTTTCTTTCTGAGAGTGAGATGACAAGATCGATACTAAACTCTGTGTATTAAATACAGAGCTGGAGTCATGATGTGATTAACCAAAGTTCAAAAATCACCTACCAACACCTCTAGAGCTTCCTGATTAGCTCTCTTTCAAAAAAAAATCCACATGAAATGAAACTGAAATGTAAAAACATCACAGGAGTTGGAAGTTGTATTTTGGAACTTTGGACAGGTCCATGCTTCGCTTTATCTAAAAGCTAGGTAAACCACATCTTGACTCCAGCTCCATACTTAATAACACAGACATATAATAGTGTAAGAAAGCAGATAAGCATATTTACCAACATTTTGAACTATTTCTGAAATGCAAAACCTCGAAAAAAATACCTAAGACCTACAGAAATGTTTAATAATCTAAATTGAATTATGATCAGTTGAGAAACACAAAAATGTGGATTTGCCATCTGTAAGTTAAACTCTTTAAACATGTGCCTAAATAATTCAATTCATTCATCAGCTTTATTGGCATGAATGTATAACAACAACATTGCCAAAGCTATATATAAATTACATAAGAACATTTCATTAAATAAGTAATTAAAACTAAATATACCCTACTATTAGGTTATTAAAATCTGTAAATAGCTGCAACTGAGACCAGCATTAGAGAGTAAAATGAATCAATTGCAGAGGTGCACATGCATTAATGGGATGGATATCTGATGGTGAAAGAAACTAATGGAATGTAACTCCTCTGTGTTTCCATTGGCAGGTTGGAGGGATGTCAGAAGACAACTCCAGCTCTTCAGAAACACTTGACCCCCTTGACTACCACCAAGGTCCTGAGCCTTCAAGGATGGGGGGGTCTTACAGAGAGCAGGCCAGGCACAGCAGGTCCTTTTCTTGACTAGTTGTGAATATTGACATTCATAGTATAATCATGCACTCACCATAAAGGTAGATAAGGCAATCACAAACTTAAAACATAAATAATTCATGCTTTCCCAATAATGCCAAAAGTTAACAAAGCGTGCAGTCTTTCAGTAAGCTTTGGGGCTGTTGGAGGATGATTTCATCTGCTTTTGCTGGAGTCAAGTATTTGTGCTAAGCTAGCTACATCACTGGCTGATCTATCTCTGTAATAGTTGGACAGCAATTTTCAATCGAGTAATGATGACTAATAAATAATTCAGGTCTCAGTCCGGCTCTCACAAAGAATGGGAAGAAGTCCACGAGCGTGTTCGGGGACTCCTTACGACACCAAAAGCTGTACGCCGACTTGTCTATGTGAGTAAAACATTAGACTCACAACAACAGTGTGTCTTCCAGTCTAGTGTTAGACTTGTTGTCATTTATGCAGACCACCATATATCTTTTGCTTCAGGTGTGGATAGTTAATAGGAATGTAAGTACTATTATCATGTTTTTAATTACTACAAAATTGACCTCAACTGCAGAGGGGACCAAGTATTCATTTGAAACTGACTTACATTAGAGATTCCTTTATTTTCACTGTTTCATAAATATATCTTATCATATGTCAGTTAGAAGCTCCCTGTTTTCTGATCTGCTTTTTTTTATTGGTTGTTAATATAAACTCAAAATTTCCTCCATGAATGAAGTATTTCCAATTGCTTCCATTTCACTTCTTTTGATGGCTGTTAAGCTACTGTCAAGAAAACGTAACAATTCCTGCACAGAATTGATTTATTGGTTGTGGTCGGGATGCAAAGAGAATGTCAACAAATATAACAAAAAATGCTTCTGAAATAAACTGCCTCCCCGGCTTTAATTAGTGAATATAAACAGTATTTTTGTTGAAAACTCAGAGCAGCAGAGTGGTTAGTATGATATATATGAGGATGTCTACGGATGGAATTAGTGCTGTGGAATTTACCGTGTGAACTATTGTCGTACAGTTGATTTCATCTCTCCCTCCGTCTTTTCTTGCCCTTTATTAATGACCAACCTTATTTACTCTTGCTGGCTACTATTTGAGGCTCTTAAATGTGAAAATTTAAGATTTTCAAGAAGTTTCTCCTTTGTAGTGTATTTTTGAAGGCAGATTTGTTCCTGGAAGTTTTTGAACATAAGTTTGCTACTTTAATGTGTAAATAGTAGGAACAGGAAAACACTGAAGATCACAGATTCCGATTACAACAATGGAAGAGAACATGAGTGTTACTGTGTTTTAGGGGGCCACACACTCCGAGGTAGACGAGGTTTTAGCGCGGAGGTCCATCTCTCCAGGTCCACCGTGATGACCTGGCCAGGGTCCTGAAAGGTGAGGGGGACCTGCTCTGTGTCTCCATGACTTTAATTTTTCACTTTAAAAATGTTGTCCTGCATCCTGATCATGTAGTGGTAAAGATGCATATCATGTATTCACTACGTCCCTGGTTTGATTCATGTTAGTCACCTTTGTTGCTTGTCAAACCAGTATTTCTATAAGAAGGTCAGTATAACTTTTTTTTTCTTTTTACAAAAAAATGTCTCCCTCCCGCTTATTTCATTTCTGTGGGAAAATTGTGGCTTTCTGAGTGTGAACCAGTTGAAACTGTGTAAGGTCAGTGAAAATGCTGTCATTTTAGATTATGTTTCGATGGACAACCTCCAAAGCAATTTATGTGACTATAAAAATGATTGGAAGACTTAATGCTGTCTGCTTTTCCCTGACTTTAGATGTTTTATACATTTTTTTTAACATACAGGTGCTGGTCATATAATTAGAATATAATCAAAAAGTTGATTGATTTCAGTAATTCCATTCAAAAAGTGAAACTTGTATAATGTATACAATCATTTCACACAGACTGATATATTTCAAGTGTTCATTCCTTTTAATTTTGATGATTATAACTGACAACTACTGAAAACCCCCAAATCTGTATCTCAGAGATTAGAATATTGTGAAAAGGTTCAATATTGAGGACACCTGGTGCCACACTCTAAACAGCTAATTAACTCAAAACACCTGCAAAGGCCTTTAAATGGTCTCTCAGTCTAGTTCTGTAGGCTACACAATCATGGGGAAGACTGCTGACTTGACAGCTGTCAAAAGACGACCATTGACACCTTGCACAAGGAGGGCAAGACACAAAAGGTCATTGCTAAAGAGACTGGCTGTTCACAGAGCTCTGTGTCCAAGCACATTAATAGAGAGGCCAAGGGAAGGAAAAGATGTGGTAGAAAAAAGTGTACAAGCAATAGGGATAACCGCACCCTGGAGAGGATTGTGAAACAAAATCCATTCAAAAATGTGGGGGAGATTCACAAAGAGTGGACTGCAGCTGGAGTCAGTGCTTCAAGAACCACCACGCACAGACGTATGCAAGACACGGGTTTCAGCTGTCGCATTCCTTGTGTCAAGCCACTCTTGAACAAGACACAGCGTCAGAAGCGTCTCGCCTGGGCTAAAGACAAAAAGGACTGGACTGCTGCTGAGTGGTCCAAAGTTATGTTCTCTGATGAAAGTAAATTTTGCATTTCCTTTGGAAATCAAGGTCCCAGAGTCTGGAGGAAGAGAGGAGAGGCACAGAATCCACCTTGCTTGAAGTCCAGTGTAAAGTTTCCACAGTCAGTGATGGTTCGGGGTGCCATGTCATCTGCTGGTGTTGGTCCACTGTGTTTTCTGAGGTCCAAGGTCAATGCAGCCGTCTTCCAGGAAGTTTTAGAGCACTTCATGCTTCCTGCTGCTGATCAACTTTATGGAGATGCAGATTTCATTTTCCAACAGGACTTGGCACCTGCACACAGTGCCAAAGCTACCAGTACCTGGTTTAAGGACCATGGTATCCCTGTTCTTAATTGGCCAGCAAACTGGCCTGACCTTAACCCTATAGAAAATCTATGGGGTATTGTGAAGAGGAAGATGCGATACGCCAGACCCAACAATGCAGAAGAGCTGAAGGCCACTATCAGAGCAACCTGGGCTCTCATAACACCTGAGCAGTGCCACAGACTGATGGACTCCATGCCACGCCGCATTGCTGCAGTAATTCAGGCAAAAGGAGCCCCAACTAAGTACTGAGTGCTGTACATGCTCATACTTTTCATGTTCATACTTTTCAGTTGGCCGACATTTCTAAAAATCCTTTTTTTGTATTGGTCTTAAGTAATATTCTAATTTTCTGAGATACTGAATTTGGGATTTTCATTAGTTGTCAGTTTTAATCATGAAAATTAAAAGGAATGAACACTTGAAATATATCAGTCTGTGTGGAATGAATGTATACATTATACAAGTTTCACTTTTTGAATGGAATTACTGAAATCAATCAACTTTTCGATGATATTCTAATTATTAAGTTATTTCAAATATTTCTTTCTCTAGTACTGCAAATATGTAAGCATCTTATATTTCTGCAGTTTCTTTTTGACCTCCAAAAAATGTATCTAACAAAAGATAAAATAAAACCAGGCCTGGGCTTTGCCTTAAACCAGTTCTTCTCTCCTGTTCTCCATCTGATGTTACACTTTTATAACCCCTCACACATTCACAGTGAAACAGTTTTAGGTAGTTGCAATACTTTGCTCACCAGACTTCTCCATACTCACTCCATGTCGCTGCTTCAGGTGAGTTAGTTAGACAGAGTTAGACAGGTGCAGGAGCATAGAACAGTCTGCCGGTCATACTGTGCAGGCGCATGGAGCTGCGTTCTTGCCCACTGCTGTTTGCAACAGCATTTATAAATGCCAGCTGGCAGTATATAATAATAAAACTATATTTTAAGAGGTGTGAAACATCGAATGACACATTTTTGATGAACAGTGACAAATATGTTGCGTTTCCTTTCTTCACAATAAAAGCCGGACCGTATTTCACCTGTTGAATGCTTTTAATTTGAAGCAGCTTTGATTTCAAAATAACTGTAAGTACCAAAGCTGCAAAAGAAGAAGTTGTATTATTGTTGTACCTGATATCTGTCTTTTTCCTCTCCTAGGGAAAGAAACCATCACATTGCCAATGAAGTCTTCAGATGTCAAGACTGTCCTGGTCTGTGTGTGTGTGTGTATGTGTGTGTGTGTGTGTGTGTGTGTGCAAAACAGAGAGGTATTTCACTGCAGTGGTTTGATAATTGTCCACACACCCTGTATTAATTGACTGTCAAAATAGTGTGTTTTATGTAAAAATAAATATTTTAGAAATCATGCATGTGGTGTAACTGTTTGAACACAGCCAGGAGGCAGTAGTATGACGTCATAAGTCACTATCCAGCTAATCTATTAAGCTGACATTGCAGAGTCCTCAGGTAAATCAACCAAAGACTATTAAAAGCAAATTGTGTCTATGGCGATGCAGCTTTGTGTGACCCACTGCCATATATCAGAGAAATAGCTGCTCACTATGACTATGAGGCATTAAGCACTGCTCTGGAACATTGTGAGCTATTGCAGAAGGGCTGTTGAAACAGAGCTGTATTTTGGTGTAATAAGCAATGAAGCTATAGGCCTTAGTGGCAAGTTTTAGTTTTTCTTGGTCAGTTGTAACAAAAGTCTTTAAATAATTCTGTCAATATAAGACAGTTTGGAAGTACCTGGGCCTGCTACCTATAAAGACAAGGAAGGTGTTAAGAAATGGCAGCTTATAGGCCTTTCTTTTGGCCCGGATCAGTCTGCTTTAGTTGCGGCATGCCAAGGCAAGCCCTTATGACATATGTTTCCATTACAGCTTTACAGCAAGGGATAGCCTAGCCATGCTGCTGTGGTTGTGCTTGTTAGCAGGGCTGCAACTCCCCCTTAATAGAGCTATGTCGTCCCCAGCTTGTCTCTGTAGATGAAAAGAGGTAAAGGAAGAGCCACCTCTACAAAACCTTTAACACAATCGTGCATAAACAAAATGTAACACACCTATTTGTATCAACAGCAGTGGCATGGATGATCCATGTAGTTTACAGTTCTCTTCCACAGTGCTAGTGATCAAGTCAAACAGCCAATCAGTGAGCGCGTTTGTTATGAACGCTGGCAGATCATGTGATGCCTTTCTGCTCGCGGACACTGTTCTATGCACATGCCTGGTTTTTATGTGCGCAGGTTTTGAGACTACCGTAAAACTTAATAGCCCAAGCTTATATTTGCTTCAGTTGCTGAACACGCCCTGCCTGTATTTGGGACAGGCCTTTAATTCCTTTTCCCACAAAACTCCTGCTCAGCAAAGATGGGAAATAGTACTACTATGGAATTGTTCATTTCAACCAATATGAATATTACGGATAATTTATCAATTATGAATCGTTCATTTGATCTAAACAGGCCATATAGGCCAACCTAATGCACACAGAGGGGCAGGCGTCTAACTGGGACTAGGCTTTTAATTTAAGTTTTACGGTGATTAAACACCATAAAAACAATGTGCACAATTTTGGACAGTGATGCAAGTATTGAGAACAATGACAAATAAGCTTTTGAGAGGTGTTAAAGCCCTACATACTTCACCTGAAATGCAAGAAAAAATGAGCTACTTCAGGTATGACGATTTTAAGAACTGATAAAAAAATAAGCAAAATTTTACCATGTACCTTATATTAGTGTTGAAGAAGGTTGTGTGGTAGGTGTTAACGAAGAGCTTGTCAAGAGACAGAACAGAATCAAACAAAACATTAGCAACCTTTTTTTATTTGCTTGCAGTTACACATAATGTAGTACATGTTGATTCACATACTGTGGGTACTCAAGTATTTGTCTGTACAGAGAAGGGGTTGGTTGATGCCAGTGTGCTTTTGAAATGTAGAATTCAACCTGATGTTGTGAGGGCTTATCTGCTGATCAGTATAGAGTTACAAACAAGCACCTTCATTCACACAAGTTTTATTTCAAATATGGCCCTTCTGGCAGTGTAGGGACGACTAAACACTGAGACTTAGACTGCATTCCTGACACAATGAATTTGGTAATTTTGACCTCCTGGGGAAAAGTAATGGAACCCTTTAACGTGAAAACCCAAATAAGATCACCAAAGGATGTAGTCATGTAATATCACACTAAAGCTGACAGTACTCTGTAAACACCATTACTCTATTGAACATTTTTATTATATTGAAATTAGTTATTTATCTCATTCATATCATTTGCATGATACTTTTGCATTTGCAGTTGTTCTTTTTCTATGCTAGTTAGCTACTAAAATTGCAAAATATTAACATATTAGGAATTATATAGGGATTTTTCTCCAAGTAAAGATTTTTCCCAGCTGGACCACTAAAATTAGCATGTCTAACTAGCGGGGAATTTCCGACTTCCAACTTCAAATGGAACACAGTACAATACGATATCGTGCTGTGAACTACGTTGGCAGTTTACTTCCTACCACAATCTGAGCAACAAACTACTAAGTAGAAGCTTGTAGTTGTCTCGTAATTAATGTAGATTATGTCGATCTGGTTAGTCATGTTGCATAATACATATCTCCGTTAGCATGTGATGGATAACATGAGTGTCATTGAGTGGTGTTGCGATGAATTATTGTATTTTCTGCCAGGAATTTATCAGACTCGAGTGATGGTTGAAAGTAAACCAAGCAAGGAAGGACCAGTTTTAACTTCAACCTAAAAACACTGGGAACATTAGCTGCATTGTACAACAGAAAACCGTCAACCCAGCTGGTTCCATGTCAAGTATTTTTGAAGTTGACTGCGGCATGGAGTCAGATACACAGCGCTCAGTTACAGACATGGACATTCATTATAGAAAAGAGCTCAAGACCACAAGCATCACAAGCTGTAAGCATCACAAGTAACAGTGCAGCCAGGGATCATTAACAGACAATTGGATAATTTGTGGCAAAGCCGTCAACCATCATTAACATTGTACAGAAGGTCACGCAGATTATTGCCATCATCAGCCTCACATTCCCACCTGGACATAAGAACTACCAAAATCTAATGGCTAGACAAGCACATTGTTGCTCCCTTGAAGATGAACCCTTCTATTTTGGACATTGCAGCAAATTATTGTTTATATTAATTTGTCAATTATTCGATTTATCAGTGCAAGTCTTGTTTTGTCCGACAGTGCAAAACCGAAAGACATCCATTTTCTAATGATATAAATCAATGAAAAGCAAAGCAGTGTCTACAATCTACAAATAAATATCAATTATTTTTCTGTCTATCAAATGGATTAAACAACTAATTGTTTTAGTACCAGAGAACACTCATGCTCCCAAGGTGATAGACCTTTTTGATTTTAATGGCATCATGGCTTTTCCCTTCATCTACCTCTAGAACTGTTGTGTATAATGAACACTGCCGCTTTTAAGGGCAACTAGCCAGTTTTAAACATATAACTTTGTTTATTTCTGTGTTGTGTTCTAGCATTGCAGCTAGCAAATCACAGCCACTCACAGTTTGAAATTCTAACAAATGTCAATCATGGTTGACCACAATTGTCTGCACCCACATTTAGCTAGTGAGAAGCTAACGAGGCATCTAGGCTAACAAGGCATCTAGGCTGGAAGTAGCAAAAGCATACTGTAGCATAAAAAAGCAGATAGGAAGGAGTGTAGTACCTTGACATTTTTATAGTTTTGCAAGTTAGCTGTCACTGCAGTTTCTCCTATAATTTCCCTGTGTCAGCGGTTCCCAAACCTGGACAGTTTTTTTATATTGACAGCGTTGTTACGACTAATTAGGTAAAGGGGGCGTCACGACTGAAATAATAACAGTGTAATGTTTGGTTATTGTAATACATGTTAGGTCTTTTATCTTCCCCCACCTCTTCAGAAAAGTTTTTGCCTACTCATGCTAACAAGCTAGTTGCAAAAGTAACAGGAATATTATTACAAATAGTACGGTCTAGACCTGCTCTATGAAAAGTGAAAAAAATCACTATTCAGTTATTGTGGGCATGACAGGGAATGATGAGAAAATTTACAGCTCAGACAAACCACGACATATAAAGTTAAGTAAGTATAATTCAGTATTTTTGATGCACCATATCGTTTCCACACAACGGGGTAGCAAATGTTCCAAGACATTGTTGGCATGGGCTGGCTCATTGTGAGGTGTAATAGATGACACTGTTGCTTTGAATTTTCCAATGCTGGGGCTGTATGACAGAAAGTTCCTATCTTAAGTTAAGATCGGAGTCTAAAATAGGATTTTTTTTTTCAATTTGGTATTACAGAAGCAAATCCTTAACTTAAATTATGATAGGAACGTTGACTTCGTAACTGTTCATCTGTATTGGCCTTTTTAAAATCAGGTCAGAACCCTAATTACCATGTTTACCAACAGTTTACTAACAGTTAAGATAGGATCTGCTAGTTAGAAAGTGTCTGTAACAGTTGCCTTGGGAAATAAAACCATCAAAAGAAGAAGATGTCGTAGCTGTTTTCTCAACGTTCTGTCCAAAGTTAAAAAATACATCTACCAACACCACTAAAACTAATTAATTAACAAATTGTATCTCATTTATTCAGGTGAAACTCAAAAAATTAGCATATCGTGCAAAAGTTCATTTATTTCAGTAATTCAACTTAAAAGGTGAAACTAATATATTATATAGACTCATTACATGCAAAGTGAGATATTTCAAGCCTTTATTTGATATAATTTTGATGATTATTGTGTACAGCTTATGAAAACCCCAAATTCAAAATCTCAGAAAATTAGAATATTGTGAAAAGGTTCAGTATTGTAGGCTCAAAGTGTCCCACTCTAATCAGCTAATTAATCCAAAACACCTGCAAAGGGTTCCTGAGCCTTTAATTGGTCTCTCAGTCTGGTTCAGTGGAATTCACAATCATGGGGAAGACTGCTGACCTGACAGTTGTGCAGGAAACCATCATTGACACCCTCCACAAGGAGGGAAAGCCTCAAAAGATAATTGCAAAAGAAGTTGGATGTTCTCAAAGTGCTGTATCAAGGCACATTAATAGAAAGTTAAGTGGAAGGGAAAAGTGTGTAAGAAAAAGGTGCACAAGCAGCAGGGATGACCGGAGCCTGGAGAGGATTGTCAGGAAAAGGCCATTCAAATGTGTGTGGAAGCTTCACAAGGAGTGGACTGAGGCTGGAGTTACTGCATCAAGAGCCACCACACACAGACGGGTCCTGGACATGGGCTTCAAATCAAGCCGCTCCTGAACAACAAACAGCGTCAGAAGCGTCTTACCTGGACTACAGGAAAAAAAGAACTGGTCTGTTTCTCAGTGGTCCAAAGTCCTCTTTGCTGATGAGAGCAAATTTTGCATCTTATTTGGAAACCAAGGTCCAAGAGTCTGGAGGAAGAATGAAGAGGCACACAATCCAAGATGCTTGAAGTCCAGTGTGAAGTTTCCACAGTTTGTGTTGGTTTGGGGAGTCATGTCATCTGCTGGTGTTGGTCCACTGTGCTTAAAGTCCAGAGTCAGCGCAGCCGTCTACCAGGACATTTTAGAGCACTTTATGCTTCCTTCAGCAGACGAGCTTTATGGAGATGCTGACTTCATTTTCCAGCAGGACTTGGCACCTGCCCGCACTGCCAAAAGTACCAAAACCTGGTTCAATGACCATGGGATTACTGTGCTTGATTGGCCAGCAAACTGGCCTGACCTGAACCCCATAGAGAATCTATGGGGCATTGCCAAGAGAAAGATGAAAGACATGACACCGAACAGTGCAGAAGAGCTGAAGGCCGCTACTGAAGCATCCTGGTCTTCCATAACACCTCAGCAGTGCCACAGGCTGATAGCATCCATGCCACGCCGCATTGAGGCAAAAGGGGCCCAAACCAAGTACTGAGTACATATGCATGATTATGCTTTAAAATCCTTTTTTTTTTAAATTATTGATTTCATGTAATATTCTAATTTTCTGAGATTTTGAATTTGGGGTTTTCATAAGCTGTACGCAATAATCATCGAAATTATATCAAATAAAAGCTTGAAATATCTCACTTTGCATGTAATGATACTATATAATATATTAGTTTCACCTTTTAAGTTGAATTACTGAAATAAATGAACTTTGCACGATATGCAGATTTTTCAAGTTTCACCTGTATTTGAACTTCGGAGTAAGCCAGGCTAGTTTCCCCCTGCTTCCCATCTTTATGATAACCCAAGCTAACCTCCTCCTGGCTCTTGCTCCATCCTTAACGCACAGACAGGAGATTGATCTTTTTATCTCACGCTCTGCAACAAAGTACGGAAGCCCTAAGCGGCCATCTATTCAGTTATTTTTGTTTCTCCGGTTTCGCGTGATCTCGAGATAATAAAAAAGTAATTTAACCCAGGGGTTGGCTGGAGCGTTTCTTAATGGTAATTTCAAAGGAGTTATAAGTATCATCGGTTAGCTCAGTTGGTAGAGCACAGGCAAAGGCCAATTTTTCTTCTTCTTATGAAGAGACTGTTTCATATTCTCACATTAAGCATGTGCTGGACTATGTGTGTCCTGGTGAGCGGTCCACATCCATCAGCCTATGGAATTTTCATTCACCCATCATTCCCAGGCAGATGAAATTCCTGTGCTTCCCATAGGCGAATCTATTTAACGTTACACATTTCCTGACGGCTGTTGGGAATGTATGATTGGATTCCTCTGAATCTCTTCATAACAACTGTTGATGATAAAAAAAACGCACAAAAGAATCCACAGTTTACAAGTCCTGTGCTCTACCAACTGAGCAAACCAGTGACACTAGAAATTCTTCTGAAATTATCCTAAAGAAATGGATTCAGCTATGGTTTGTTATTTCTAGATCACGAGATAATTATCCTGTTATCATGGGAAACGGAGTCAAAAAACCCCATTTGAATGGATGGCCACTTAGGGCTATTCCCAATAGTTTATCCCAAAAACATACCTATAACATGAAAAATGTAGATTACCAGATAAAAGCTTACTTCATGTATGCTATAGCGTATTTCAACCCTACACCACAGTGAAAATATAGTTGCGAAGTTGTGAAAAACTACTCAAAAAGACACACTCTGATTATTATTGTCCATTATGTGACCATGCTGCCTAAACACAAATACAATTTGTGATCATAATAATTAAATCAAATAAATGTTAGGGATTTGGTTCTGAAAAAAATGTCCACAAATTTCACAGTGTTCAATGACTGAATAAGCCTTTGTTAACCATCTCCAGTCTCAGTAAAGTCTCCATAAAAGATCAGTCTGCAGCCAGCAATTAGCATAAATTTAACATATTGCTTCATGCAACTTGGTGAAAAACCTCTTTATATGTTTGGCACAGTTTAAATATACAGATAGATATACAAGCAGTGCAGATATACAGCCACGCGAAAAAGATCATTCACACATTTCAGAGAGTAATTGTCTAATCAAGGATTAAATAAAGTAGATTTCAAATTCAGATTATTGTTTTGTTTTCTCTTGTGTTAAATTGATCTTTTCTTTTTTGCAAAATACATACATACACCTCAGATATATCCAAAAAAATGTCCTCGTGCACACACACACACACAAGCTCTTCCTTTCAGTGCATCCTTGCAAGAAAGAACACACTCGTATTTCTAAAAAAAACAAACGGACTTTTCTTAATCTTGGCACAATTTGAGTGTAAGAAGGAAGCACTTTAATCTAGTTGTGGTTATAAATGTCCAACATAAAGGGTGGTCATCTTGGTTAAGCTTAACAGAGGCTGCTATTGCTGATGTTTGAGCTTGGATGGGTCTAGCTCGATAGTTTTCCTCTCTCGTCATGGTGCTGATACATGATGGAAGGTTTTCCGCTTGACATCCATAGCAGCATGGCACTTTCTCTGCTCCTCAGAGCCAGCCAGAGGCTAAAACTGGGAGGTTTCAGTAAAGGAGATTGCATCTGTCTTGTCGACGGTGAAGCCTCCATTGACGTAGGATTTCTTCTCGCACTCTTCGTCATCCAAAGTGGCTTCCAGAGCGAAGGGGTTGGTGACGTCCACATCAGATGTCAGATCCATCCTCTCCAGTTCCCTCTTGGATAGTTTCTGGACGATTCCGGCTCCATAAGCATCGCCAAGAACGTTGATCATAGTGCGGAACCGGTCCCTGAAACACACCGCTCAAAGTCAACCTACAGCATCGCTCTTAAGTTAGAATTCAAACTTTTTAGTAGGAAGGTATAGGAAAAACACTCCAGACAGAAGGTCAAGAGATCAACTTACAGCAGCCAATCCACAGCAACTATTAGAGTGACATCACTTGCAGGTAATCCAACAGCTGTTAAGACTATCACCATGGTGACGAGCCCAGCATTAGGGACTCCTGCTGCTCCAATACTGGCAACTGTTGCTGTTATACTGAAACAGAGAGACTCAATGTTGTAAATATTCCTCATTATAACACGCAGAAATGAAATGTTAAAGCCACATCTGAGAAATGAGTTGCCCCAAACGGCAGCAAGAAGTAACTGAAATACTCTAAATCATCAGTAAAGTGTGGGCAAGACGAACTGTTGTGACTGAGATACATGCAGTATGTACCAAAACAGTAGATTAGTAATAATACAAAGGGCACAATATCTGCATAGTAAACATTGTATATCAATACAGTTTATTTAGCTAACAGGGGTCATCTCTATGCATACAGATGTATGTAGTCCTGCCCTCAAATGGAACTCATTTCAGAGTTCAGAGACTGTCCTCCCCAAATAATGACAGCAACAGGTATTTGTTCAAATGCCTGTAACTGACATTAAATTGTAAATTCTCACTGCAAAGGCAGAACTTGCATGCCATTGTTATAGAGCCTCAAGCCTTTGTAGCGAGGAGGTCGGGGGTGGATGGATGAGTTAGCAAAGTTTATGGAGCACAGAGTGTTGTGTTCCACACACTTTGCTAACTCATCCATCCACAATGTACAATGTGGGTTCTGATGAGTGAGAAAGAAATGCATCTATCAGCTGTGATGCATTAATGACAGCTTTCTGCATGCTTCAAACAACCTACTTACAGGTCTGAGTGACATTTAGATACAAATATTATTACCTAAATGTATGTCAGTCATAACTTCATTATTATGCTTGCTGTGGATGTTGTACATTCCATTATGTCACATTTGTTTTTACATGTTTGTTGTTTGGTAGGCATAATCGAAATCAGCAAGAAATTACTACCTTGGTCATCAATACTAGTATTTTATAGTATCATAAGTTGTATTTTATAGTATCATAATCTGTAGTTAGAAGTGCCCCTGAGCAAGGCTGATTTACCTGATAGTAACAATCTGGCCCGCATCCAGAGCATAGTTATTCAGCTGAGCGATGAAGATGGCAGCCACCGCCTCGTAGAGTGCTGTGCCATCCATGTTAATGGTGGCACCCACTGGGAGGACGAAGCGGGTGATCCGCTTGTCGATGCGATTGTTCTCCTCGGCGCATCGGAAGGTGACGGGCAGGGTGGCAGAGCTGGAAGACAGGTCAGCGGTTGGCGTTATTACTGTGACCTCAAGGTTTTGGCACACAGGGGTCTTGATTCATAAATATGAAAATGTGTCATTTCCTGTGGTCCTAACATTAAATATATAACTATTTATATGTTGCTTTTAAGGCAATGGATGTACGAGTAGTATTAGTGTGGAGCTCAGTGGATTCTGACCTGGAGGAGATCATGAGTGCTGTCACCAGCGCCTGGGCCATTCCCAGTGTAAATGTATACGGGTTCTTCCTCACGATGACAAAGTAGATCAGTGGCAGACAGATGGTGGCGTGGATAGCTAGACTGCAGGACAAAACAGACATTTATTATAGAACAATGTATTTGAGGGGAATTGCCACATACTGTATGAAAAGCACAATATTAGACTTTTAGAGACACAGATAGACTTTTATATCCCCGTAACCTCCAGACGAAAAAGGTACTTTGTGTTTAATCATTTTAACTATTAAGCTTTTTGCACATGTTCATGTCACAATGTAAATATAACCAATATGATGCACTCCCAACTATTAAACTACTTCCCTTACAATAGAATTCGCTCGCGGAGTAGTACATGTTGAAAATGACATGGTTGTCCCATGGTTTTTAGTACAAATGTGAAATTTAAAGAATAGGTTTCTTATGAAAATGTTATGTAGCATCATTTATAATCATACATAGAACAAACATATTTATAGCTTCGGTTTTCAGAAACAACCCACTCTACTGCAGCTTCTCAAGGGGTTTAAACTGTCCGTTGGGGCAACTGTTAAAGGTTCTACATTTTGGGAAACGAGCTTATTTGCTTTCTTTTAGAGAGCGAGTAGTTAACCTAGCTTAAAACCTGGAAGCTGACTCTTTTAAAAGTACAACATTTACATGTCTGTTAATGTACAGATGACACAGATTAAATACAACATGCTAATCAGTGAGCTGAAGAGGTGTTGGTTATTTTTTACGTTTGAACAGAGTCAGGCTAGCTGTTTCCTCCTGCTTCCAGTCTTTATGCTAAGCTAACAGCCCTCCTGGTCCTATCTTGGTACTTAACGCACATTAAATGGTATCTATCTTCTCACCTTACTGTCACAAAAAAAAGGAATTACGTGTGTTTCATAAAATGCTGAATTATTCCTCAATATTGTGAAAACACACAAGGATATATCTTTTTTTATTTATTTCATACTGTACAGTGGCACTTTTCAGGCTCAGATGTAGCTGAGAGTAAGTCAGTAAAACCAGGTCGAAAGTCATGTGAGCTAACGGGAGATTTATATATATTATATATTTAGTGTTTTCAAGGTCTGAAAAATTACTCCTTGAATTAAGGGAGTAAAAGCTCAAATGTCAGTTGACTGAACTGACTTTTAAATGTAATTCATCTACAGTGCTTACAAATAGGCACACTTGGAGAGACTTGACATTACTTTGAAAGTAAAGACTCTTTCTGTTTATCATGATCCATTATCATTCATAGTCCTAAAGCAATAATGCATAAACATTTTTTATCGGCACTGAATGTTGCATTCAGAACATTATGACAGTGTGAACATTGCGTGCACATGTTGTCAGAAGCACTCCAAGAATTGGACTAACCCTGTGACCTAACTGGAAGGGATTTACTGTACAGTCTTTAATGGTGTCACTTAGATTTAGAGGCATGAGCGAAGCTTTCATTACTGCATCTGCAGGTTGAGCAGTTTTAAATGTCCTTGGCCCTTATCAGTGCCTGCACAGAGCTCAGCTTTTACTGTATCACTGGAGGGAGAATCGGCCCAAATGCCAAACATAAATCCCAGTGTGTGGAACAGGCGGATACAGAGTAATAGGACAGCTTACCCACTCAGCACCGTCACCATATAAAGACCCATCTTCCTGAAGATCTCCCAGTCTTCCACCTCAATGATCTTCGCAGCAATTAGGAACAGGATCCCTACTGGCATGTAGCTGAAAAACACAAAGTTTGTGACCTTTGGGGGATAGAATCTAAGATTAAAGAAAATATTGTGCATTTGGACTACAGCTGAAATAATAACTTGATTAAGTGATAAGCCAGTCAACAGAAAAATGATCAGCAACAAGTTTAACAATCGCTTGATCATTTAAGTCATTTTATAAAGCAAAAAAGCAAAAGATTCACTCGTTCTAGCTTCTCAAATGTGAATATTTGCTGATTTTCTTAGTCTTCTGTGAGAGTTAAGTCTATATCTTTGGGTTTTAAGCAGTTGGTTGGATGAATAAAATACATTTTTCAACATGACACAGTATAAAAATGTATGTAAATATTGTATCTACCAAACTTTCAACCCAACCTGGTATTAGGTTGCTAATCAGGTTTGGGCTCATGGCGCTTACTTAAATAAGCCTTGACCTTGGGTCAGGTTTGGACATTTTCAAATTTAACGTATTACGTTTGTTAGCATGGCAAGCTAACAATCAGTAAACGACAGCACAAGCTACTCTACTCTGGAAACAGTTAAGCTACCGCAACACTACAGTTTTATTGGAAGTAGCAAGGCTACCCAAATAAAATAACTTGTCATTGAAAATATTAAACAAAAACTTAGCTAGAGGGAGCTTCTATAAGCTCCAATCATTATAAGGCCCGCTTCTGGAAACACTGTAGTGACAACTGCTAAAAAAATCCAACTGGCTACAAAGTGTGTAGAGACTTTAATCATACTCTGACATAACAGTAGCAAGAAAACTGAGTAATGAGTACTTTTACTTTCATACAAATTATATTTTTGAATCGTGGTATTGTTACTTTTTAACATAAAGGATCTTATTAGCTCTTCCACCACTGCAGCTGGGACAAATAATTTATTGTTGTGTCACATGGTAGTTGCATGTATTTTTTTGTTGCCCATAAACATGTAACCTAAAGATGTAAAGAGAAATAGCTTATTGGCTAATTAGCCTGAGCCACTTGTGTTGTCAAATTGTGTGTTGGTCTAATAAATAATATATCTTAACTGACGGTACAATTGTTAGCTTTTTCTTCATGGCATTTGCAGCCCTATCCTAATAAGTCCATCTGGTGAGAAAGCCTGAGAAAAGCTAGTATGTGGACCTTGAGTTAAGATTATATTTTGTTAAACTACTGTTCCCAAGGTCAAGCGTGTTAAAGCCTTTTTGTCGGTCGAATGAAATGATGTCACTTTGTCTTTGAGAAAGGAAAAACGTCTATTGCAGCATCAGTCAGTGTTCATCCAGGCTGGGTCTTAAAAACTGAATATGGACCAAGTTCAGGTCTATTTTTTAGGCCCATGCAGAACTTTCATCAAAATTACTCAGAATGTGCATTTGTATAGTAGTCCAAGTTTTAAAAACGTCTTTATTGATAATTAATATAAAAGTGAAACCTCTAGCAAGAGATATCCCAGATACAAAAATCATCAAAAGGATAAAAACACAATAAAACCCAAAGGAGCGTATTTATTCATCCTTTTTTCACTTGTAGCTTTTTAATGTTGTTTGCTGTACCTGTGGATCAGTCTTTTATACATACCACATAATGATCTGGACCAGTTTCATGGTTGCTTCATTCAGGGCATCAAAAAATTCCAGGAGGATACGGCCCTTTTCACCCATCTTCCCAATGACAAGGCCAAAAGCAACACAGAACACAATAAGCCCCAGTACGTTGATTCCATCTGAATATGTCCCGATGATTTTATAGTCCCTGGTTATATTCTGCCAAGAGAGGAGACAAGGAGGCGATTCATTCAGCTAACCAAGACTAGGCCAGGAAGCCGCTTTTACAACCACACTAGCTTACTCTAAAGACCCATTGATGAGCAGCCCAATGACCCATGGCTACGTTTCACTCATTATTGGGTCTTCTGATGCATTTAGATCAGACGCTGGTCGCCAGGTGCAGAAACATGAAACGTACAGTGCGGCAGATGGATCAACAAAGACACACTGTTGTCATGCAAAGATCAAAACCACAACAATCATGTTAATGGATATACATTAGTGAACTCTGGTGCAAGTGTAGCTTTTCTTCTTTGACAAACAAGGCTATGCATCAAAAGCATTTATGTAGTGACTGATCAGACTGATCTAGATGAACAGAACAGAGTAACGTGCACACCTACCTCTACCACCGCCATGATAGTAGTTGTGAGAGGTGGAATTGTGGTGGTGTTGGCTGAAACCTTCGGAGGCTCCAGCTCTTTGCGCTTGGTCTTGTACTAGAGTGGAATTGGTCACATTTCACAACGTCAGAGTTACGTTCACATGGCCACATGGCTACACAGTGTATACTCACCAGATCCCAATGTGGGTTTGAATGACACTTTAAACATGGGTAGAATGTGGAACTGCAATGCATGATAGATGTGCCTCTTACGCCTCTTACCTGCTGAAAACAAGCCTGCACCAGATTTTCTGGAAACATGTTTCTGTTGATTGGAAAAGTCAAGATTAGGGCTAAACCAATGACACAGAAGGTGATGATTTGTACTTCAGTAATTCCTTGACAGATGGGTCATTGCAATAACTCTTTAAGTAAGGCAAAATCCAGGAGAGAATGATTTTCACACTCATAAAGAGGCTGTGAATGTGGTGAACTTCTTTTGAATAATGGAGCTAAAACACTAATAGTTCTTTGCAGATGTCTTCCTCAGGGATGCCAAAATTGCATCAATAGAAAGTTGTATGGGAACTGGATTTTTAGTATATACGGTACACAACAGCAATTAGCTTTAATTCAAGAAACTGAAGGTTATTTGTTAGCCTCTGAGTTCTTCAGTAACAGAAATACACATCGATACACATTTTCACATCGATGGCTATGAATGTTCTTTTCATTACGGTTTCTGGCGCTGTACAACCCAACTGCTCCACAACTCACTCACACACATTCACACTACTCTCTCTACTAAGTGGCATGCATGTAACTCAGAAGAGAGCAAAGTCGCATTAATTCCGACCTGAGTGTCCAGACTGAGGTCAGAATTGATGCAACTTTGAACTTATGGCTTCAAAGCGACATTTCAATACTGGGCAGAATCCTCCTGACTAAAGCAGAAGGGATTTCAAGATTTGTTTACCCTGCTCTCTCCCTCAGCGTCCATGATTCAACATGCAAAGACATTAAAAACGTACTCATAAACTTTGTATGGAAGAATTACACCTTCAAGGTGAAATGGTTAAAAGAATGCTTAAATGCAACCGAGTCATTATGGTACTTTATCCCACATAACATTTTCAAAGAGGTTGGAGGTCTCCAATTCTTGTTGAAGTGTCACTATAATATCACAAAGTTACTGCTAAAACTGTCCCGATTTTATCAACAAGCTCTTTTAGCTTGGAAGTTGTGCTATTCTCATAACTTCTCTCCACACAAGTCTATTATATGGAATAATGAGGAAAAGTCACTTTATTACCAAACTGGATCGATAGAAATATCATCTTCTTAAGGGACTTATTTGATTGTCAATTAATTAAGTATGAGTCCTTTCTTAGAGAGAAGGCATTCCCAATAACATTCAGAGAATATAGCTCAGTCTTTAAATCTATACCTAATGTTTTATTAGAACTAATGAAAAGCTATAAGAAACAGCAAGAAGTGCCCAGTTTCACATATACTCTTTATATAAATAATATTGATATTTTGAGCAGCAAATGCACTAACAAACACATTAGAAAATGCCTTTTAAATTTAAAGAAAATAACACCTCGTGGAAATTTTTTCTGGAATTCTCAGTTTTCCAATGTTAACTGGTGTAAGGCATGGCTTGTTCCTTTTAGATTCTGTATTACAAACAAAGTTAGAGAATTACATTTGCATAAAATATATCCAACCAACATGCTTATCTCAAAATTCATGTTTGTTGATAACAATTGCACCGTTTGTAGAACAGAACAATAAACTTTAAATCATCTTTTCTATGACTGTTCATTCTGTAGCTCATTCTGGAGGGTCTTTGAGAATTGCATATATTCTAAAACAACACATACAATCACAATTGAAGAGAAAAATGTCATTACCTACTTTGAATCTAAAGATAAGAACTTATGTTTACCATTGTGAATCTCTTTATTTTGTTGGAGAAATTTCATATTCACAAAGCTAAATGCTCTAAGTCTACCCCATGTTTTAAAGTACTCCTAATCGAAATAGATATGTACTCTCAAACTTGTATCAAACAAGAAAAGCATTTCGATAAGTAATATCTACTCAGAGCTATTCATCTAAAAAATATCTTATATCACCACCTGTTAAGATAGACTGTCACTTTCTCACTCACTCATCTCTTAAGTCTGTCCTGTTTTGTACTTCCTTTTGTTTTTGTTAATGTATTTGTTATTTAAGTTTATTATTAATTTATATATATGTTGCACTATTATATTACATTAAGCCTTATATTGTGCTTATAAGCTGGAATGTCTGAATGTCTGAAACCTGAAAAGATCTGATCTGTATCGGATTTGGACCATATATGAAAGTGGCCCAAATCTGAACTGGAAAAGATCAGATTCCGTGTGACTTGGCCTGTTCACACTGTCATAAAAAGATCAGATCTGAGTCACATATGGGCAAAAAAATCGGATTTGGGTCACTTTGGCCTGCAGTCTGAACGTAGCTTACGTTGCCCAGGGATACTTTGATATGCAGACTTGGAGAACTGGGGATCAAACCACCGACCTCCTGATAAGTGGACAACATCTCAAACCCTTACGCCACCGCCAGTACAAACTTTTCTCTCAAGCTCCTTTACGTTTGTCACTTTCCATGAGTATAACTCAGTGTAACTCCACAAATGCTTGTGAGAAGAAACAGTCCATTTGGGCAAACTTTTTGCCATTGAAGTTGTTAAATGACACGTTGTATGAACTAGCTTGTTTGAAGCAGAGGAACAGAACAGAAGAGAGGTGATAAATTATTATTTACTGATCACCACAAGACAAGTATTTCAATTAAGACCTGATTTCACTTCAACATCTGAACGAGTGGACACTTCATCGTCATGAGAATTTTGTAGTTTCTATGACATGGCTGGGGGATCACCTTATGAGGTCCAGGAGTGTGTCAACTGTTGTGACGTTGGGTGTGGTCCCGGCTCTGTCAATGTGCTCAGCTGTCTGAGAGACTCCAGGTTTGATAGTCATCACCAAGATAATGCCTGCAAAGGATGACAGTCAGCATGCTGCGATGACGGTATAACTCGTGCAGTGGGTTTCATATCAACCACCTCTTTTACATAACACCATTTGAGAGACTTAGCTGTAAAGCAACTGAAATACACAGGAAAAGTAAATAAAGTGTGAACTAGAGAAGTTAGGGGGAGGGGAAATATCAGCTCACCAAGAATAACTGCAATGATGGTTGTAGAAAAGTAATAAACAACCGCGCGCAGACCTATCTTTCCTGATACCTCAGAGTCCAGGGCTGCAACGCCTGTGAACAAAAAGGACAATGTGTCATTATAATCTAAACTACAAGCTCCTCCCACCAGGTATCAAAAGACTATTCTAGAGATTTTGAAGTCTGATCAGTTGAACATCAAATGAAATCGTTCCAACTCCAAGGCGACTGTGAATATACAACAATTTCTCTGGTCAACAGATCGGGTCTTTAATACTTCAACCAGCATTCGTGGCATAGACAGGTGCTGAGAACTTCCACACCACACTTCCACACAAAAGTAGCTATATGAAAGTAGCAGCTGAAAAGCTAAATAACTACATTCAGCTAAGCCTGGCATTTGATTTTGTAGATCATTGAATGCATATAGATTATTCAAAGACAACGTGCTGGGATGTGCGGGTCTTTGTTCCTTCATGACCTGGGGAAGTGAGTGTAGGTTATGGCTTGTTTATGAATGTTGAGTTAGAAAGAGTTAAATTGCTGGAAAAATTAACCCTGATGAGTATTAAGTTAACTAATTTAGTTAAATTACTAATGCTATTTTTAAAGTTTATGAATCTACAGGCGATTGTGATTGAAATGAAAACGGGCTACTTTTAAACAACATTCACTTGACTTTGTTCTTGACACTTATTTGTAATCCCTAATAGCGAATTGTGCTGACCAATGGGATGATCTTCCAGAATCTTCCAAACCACAGCTTTCTGCTGAGCTTTCCCCTGCGTTTCATAATCTTCACAGTCGAGCATTTGATTACAAAGTAATAAATACCAAGCACTAGATTAGTTCAGCCATGATAGAGTCCATCAGTTGATGAAGACGAAGATGCTGATGAAAGCTAAAACACATAGTAAGTGCACCTTGAGTTACTGTTATTTTGCATGACATGCAAACAAGGTCCCTTTCTCGATGTGCTCTGAGGAAGTTAAAGCACATACTGAGAAATAATGGTACTCAGGTGGGGGACACTCCATGCGGTGGGAAAAAACTAATTCTCGCTGTCAACGACCAATTGAGGAGCTAGCAAATTCACAAATCCATTAACAAACACGGTTACATTTTAGTTAGCAAGGTCAAATTTTTACAGTTTTAAGACTTACTTCATTTCTTGTAGTGCACTTCTGTATGTGTCATTGCAGTACATCATTATCACTGTATGTTTATATCACTCAGAAAAAGTCATGTTCAAGTTACCTGTTATCATGCTTGAAATGATGAGTGGGAGGATGACCAGCTTCAGCATTCGCATGAGGATCTCTCCCGGGAAGCCAAAGTACTGCTTGTTGAGATGGGAGAGGGACGAATACTCTCTGACCACGACGCCCAAACTGATACCTTAAAGATCGTAAGAAAGACAGAGTCAAACCATAAAAGATTCTTGGTTTCAGCTGAAGGGGGCCAAAAAAAACATAAATTACACTAAAATTGATATTATGTCGCTTAAATGAGTGCAGTTTGCTCTGCAAAAGCAACTGAGGTTTCATCCATTCAGAATTCATGAGGCACAACGCACATTGGCCTATATTTTTCAGCTATAAACCTCACAGGGATCCCACTCAATGATTTTAGTAATATACTCCAAGCCTCCTCTGTGTTATCACACATAACAGACCGCCAGTAAAGATGCCTGTTAAACACGGCGATGACACAGCAAAATGTAGTTGCGTGCCACGACCACGCAGATCTATCAAAACATGACCTATACTTTAGCATTTGTGGATGTGAAGCCCCTGATGGAACTGGCTTAAAACTCACAAACTCGCTGTAACTTCCATATTTAGTAAGCTGCAGATTCTCCACCAGGTGGAGCTGTTTGGTCCTTTTCTAACCATGCCAACTGCACCACCAACTGTGTTAGCAGCAGCAGCAGCAGCATTGTCCACCTGCTGTGAAGACTTTTTAATGTTGCCACCTACGGTCAAAAACAGTTGCCAACAACAGAAAACAAAACACTTGTGCCACCTACAGGCATTGAGGCTTACAGCTGCGGCTTTATTTCTTTAGCTTCCTTCGACTGGGGATGGGTTGCATGTACCACCTGTGACCTCAAACAAAATGGAACATCTGCTCTGCTATTTGCCACTGCAGTCTGAGTGGATCATGGTTAAGCATTTTTTATTGCTTGGTTAGATGGCCAGCTTTGTGTGCATGCAGCCACAGAAAGAACACTGTGGACAAACGTTATACATTGAAGACTTGAAGAGTAGAAGCACATGACTTCTAGTGGCAGCAAAGCCAAACCATTGTCTGCAAACTATTTGTGTGCAATTTTTTGCTCTGTGAATTTCAGTAATTATTCACTTCATGTTCGGGTTATTCACAGTCGACAGACGAGCTAGTCTGTGGAAATGATTCAGTCTCACAGCACTAGTCTGAAACTGGTTATGACACGGGCTCTGTGAAATAATAACATTAACGCACCGCTTCTCTCTGAACTCTACAGTGTGCATGTCAGTGGTTCTCACACTGGGGGGCTCAGGGGGGTTGTGGATGTTGAGCAGATTCATGTGGTGACACAAACAGACAAAAGTGCTCTGATGCTAGCAGGGCTATTTTGCTAACCTGAATCTTGTTTCATTTTAATCGCCTGTATTGTTAATGATTAATAAAAACAAAATCCATCTTTGCTGGGGTGGGGGGGTATGAACTTGGCTTCTGAAGGGGGGCGTGACAGAAAAAGTTTGAGAACCAGTTCAGTGTGTAATAATTCAGAGGATCTATTGACAGAAGAAGATCCATAACTATGTTTTCAGTGGTGTATAAAGACCTTACATAATTAAGCGTTATGTTTCGATTACCTTTAAATGAGCCATTTATATCTACATAACCGTGGGCACCCCCTCCTATGGAGGTCGCTGTATTCTTCTTCTGCTTGTATAATTCCTGTAATGTAGACGCCCATCACTACATTGAATGCGTACAAAGAAGAAGAAGAAGAGGAAATAGTAATAATAATGATATACAGTCTCTGAGTAGTCTTCTGGTTTATTAGAAGAGAAGTGACATTTGGACAAATGAAGGAGAAAATGTGTTATTTAGCACGAGAGCCGACAGCCTGATCTTTATACCATAATCACAGAGAGACGTATGTAGTTGGATTAATTTCATGTAGTGACTCTCTCTCTCCAGCGCTCTCTGGCTTTGGCGGTCACATTCATGAGACAATCAGCTGATCGATAATTGGCAATAAAACGGTGGCTTCCAGTATAAAAGCCCAGACCAGCCAGCTAAACTTTTACTGCGCTGGTAGAAAAAATCCGTAATTGGATTGTAACTTCATGTAGTTCTTCTCCAGCGCTCTGTTATGGCTTTGTTATGTGGACAGAAATGTACCGTTACCTTCCTGAGATAAACAGCTGATGAATATTATTGGTAATGAAACGGTAACAGCAGGGAAGCTCAGATCAGCAGCCTAGCTTCACATTTTACTGCCCTGGTGGAAAATATGTATTTCTTTTTACTGCTAATGGTGATATATAACAAGACTTTGGTATGTTAGTCCAGATGAGCCAACCCTCCCACGTTGTAAAATACTGTATTACAGGAATATGACACTTCATTTCTTGATGTGGCTGTTGTTTATTAATGAACAAGTAACAATAATATTCATAAAAACATATGGTTTTACTGAATAATTAAGTAAATATAATTTCTTAATAAATCTAACTAAAGAAACTTTTCTTGACTGGCAACTCTCTGCCATCTCATAGAGGACATCTTTTGTCCTGTCTCAGGCACCGTAGCTATACAACTCGCTTGGATGTCACCACTAGATGTCACTAAAACTTACACACTGAACCTTCAAACCCTAGTGTTTGATTTAAATCATCAGACTTTTTGATTTCTTGCATTGTAATCACAAATGCATTATTTAATAGAAATTGGGAGCTCATGATGTAAGTTAGTTCATGTCAGCCAGCCAATGTAGTAACAGATCTGTATTTAACCCATCCCAAGTATTGGGAGCAGTGGCCAGCCACTGTTTTGTGGCTCACAGTGATGCCAAAATGTCACTGATAGACATTAAAAATTTGTTCTTAGTTGACATATAACAGACATGAGGCAGTAATGACATTGCAATGTGTTTGATGTTAGCAGAATCAATCAGTTCCGGTCACACAGGGTCACTTAGCTTAGGATGAATTTTCACCATAAGTTTACATTCAGGTCACAATTTTGATTTGTGCAGTATTTTGGTATACAAGACTTGATGAAAAGTTGCACTTCAGTTTCAGTAAACATCAGTGTTAAATATACTGTAATGCACTTTATATTGCCGTTGACCAAGCCTCTCTCTTACGCCTACGGTTAGTCCTAACATTACACCTGTCCTGGCCTCGCTCCACTGGCTCCCGGTCCATTTTAGAATACATTTTAAGATCTTTTTGTGTGTTTTTGAATCACTAAATGGGTTGGCACCTCGTTATATCACAGACCTCCTGCAAGTTTACACCCCCTCGAGGTCACTAAGGTCCACTGATCAGCTCCTGCTGGTCGCTCATAAAACCAGGTTAAAAACCAGGAGTGACCGCACTACCTCCACAGGTCAAAAAGCCCCCACCCTTGAAATTTTTAAAACCCCTGGCTTTTAACCCAGCATGAGAACTGTGTGGTCCTCTGCTGTAGGCCCTTCGATTGTGAACCATTTGTTTGCGTGTTGTCTATGTTTCTATGTGTTCTTTGTGTTTTTATATGTGTTTTATGTTTTATTCTTTGCGCAGCATTTTATACACCTGGTTTTTAAAATATGCAATATAAATAAAATGGATTAGATTAGAGTGGATAAATATAATTGTTGTTGAGTGTATTGTATATTAACTATTTTGATGACCCTCAACCTTTTCCTCTAGAGGCACCCTGTAGTCAGCTCCCCTTCTTTGCTTTCTACAAAAGGCATCGTGTACAATACAACACAACACATTAAGCAAAACCAATCTACCCCATGTGACTTGGTCCCTCACAGAGCTGCTAGCGTAGCTATCGACTCTTAGCTTGTGCCCCCCACATCTCTCTCTTTTTTAAATGTGGTGAGTAGTATGTAGCTGCAGTACCAGAGGCTGCAGTTTCAGGACCGCAATCCTAGGACCAAAACTACATTTCTAGGACCCTTGTTTACATTGATACTGCCAGCTAGCTGGCTAGCTATGTTACTCTTGACAGCCTCCCGAAGCCAATAACCCATTAACCACAAAAATCACCGAGTGTGTGCCTAAACTTAAGTTATTGATTATATCGACCGTGTTGCTCCTTCGTGTTGCTGTGCATTACCACCACCACTCCACTAGATGGCACTTTCGCAAAAGAACTACGGTTCTAGAACTGCGGTCCCAGGATTGCGGGGGTTCTGAAACTGCAGCCTCTGGTACTTCAGCTACATAATATTGGATGTGGTTAGGATTAACCTCTTAATTCCACAGAAATACCCAGTTGACAAACCTCACATTGCCTGTAGGTGGTGCACATCAGCACATTTTAGCTACAGCTCTAAGCTGCTGTTTGACAGGTTGCACAACTGCAGATCCAGAAGCTGCTGGTTTGATTTCGGATGCTCACACTGTGTGTTCTCCCTTCAATTCACAGCTGCAGTTATGGTAATTGCAATCATAAAGACCCACTCCTTGATTTCACAACAGTACCAGACAGCATGCAGTTTCCTCTCAGCCCTGGAAGAAATGTCAATTTTGGGGGAACTATTAGGTCCTATAACGAAACCAAGACCTGTACCTAAACACTGTTGTCTTTCAAAGTTACAAATGGCCAGAAAGCAGAAAGTTTTTTTAAAAGTAATTAAGTAAGGGGATCTGAAATAATAAAGCAATCTGGGATGCTTGAGGTGAAGCGAGGTCATCATGGTAAAAGAACAACTTTGGATGACAGATTTTATTGCCGTTGTGTGTAACTTCTGCCCTACACCCGCAGGACATCAAAACATCCAACATCTGACAGTAAACTGAGAGAACTGACCCAGATTACAATAGATTTCCACTTATAAAATTCCACAAAAGACCCACAACCAGGGAAAGTCTTGCAATAGATCAAGTAAAAATATATAAAAATAATAAAAAAGTAGGGGGAGGCATGTGTCTGTCCAAAGTTCAAAAATAACTGATTAATCTCTCGTTTTTTAATCCGTTCTCAAACAGAAATGTGATTTCAGGAGACTTACTTCCTGGAACTATTTCTTGGCGATGCCAGCTGAGCCCAGTGACTTTCTGCAGCCTTGTTGTCACAGTGAAGTTGGTTTGGGACCATGAGACCAAAACCTGCACTCACCATCTGGCATCCCATGCAATAGTGGAGTTCTTTTTGCATTTCTTTTTTACGGGGGAGATTGAAATAATTGAAATATGTGTTAATCAGTGACCTATAGAGGGTGTTGCAAGCTGTACGTTTTGAACTTTGGACAGAGCCAGGCTAATCGTTCTCCCCTTTCTCCAGGCTGACTGCCACTTTGCCACAGCTCCGTACTTTACACACAGACATGAGATTGAAAGTACAAAAAAGCAAGTAAGAGTATTTCCAAAAAGTGTTGAACTATTCCTTTAACACACATTTAATCTAAATTTCTTTAGAAATGCAATTCGATACTACTAACTTTGTCTGGATGAATCTAATAGAGGCTATCAGCTCAAGGTAACCCGTCCCAAATATAAAAAAGAAAATACATCTAATAACATCTTAACCCTTTTCAAACCTGAGCACCTGCTGATAGCCTGTGCTGTATGCACTGTGCTGCGCTGCCTCAGGGCTGGGACTCCTCACATAGACCCAGCATCAGCTGTCCATTCAGTCTGGTCACGTTTGACTGAGACACGTCCAGACACAGGGGGAGAGGACAGAGGCTGTGTCTCCTACAACACCACACTCAGTACCTGTTCTCCATTTTTTTTTTATGTTTCTATGTCTTAATATAATAATGAAATGCAATGCATGTAGTCCTTAACACACACATTTGGCATTTACTGTTGCTGTCTCGTCAAGCAGTGGCCAGCTGATGCAAAAGAGGTTGATTTATTTCAACAGTGACAGCGGCTGAAAGCAAGACTGAATGGTAACACAGAGAGGGAGGGATGGAGATCGAAACAACTAAAAAATGGCATCAATGGGGATGAAAGAGTCTCATTCCCTCAGCATACATGAGCAGACATTAAGGGGCTTCCACATACCGAGCAGCACTGACACAACGGTGGCAATAAGAAGCCAATTCCTCCTCAGCAAGCCTTTGAAATTCACGCCTCGTCGCTCTTTGTTACCCATCATTTCCATGGTGTTTCTTTTCCCCTCCAAAAAGAGAGAAACAACAATGGCCCCCGTGGAGACACAAAAGACTCCTGCGGTCGGGATGTCAGGTGCAGACGACGCAGAGGAGGATGGAAAAGCGGCGCTGCTACAGCAGAGGATGCAGCCGTCAGACGCTGCTGATGGCCAGCGATGGTGTGAGGGAGGGAGTGTGTGTGTTCTGGAGGGAGAGAGGAAGGAGGGAGAGAGTCTCCTTCCCCCTCTGCCGCCCTTCCCCCACACAAGGTGTCTGACATTTTCAGAATCAGAATCCGCTTTTTTTGCCAGGTATGTGTACACATTAGAGGAACGTTGCTCACGATGTGCTTACTCATAAAAAATACAAAATCACAATAATAAAAATCAAATCAAATGTAAAATAAACTTTTCTCCTTTTTGGAATTTGGAAGTACAGCAAAACAGCTCATTTGGAAACTGACTGTATGTTAATGGTTATCTATGTTAATCTAGTCTGACCTCAACCTAGAGCAGCTCCATCCACCAATAATACCCTGTTAAATTTATGGTTCATTAATGTTGGATCTCAGTCTGTCACAGTACTAAAAGTATGCTGTTATTTTGTATTTAATAATTCCAACCTGATCTTTTCTTATTCCCTGACTGTTCTTACAGGCAGTGGTGCCTCCACATACAGCCTCACCGGGCAATTTCAGAAAACCTGCATAATTAGCCCTCTTTTCTCACCATGCTTGTAATGACTGCGAAACGTTCACTCTGAGGTTTTACAACATCATAGAATTTCATCATAGAAGAAGATTTTTAGGTCTTCTTTATCCATAATCCATAAAATCCATATATTTATAAAAAAAAAAGCTGGTATTGGTAAGCTGATATTGAAAGTGAAAACACAGGATTATCACTCTCCTACTAACTGACTCGTCTTTGTTATGGTAGAAAATTGTGTCCTCTTACATTTAATCTTTTATGCATGTTCTTTTACCATTATTATTATTACTATTATTATTTTATGGTTTATATATATATACACAAGGCGATTTTCTCAGAGCCCTGACTACATTTGCAGTCCAAGCTGAGACAGCACCTTCAGCACGCAACCCTTGATATAGCTGCCAAATGTCGCATGATTTCGCCATCGTTTCCCGCGGCCGTCTTCAGAAAAATGTTTTCCAGCACGGCAAGTAAATTTCTGTAGCGGGACTGTTTTTTCGAATCACAAGTTGTGTCTCGTTTCATGTGTCACAGTAAGGATTAATCCACCGGTTATTTAGTGCTTTAACACACCCTGAAGTTTGCCCTGTCACAGTTTTTCAGTGTAAGAATAAATCGTGTTGATATGTCAGGAGTTCCTGTCGGGACGAAAGAAACACTTGTTACTTTATTCCGCTGCTAATGTCGTGACTTACAGGTGCTGGTCATATAATTAGAATATCATCAAAAAGTTGATTTATTTCAGTAATTCCATTCAAAAAGTGAAACTTGGATATTATATTCATTCATTCCACACAGACTGATATATTTCAAATGTTTATTTCATTTAATTGTGATGATTAAAACTAAAATAATGAAAATCCCAAATTCAGTATCTCAGAAAATTAGAATATTACTTAAGAACATGAAAAGTATGAGCATGTACAGCACTCAATACTTAGTTGGGGCTCCTTTTGCCTGAATTACTGCAGCAATGCGGCGTGGCATGGAGTCCATCAGTCTGTGGCACTGCTCAGGTGTTATGAGAGCCCAGGTTGCTCTGATAGTGGCCTTCAGCTCTTCTGCATTGTTGGGTCTGGCGTATCGCATCTTCCTCTTCACAATACCCCATAGATTTTCTATAGGGTTAAGGTCAGGCCAGTTTGCTGGCCAATTAAGAACAGGGATACCATGGTCCTTAAACCAGGTACTGGTAGCTTTGGCACTGTGTGCAGGTGCCAAGTCCTGTTGGAAAATGAAATCTGCGTCTCCATAAAGTTGGTCAGCTGCAGGAAGCATGAAGTGCTCTAAAACTTCCTGGTAGACGGCTGCGTTGACCTTGGACCTCAGAAAACACAGTGGACCAACACCAGCAGATGACATGGCACCCCAAACCATCACTGACTGTGGAAACTTTACACTGGACTTCAAGCAACGTGGATTCTGTGCCTCTCCTCTCTTCCTCCAGACTCTGGGACCTTGATTTCCAAAGGAAATGCAAAATTTACTTTCATCAGAGAATATAACTTTGGACCACTCAGCAGCAGTCCAGTCCTTTTTGTCTTTAGCCCAGGAGAGACGCTTCTGACGCTGTGTCTTGTTCAAGAGTGGCTTGACACAAGGAATGTGACAGCTGAAACCCATGTCTTGCATACATCTTTTCCTTCCCTTCACCTCTCTATTAATGTGCTTGGACACAGAGCTCTGTGAACAGCCAGCCTCTTTAGTAACAACCTTTTGTTTCTTGACCTCCTTGTGCAAGGTGTCAATGGTCGTCTTTTGGACAGCTGTCAAGTCAGCAGTCTTCCCCATGATTGTGCAGCCTACAGAACTAGACTGAGAGACCATTTAAAGGTCTTTGCAGGTGTTTTGAGTTAATTAGCTGATTAGAGTGTGGCACCAGGTGTCTTCAATATTGAACCTTTTCACAATATTCTAATCTCTGAGATACTGATTTTGGGGTCAAAATGAAAAGGAATGAACACAGTCTGTGTGGAATGAATGTATACATTATACAAGTTTCACTTTTTGAATGGAATTACTGAAACAACTCAACTTTTTGATGATATTCTAATTATATGACCAGCACCTGTATATACAGTCTATGATTGAAACATGTTTATGTTATATTATACCAACAGATTATGCCAAGAGTGAGGGTCAGAAAGACAGAGGTCTGATTCAGCCAGATGTTTTCATGCACATTTTGGAATTACGTTTAAAAACAGCTGGATAGAAACGGACTATTTTTGCATTATTTTATATTTATGTTATGAATGTTAATTTTCATATTGTTCATATTGTTGAAGAAATGTTTTATAAAATGGATTGACATATACAATAAAAAACATTTTGAACAAGAATACGGAGGAACAACTTCCCTCACCAGGAAGATACAATTTCCACAACGGTCTTATTACAGGGAGTCATGTTACATAATAACTGTCAGAGACATTAACAGGTCTTAAACCTATTGTTAAATAACTCTAAGTTGTAAAACCTCAGGTGCTGCTGAAGGTTTATTTTCATCAGGAATAAACCTAATCAATAGTAAACTGATAAACTTTCAAAAGGCATTACCTTAGAGACCTCTCAGAATGGTATAATGTTGTGCAATACTTGCAGCTGGTCATACATGCCAGAATTACTAATATTTAACCATTTTGAAACACTGCTTAAAGAAAACATGGCTGTGTCTGAAATCACTCACTACTCACTTGTTTGCCATTTTGAGATAATTATACCCCATATAGTGGACTCAAAGTATCCCAGAATTCACAGTGAAAAGTAGTGTACAACAGATGGACACTAACCCAGCCGTATATACCATCATGCATTGCACTGATACAAACATGGTTCACCAGCCTTTGATCTGGCACATTTTAATTGTGCAATGATGTATTAACAGTGCAGAAAGAATGACCTGAGATGAACATGTCAGCAGCTGTGCTGCCTGTTTTCCTTCTCACTCTCAGTCTTTCCTGATTGACTCCTTTTGAAATGACACAATTGGTTCCTGAAGTTCTCAGCATCAGCACAGTTACTGCACTGATGGCGGTGCTCAGAGAGAAACAAACTTTTACAACCAGGCTTTTTGAGGGCCCTCCCTAGTTTGGGTCCCTGGATCCCTAGTTCCTCTACTCTCACTTCATCACCCCTGCTTACAGGTACCACCTAAACTAATCTGCAATGTTACTGTGCTGCCATCTACTGGACCACCTTGGAACTAGTTTGTGTGACAAATAATCTCAAATAATCTACTTTCTAGCTTTTTTTGTAGCTCTACTTTTTAGCTCTGAGCTTTCAGTCCAATCCTATCACCCAAAACATTGCTAATGGATGATTATGCAAAACCATCTGCACAAAGTTAGGCAGCTAAACAATAGGTGAGGTGGGAGAGATTGTCATTACTGTCAATTGTATTCCAAACATTCATTGCACGTCTGTAATGAGACACAAACTCCCTCATGCCCATCGACCAGCCCGACCTTCACATCCTTATCATCTGGATGATGACATTAAAGACACGCTGCTTCCTGCATTGGCATGGGACCTACAGTACATCATGCTGCTGGGCTGTTCAGTCGCATTTCTCAGCCTTCTTTCAGTGAATCGAACTGGCTCAGATACCATCACATGACCTACATATGGTAAGCGTTGAACGTCGGTCACACGATGGATGTATAAAGCCTATAGTTAGGGCTGGCTCAGGTGAGTCCTGAACCATCCCTTAGTTATGCTGCTATAGGCCTAGACTGCCGGGGGATTTCCCATGATGCACTGAGCTCCTCTCTCTTCTTTCTCTCCCTCTGTATGCAACCTCATCCCATTATTGCATGTTACTAACACAACTTCTCCCCTTTCCGGTAGTCTTGTGCTTTCTCGTCCCTCTCCTCTCTCCTCCTATCACTTCCTGCAGGTGTTTCTGGCTCTGGAGCTGTGGAGTCTGGATCTGTGGTTGCGGGTCACCTGCTGCCCCCATGTTCCTGCTCGACACCCTCTGTTACAACTATTGTTACTAGTCCTATTGTTATTATTGTAATTATAATCATTAACATTACGATTGTTATCATTAACACTACTATAAATATCTGTACCATTATTCATTTAGTCTACAGCAACATCACCTTTACTGTCTGTACCTCTGTGTGTATATTGTATAGGCTGCCTCCCTCCCCTCTCTCTCTCTGTTCCTCTCTCTATCTCGCTCTCTCTCTCTCTCTCTCTCTTTCTCTCCCCCAACTGGTCAAGGCAGATGGCCGCCCACCCTGAGCCATGGTTCTGCTCGAAGTCCACTTGCAAAGGCCCATTGTATTCATGTGTCTAGTCCTGTATTTTATCAGGCCTGAGTGCAGGTGCTAGCAACAATTTGTTAAAATCCATACAAGGCCCCATTGTCCCTCGGTCAGATCTGCAGTTAATTCGCCTGAGCCCCTGATACGGTGTGATATAAAGTTCACTGTTTCTTTTAATAAACATCTTAAACATTGTCCTAGTGTTTAGTAGTTATCAAGCTAGGCATACAGAATATTCAAACATCATGGCTAAATAAAAATCTTCAACAGAAGACACCCAGTCTTATGGGCATGGTGTTTTTTGTCCACAGAGGGGTGCTGTGATACCAAATCACAGCTAAAAATCTGTCTAGTTTCTTCCTTTGTATATCCTCACTAGAATTAACCAGAGAAGACAAAACTTGGACAATTAAACACAAATCAGCTATCAGACTCTTAAACTGTAATTCATCCTCAACACTGCTCCACTGATGATAGTTTATTTCTGTTTACCATTTTTCATAATTGCTTCTGTATTAATGTATATTGTCTGCTATGTAGCAGAAGGGAGTTACAAAGCTCAATTTCCCTCTATAACTTGTTATATTTTCACAATAAACCTACTTACCTAAAAATAAGCAATAGAAAGTCCATGGACACCGCAGCGGGTGCAACAAGCATTATTAGGCTACATACATTATTAATAATAAATTAAACTAAGCAATATAAACAGCAACTGCTGCACACATACACAGATAAAGCAAAAGAGAAACTGCACTACTCACTGCTTAGTGCACTTACACAATGCTGCGTTGTTGGGCAATGCGTCGGTTGCTGAACCTATCATCTGAAACGTGAGTTACAACAATCAATGATTTTGTTTTTGTAATCACCTTTTTGAAAGTCATTCTATGAGCCGTTCAACTCTCGTTCATTCTCAGTCCACTCGGCCCCTCTGTCCTACTATAACCAGTCCACTCTGCCCCTCTGCCCCACTATAACCAGTCCACTCTGCCCCTCTGCCCCACTATAACCAGTCCCCTCTGCCCCTCTGCCCCACTATAACCAGTCCACTCGGCCCCTCTGCCCCACTATAACCAGTCCACTCGGCCCCTCTGCCCCACTATAACCAGTCCACTCTGCCCCTCTGCCCCACTATAACCAGTCCACTCGGCCCCTCTGCCCCACTATAACCAGTCCACTCGGCCCCTCTGCCCCACTATAACCAGTCCACTCGGCCCCTGTGTTCCACTATAACCAGTCCACTCGGCCACTCTGTCCCACTATAACCAGTCCACTCGGCCCCTCTGCCCCACTATAACCAGTCCACTCTGCCCCTCTGTCCCACTATAACCAGTCCACTCCGCCCCCCTGTCCCATTATAACCAGTCCACTCGGCCCCTCTGTCCCAATATAACCAGTCCACTCGGCCCTGTGTCCCACTATAACCAGTCCACTCCGCCCCTCTGTCCCATTATAACCAGTCCCCTCTGCCCCTCTGCCCCACTATAACCAGTCCACTCCGCCCCTCTGTCCCAATATAACCAGTCCACTCTGCCCCTCTGTCCCACTATAACCAGTCCACTCTGCCCCTCTGTCCCAATATAACCAGTCCACTCTGCCCCTCTGTCCCACTATAACCAGTCCACTCCGCCCCTCTGTCCCAATATAACCAGTCCACTCTGCCCCTCTGTCCCAATATAACCAGTCCACTCCGCCCCTCTGTCCCAATATAACCAGTCCACTTAGCCCCTCTCTACTAAAACCAGTCAAGGGGTTTGGGTACTTTTCCCAGGCAAGCTAGCTAAAAAGGTTCAGGTAAATATGTTAATATCTGGTGAGCAACTGTCTTGTGCTTTCAGATATGTCTCCGGCTGCCACCTACCGGCGGTGTGTCCCATGAGCCCGTTTTCATTAAAACGGTTTTATTTTGAAGCTTGGGACCGGAAGTCCTACTCTTAATCCCGTGTGGGTGACTTGACTTTGGCACGTCAAACTGCTGTCGTGAGGGGAGCGCCAGTGAGCAGGAATTGACTGTTGGCGTGGATATGAGAGGAAGTTAGATGTGTTAAGCTGGTAGTCACCCGGTGTACAGGCCGCTGTACAACAGCATCCATCTGAGCGGGACTGCCCGACCGGCCCAGTGGCTCCTGTCGCTAACTAACTGGCTAGCTAGCTAGCTAACATCAACCCGCTAACTTCACCAGTTTAAGGCGGCGTAAGGGACGAACCTTGTGGGGAAAACGGGGCCTCCGGCTAGCACGACTCGGTTTACAGCTGCGCTGGAGAGCTTAACACCCGGGTTTATTTTCCGGAGCAACATCCTGCTGAGATGGGTGAGTAGACAGCTAGCTCACTCTGAGCCGAGTTAGCTACCAACAACAGTTTTTCACCATCTAACTTAACGTTGACCATATTTTTTCATTTATAAAAACGTCTGCAAGCAGCAGCGTATGGTTAACGGTTGGCGTTGTGGGTCGTGCGTTAACGCCACTATACCACTTTGTTTAACGTTACCTTCATAGTTTTCTGTTTTGTTGTTTTAACGTTATCGTTAGTTAGTAATATGAAAAGCTGCCTGTAACGTTAGCTGAATCGCGTGTGCATGCGCGTGTGTGCGCGTGTCAGCTTCAGTACTCGGGTGGGGTAACGTTGGCTTGTCTGACTCTCTCCATCCTCTTTCCGCTCTTATTGGTCGTGATTTTTTCCCCTGTTAGCAACGCCAAGCTCTGAAAAGGTTCAGCATTCGCACCGTCTTGCCCGATGTAATTCAGATAGGACTTGAAACGGCTCGAAGGTCCCAGTTGCTAAATGAATGGACCTCCCCTGAAATGGCAGTGCTGTTGGTGTTGTAGATGGCACTCCTCCATCTCCACAGCTGTTATGCAATAGGATCCAGCAGCCCACTTTGGGTTGCTGTTTATACTGCACTGCTCTCCATGATATCACTGTTCCTGATTATTGATGGTGGACACACATGGGCTACTGATGGATTGAGCACAGGCCTGACACTACTGTAGCAGTCACATCTCTGTCTGCTGATTTAATTTAATACGGCTTAACATTAAAAACATGCTGCACATTCACTAATAATTACCTCTCCAGTGCCCAGATGAGGCATAGCATCCCTGAAAGGCATCTAGAGAAATAATTGTTTGACAGCTGAGCTTATGAGGCATTTCAGAAGGTCTAGCCGAGGCTGGATCACTCCTGTTGCCATTTGATGTAAGGCATCTATCATGGGGGATGGATGTGTGGGTTGTGCAGTGCACAAGCAACTGACAGCAACAACCAGGTCACTGCATCAGTGTCTGCAATCCTTATGCAATATATCATTACCTGGTTTGTAGGCACAATACTGGAATGACCAGCAATTCTAAGCATTTCAAATAATTAAAATAGACCTGATTATCCCTTGATGATCAATAAAATATATGAGAGTTAAAAATGTCAGCCTGGTGAAAAAGCATCCCTCTACTCATACAACACATGTTCTGCATTTGAGCCACTTGCTGAATAGGCTTCCGTCAGCCAGTATTTAGCCTAGTTGTTCTAAATGATTAATATCAGTGTATTGCATCAGACTGTAAATACGTATAAATTGAATCTCGATGTAGAAAATCGCTTTTCACTGTTGAGCATTTCTGAAAGGAGCCCAGAGTCAAAACCTCCATTAAGCACACAGTCACTATGATGTTATGAGGACACTCTGTCATTTGTTTCTTTCATTGATTAATAAGAATAACAGGAATGATAACCTCCTCATTTGCCGTAGCATGTAATGGATGTGCAGCAGTTAGAAACCATTACGTTTAATGTGGTTAAAGTGACTGGCGGTGCAGCAGATTGATAACTTCTAGTCCTCATAATGGAGTAAAGGGTAAAAAAAAAAGAAGAAAAGCACTCAAACAAAGATATAGAGTAGAAGAGTTGGTCATAAACTAATGGACACAGGGGGTTTCGACCACAACTGGCTCGCAGGTTCTTCATATTGTTGGCTGCAGGCAAGACGTTAGCTTGGTAGCTCCACTATGTGAGTAGCAAAATACATGTGCAGGTAGTTTGCAGGGCAGGGAAGATGCCAGTCATGTGGCAGAAAAGGCAATTGAATGAATAAAAAGGGGGAGACTGATGACACCATTTGCAGAGGGAGGCCAAGATCAAATTAAAGCTGCAAGCAGAACTTGGTGGGCCCTCGGCAGGTGAAGCACTTCTGGAGTTCTGAGTTGGCAGGCTCTTTGGGCGCTGCACGAAGGACTGAAACGTCACTTCCTGTGTCACTTAAGTGGCGCTCGAAAGCACCCGATAACTGCACGTCAAGTCCCAGTATGTCAAGTGTGGAACACGGCGTGAAAATTTTATTTAAATCAACTGATGGATCACACAGAGCTTACTTCCTGTTGCCAGTAGGCGGCGCTACAACTATATCCGAATATTGGCATGTAGATGTGTTTGGGGCAGGACCGTCATCAAGCACATAATATTTGTTACCAATACAAAAAAGGAAGACTCACAAGCTTTACAACATGACCTCATCAATGTGTTAAGGGTTTTCTAAGATAGTTTGAAGTAGATATAGCCAACCTGCAACCTGCACAGCATAGAAGTAGTCGCTTCCCGTTGCCAGTAGGTGGCGCTATGACTATGAGTGAATATTGGCTAAGACGGGGAGAAGGAAGGCTAAATACAGTGGTATTTTACCTGCTATTATCACAGGGATCAGACATGTAGAGGGTATTTCCACAGATCTCTCACAGTAGTTACAAACACGATTATGAATGTGTCACAGAGAGATGGATAAATATTTATGTTTGGCGGCAAAAGTTTCTAGTCAGCTTGCTTTTATGGCGCTGCACAATGCAGTACCTATTTGGAAGATCCAGGTCATTTAATACTCGGAAGTCGAACTTTTTTGGCTTCATGTGCCACTGAGCAACCTTCATAGGAATGAAAGGAGCAAATTACAATTCTATCCATATCAAATACAAAGTCTTGAATTACAGAGGTTTTTTTTAGCCAGACAGAACATATTCTCTCGTTTCCCTTTTTAACCACTTCACTTATTCCGCTGCATCTCGAGGGGGGGTGGGGGGGTTAGAACCTATCCCAGCACACATTGGACAGGTTGCTAGTCACTCACAAGCCCACAAAACATACTGGAATAATATTTTTTTGTCATAAATGTGTCAGTTGGAGGGCTTTTGTCAGACTGTTTTTTTCCACGACAAGTTTGTTCCATTTGCTTAGATTTGAAACTGCTTTCAAACTCAACAGGTAGGCCAGCCAATCTTTTCAGACTGAATGCTTATTAAAGTCCTGCAGCCTAAATACCTTGGAGGCCACTGACTGAATGGCACCAGGGTTTTCAGCGTGTCACTACCATCTCCCTAAATTAAAAAACTTATTTATTCTGTTTACAGACAACCTAAGTGAGGCCTTGGAGAAGCTGAAGCTAGCGTCTACAGACAGTGCCACTGACAGCGTGGAGAGCTGCCTGGACTGCCTGCTGAAAGCACTCGTCAACAACAGTGAGTAAAGCCTGATTTACACCTGTGTTGTAAGTCCATTACTTCCTTTCTAGGTTTCCCATTATAGTCTCTCGGACAATCTACATACTCTGAAACCTTATCTAAATTACTCTGATCAATGTGGTCGCTTGTTTATTTAATAAATCCTATTGGAATTGTACTCAGATGACGAATGTATATGTGCACTTTAAATGAGCCAGTGAAGCCACGTCTTTGGGCAGTGGGACAGTTTTTGACAGACAGCTGAGTAATGACATCTTGCTGTTAGATGAGCAATTCTTTCCTAGCTGATGGTATAGCAGATCTGTCATTAATTTAAGTGCAAGTATTTAGGTATTCAGTGTAACTGCTGCTATAACTAGGGATGGGAAAAGATCGATGCTTAGAGCGATTCATAAATTTCAAAAACCTATTTTCTAAATGTTAATTGTCACGTAACGTTGACAGAACGCATACGTGTAACTTGGAAGTGCAGCGCCCAGACAGTCTGTGGCGTGCACATAACAGACCAGTGTTCCCCCTGTATTTGGCGCAGCGCCACTACTAAAAGTTCACACTGCCATTTATATCAGTGTGCAACTAATAATGTTACTTGCTCACTGTGCGAGGACAGTAACACTCCCACTCCCTCATTCTTAAGGACCTCTACGTTAGGGCTGCAACTACTGATTATTTTCACTAATCTGTTAAATACTTGTTCGATTAGTCGACTAGTCACGATGATTATTATTATTATTATTATTAGACTATAATAAAATTAAAAGTGAATTTTGCATAATAACGTGTTAGATTTATTTCCACTACTGGAAATACCGCTCGTCCCGTGTGCTCTCCGCCCGGACCCCAGCTGGCTAAGCTATTCCCGGATTCTGCTCTGTACCTCGGATCAGACTCTCTCACTCTAGACTCTCAGCTACGGTTCAAGCCAGAGTCTACAGCCATGCTAGCAACACAGCGATGCCTTGTGCTAAATCAGGGTTTTTCCTGCATAGAGGAATTTTTGCCACCCCCCCAAAGAGGTTTTAGCGAGCGCCAAAGGGGGGTGGGTGGGGATGGGGAGATTCGCTTAATAGAAATTTATCAAACAACTGTTGAGCAAGCAGAACATAAACTTGAATTTCGACATCTTTGACTTCCATCAGTCACCTGTCCTCTCGCGCTACAGCAAACTTGCAAACTCCTTGTTCTGTATGCACGTTTTTTTCTTATTGACAAGTTGGTACTTTGCATTAGCAAATGAGACTAATCATCATGTAGAGCATTTTTCTTGCAGAATAATTTAATGAAAACAACGCACAAAAATGGAATAGCTGTTTTGTCCAACATGCTGATGAACAGCTATTGGAAGAATGGTGGTGGACTGACAGACAAGCAGACCAACATGCTGATTTATTGGACCAATCTTACACAGTGTGCCATGCAATAAATCTGCCAGATTGAATGCTGTCGTTTTATAGATTGCCTCTTTTTAAATTATATATATCCCTTACCAGCCTGTACTCTTCGTGACCATGAGTCAGTCAAGTTGAACATGTATGATGAATTGCAAGTTGAAACTGATGAAACGTTGGACAATATGAGCTTATTTCTATATCTGCTTATTGTTATTAGTGTATAGGTTGTGTCTCCATTACACAATTTGTCCATCAAAGAGCGCTGACAAGTAAATTTTTACAGTGTGAAACTAATGTCCTACTCAGTATTTTTATTGGTCACAATTTTATAAAAACACATGTTAAATGTATGCATGTAAGAGTAAGCAAGTGATACATGAACTCTAGGTATCTGGTTTAATGCATTGGTTTACATTGAAAATAAGTGTGATATCGCAATCACATGTGACAATTATATGCTTAGGCTGACCAGTTTATTGAAATCTAATCAAAATTGCAATATAGCCTACTGCAATTTTCAAATCACAGGATGTGCAGTATTTGTTAAAGGGACATCTATCCATCCATCATCAACCGCTTATCCTGCGTACAGGGACGTGGGGGCTGGAGCCAATCCCAGCTGACATTGGGCAAAGGCATTGTGTCTCAAAATACCATTTTAAATGAAATATTGTGGTGCTGCAGAAATATTCTGGTCTTCACTTCACATTCCACAGGCTTAAGAAAACATCTTTGTTTGGTTCAGATTCCTGCAAAAATCACAACATTATTCATTTTAATGTGTTTTAAATTGAAATTAAATTAAAATGAAAATTAGAATAATAATTACATACTACATATACTACAATAATAATTCCCTCCTATTTTGCAAATCGCATATACCGGTATGTATTTCCGCCCATGTGGTTGCTGCATGTAGATTGACAAAGCATTTCCATTTCGAACGACTTCCAGAGGTGGTTTGGCCGATCGGATCACTATCCGTCCTCTCGTACACTTGTACTTTCAATCTTTCTATTCAGTTCATCTGATCACCCAAAATGAATTTTAATGCCAGTTTGAAGGAGGCTTAACTTCCCAACATGAACAGAGTTCATTTGACCACTTTACTGTCACAAACTGGGACCTTTGATTTCAGCCTAACCAGTTAGTTCAGTTAGAAAGTGATATGACCGTAGCATTGATACAGAGCATAGGAGCCCTTTGGATTTCTAAAAAAGCATGCTTTCATTGGAAATTGAAATTCATTCTCTTTTTTTTTTCTCCTGCAGACACCGAAGCCAGTGTGAAGATCCAGGAGATGGGCATTCTTCCCCTGCTACCCACCCTGCTAAACCCCCAGTCTTCCTGCACCCCTAAAGTAGCCAACATCATAGCTGAGATGGCCAAAAATGGTGAGGTTCGGTTTCCAAGCCCATCCACCCAGGAACATCCTGACTTTCTGTTCCTCCATTCGTCAGTATTCTATTTTTAAACTTTTTCTTGTTGCCATACTTTTTGTTTTTACACGTTTTCTTCATGAAGACATTATTTGGTGGGACAGGAAGGCAACCCTCTTGGTTATGGATATTTTCTATGAATTAAAATATTTCAAACAGAAACCTGTTTGATTGACAGGTCATTCTCCTTGGCATTTCAGAGCTAAGCTGTCACTGACTTTGAGGTTATTGTGTAAGGACATACCTGCAGTGTCAGTGCGCTTCTATTTTCTATAATGCCTCTGTGTGAACGCAGGACTAGCTTTTAAAGTAGGAAAAAGCTGCCGTGAATAGGAGTTGGGGCAAGAAAAGGTTAGGATAATGAATGGCTTTTTAGCAGCTTGCAAGACTGCAGCTAATGATCACTCCCCAGCAGTTTGCCAAGCTTGGCAACAACCCGCTGGCCTTTATCTGTCGCCGCTCCCGGAAATTTCTGCAAGCAGCCAAGTGACTGCCAAGCTTAAGACTACTCCCTTTCTGTCTGACAGTGTGAACTGACTTGATGTCTTCTAAAGACTTATTTGTATTGATATAACGATAATATAATAAAATAAAAAAATATTTCTTTAATGATAATGCACATTTGAAATGATTTTTAGATGTTTACACAAGGTATTTGCTATTATAAAACTTGGTGAAATTGTTTCAGTGTGTGTATCAGTACATTTTGATCATTTTCAGCAGACGCTAACAATACCGGGATAATACTGATAACCCTGATCATTTTGGTCACTATAATGGCGATATGAAATTTTTATACCGTTTCGTTTCATCTCTGTTACCAATTAGCATAAATCACCACCACAACAGAGAATAGTGTCTCATCCCCACTAAAACCCAGATGTTCCAATATGACTGGCCAAATGAAAATGTGATAACAGCATGGTGACTGGTGAGACTCTCCTTACCGCAGCATGTTAACTCTGAGCTGTGGGAACTGTAAACCGCCTTAGTCATTTAGTTGAGTGGGGGGCTTTGCAGTGAATCAACTCCCATATTGTCATCATGGAAATGAGGCACTTAATAACAATAAAGACACTTATTTAGGTGAACTAAACTGGCCAAAAAAACTGGTGTGGACTGAACTCAGGTCTGGCTTGAGACTTGACTTGCAGTTTGACTTTACTTAGACTTCAGCCTTTTGACATAAATGAATCATAACATATTCTTTCCAAGCCGGAACATATGCCGTGTGTCATAGAACGTGTGCATCGAGTCAGCAGCAGATAAACTTGGAAGCAGGGGGGAAAGGTGTGTTTGGCAGATCAGACAACAGACCACAAATGAGAATTAAAAGGAACATGGAAAACATTCATTCATGATTTTCTGATGTTGCCTCGTGCAGCTTAAACATAGTGGAGACTTAGATTTTCTCCAGATTACTTATTATCTTGTCCTTCACATTTTGATTAAAATGATATTAAATAAGCACCCGAACTACAGTTCAAATTTGTCCTTTGAGACTTCTTGAGATCATAGAGTAGATTTGAGCTGCCAGTATCTTTTAGGATGGTCAGAAAGAACGTACTAATGGATTGTATTTGTTCTAATCAGCATAAAATTTCCATTCTCTTTTACTTGTCAATTTTCTTTTTTGTCCAAGGCACATCATAACTTGTTCTTATAACCTTGCAAATAACCAGTGAAATTGTAGTAAAAATGTGAGTAATATAGCAGCTCGATGCTCTACAGCTAACTTCAGACAGTCTTTTACTGATGCACTGTTATCCAATACGTTTTCCTCTCTCTAGAGTTCATGCGGAGTCCCTGTGTTGAAGCCGGCCTCATCCCTCCTCTAATTCAGCTGTTAAACTCCACCGACCAGGAGGTTTTACTGCAGACTGGCCGAGCTCTTGGCAACATCTGTTATGACAGCCGTAAGTAGGACTTTGCTTTGCTTAGGGAACGCTGAGTCCCTCATGAGCTTTGTCATCACCATCACGGAGGTAATAGAAAATGAGTAAGAAAATGATGCTGCTGTTGGACTACAGGAGACAAAGCTTGGATGTTTAACATGTGTTTCCACTTCACAAACCTCTAGCAGGGTTACAGCATTACATACAGGGAAATACTGCATTTGTATAGAGGGCATTACAGTTCTCCCTTGCTGTCTATTAGGTGTGAACTCAGTTCAGGTAAATGAGGCCAATTGTTTGCGTATTTGGAACCACACTGGTTGCTGTGTTACTGGAGTCCATATGAAAATATACATAGTGACCATACAGTACAAATCAACACCACTTACACACAACTCACGATTACTTATTAACACCATGCAACACCCACACTCACACATTAAATTCAGTTCTTGTCCATGTCTAGGGCACTATGAAATCTGTGTTTTACGTTTGAAGCACATTTAGTCATCAGCTGGTGTTTAATCATCTGGTGGATAAATAAAATTTGAACAATTCAATAAGAAAACATTAAGAATTGAATCAATATCAGTGAATTGACATCTGACAATTTCTTCCCACGGATCCTCTGCAGGACAGCCTCCATATGCTGCTCCAACACACAGTATTAAAAAAACAAAACTGTGTGTGTGTGTGTTCATACTCGGCTCCGCCCTCAGTGAAACACCAACACAGAGAGCAGAGGACAGAAGCAGCATGCCCTTAAATGACACCAAAACACAGCAGCATCGTTTTTTTCATAACGAAACCCAGATTTTTATCTTTTTGGCAGATTCTGTAATTTAAATTTGATTCCAAGTTTATGATCAAATTCCGCAATTCCGTCCGTGTTTTCTACATCACGTCATATGCATACAGTAAAAATTACATACAGCATTACTTACTTTCAACATTAAATACAACACAAGTAGACAGATTCAGAAAAGCTCTGAAAAATAAGTAAATCTATAATCACCAGAGTCTCTTTTATGAAGATGCTTATAATAATAAAATAATATTTCAAAACAAGACTCACTATTTTGTGAAATAATCTGTTGAGGGAGTAAATTCCATTTATAGGTTACTGTATGCACAAGTTTATTCTAGTTTACAGTTTATGGTGATATAAACTATAGCCCGGCCGATAGTGATTTCAATATTGGGGGTGTCTAAAAAATGTAATACTATATATCAGCAGATAAAAAAACAACAAAAAACACACAAGTTAAACAACAATCTTGATAGGGATCCCTTAGACTTATTTGTGTTTCACCTCGGAGAAGCTACAAGTCTGAGCCACATGTTCTCACCATAATTATATCTGTAGCATTTGACAATGCAAATGTGTTACATCCCGTTCTAAACCTTCAAGTTAATGTTTAGGTGCAGCTAAAAGGCTTAATATTACTTATATAAATAAGAGAACTGGCTGTTGGAATAACTATATTTCTTAATGCAACACATGGATGTGGCTATTCTGTGTTTGAAGTTGGGACAAAGGAAAATGGTTTTGATAAACTAACTATTTTGCACACAAACCCTGTTTGTTTAGTGATATGCAAACTAAAATCTAAGGTATCACAGTTTATATGACAAATATATGATTGTGTTTGAAAATGCTACACGTTGCACCTTTGAGACATCTGCTCTAAAAAAATTAATTAGTGAATGTACCAGTGGAGTGTTTGAGTACTGACCTCGGGGGAGAGCAGCAGAGTTTAAGCCTGATTTTGCAGCCAGCTTTAGAGGCTTTAATCACAGCTGTCGGTTCTGGTGCATAGTTTCTCCTCTTGCAGAAAATCTGGGTATCTGTGGAATTTGGTGGGATGTGACATTTGTTTGAGTAGAGGGGGTCTCACTAAGCTGGCATGGTTTTACGGTAGACGCACCAGGAGAGTGTGGAGAAGCAGCTGTTCGCTACCTTCAAGAAACACACTGCAATATGGGAGAAGTTGCTTTAGTAAAATTTTAGAATTAAATAGAAGTTTAGGAGGTCTAAATCTTTAATATCATGTATATTCAGACATAATTTAGCACGTCTAACGTTACACCTTTTAATTAATGATGGTAAGGGTATAATCACATGCCTGAACAACCTCAAGTGACCCCTTTAAATATGAAAGAGCAGCGGCACTAGTCTGAGCTCCTGATGGACCAGCACCTTTCCTTATCCCTACGCCTAGTTCACCCTACACGATTTTAAGCCCAATTTGCCAGTCGCCGAGCTCGCCTGTCAGGCTGTGATCGGGGGTAAAGTGCAATTATACTTCTGCGTCAAATCGACGGCATAGGCTACGCAGAGGCTACGCCGTCACCTGACGTGCACCTCCTCAAGTCAGAGATTAGTCGGCGCTCGCAAAGCGTTGTGTGCACTACTCAACGACGCAACATATATATATATATATAATCGCTATCTTTATAATAATAAACAACTCCTGTGTCATGTGTAGTTTCTCATCATTTCCTGTGCCACTTTTCACGTTTTTTTTCCGACAAAACGTGGTTTGGAGGCCAGCCATCAGGTGACAGAGTCGTCGTCAGCTCGTGTAGTGTGTCGCCGATCTTTAAAGTAGCCACCCAGGCTGTTGGAATTGCTGCTTGTCCATGTGTCCTTGGGATCAAACTCAACACAAAGTAGGAGCTTTTTTATGCTTTTCTCTGACCAAACCATGAACATATTGAGTGCTCAAAACGAGAGAACTGGATGTCCGTCTTAAAGAGCCTTTATGAATTAAAATTGCGTTTCAAGCCAAACACATATTGCTGCTGTTCACTTTCCTCTGGGTTTTAAGTGTCATGCACGTAACTGACGTATAGTGATATCGGTCAGTACCACTAACCATTGGCAGGTGTTGTTTAAAGCTGTACAGATCCTTTTCTGCAGCTGTCACCAAGGCCAAGACCTTTGTGGTTGCTAAGAACTAGCCATAGCTAAATTCTAACCATTTAATGCTAGCACATCCTCGCACCAGCCCTTCTACTCAAGTTCCTGCTGGGACTGTCACCTGAGAATCTGTTTGTTCCTATTTCCTACCACTACCTTTACATGAAAAAACATTTCTGAGTCGGCGTCAACAGCAGCTTCATGTGAACAGAATAGAAACAGAAAATAATATTATGCACATTGCTTTGAGGTGTTGCAGAGAGTTCAGGCATGGCATGCCGCCACGACTGAATGAAAGTAGCAGACACTGATGCTGAGAAGGCAGGCTTATGTAACGCTTCTTTTGGCAGCTATTCTGCCAGACAAAAGCCCTCCCAGAGAGACAATCATCACTGTTGTGCATTTATTGCCCCCCTCCTCCCCAAAGAAAGAACAACACCAGTAAAGTCATTTGTATTTAATATTAAAGGTGAAATGTACAGGCCTTCAAAGGAGTATGATATGGAAATGGAAACTGTGCACAAAGGCTTAGTTATGCCAAAAGCATCCGTTGCCAGTGATTTGTTCATGAAAGCTTTTTTTTTTTTTTTTTTTAAGATTGCAGTTCTTTGATTTTGCTGTTGTTGATTGTGTTGATTTTAATTCTTGGCTGCAACAAAATAATTGTGAGAGCTTTGGCTTAATTATGTTGCCTTACGTACTCTGCAAAGAAATGTGTATAAGGGAAGAATTGTGGCCATAAATGTCAACTGTGGCATTAAATAAACCCAACTCTAGGTTCTTCTATGAATTTGAACAATAAAAAGCCTTTATCAGATGTACTATGAACCTCACACCGGACCTAAACTTGGATTTGCTTTATGTCATATATCCTTTACTTAGTTTATTCAGCAATGTGACTGTTTTATAGCCTTAGTTTGCATTGATTTCTATGTTTTGTACTTCTTGCCTAACATTGCTTTCATATGTATTTTTCAGGTTGTGGTTATTTTTCTTTTCTTTTTTTCCCCTTTGCTTTGTGGTTGATTTGTGTCCTGGCCTCTTTGTTTTGCAGATGAGGGCAGGAGTGCAGTTGACCTGGCAGGAGGGGCTCAGATAGTAGCTGAACACATTAAATCCCTCTCCCAAAATACTGAGCCGGAAAATGAGAAGCTCTTGACTGTCTTTTGTGGCATGCTGATGAACTATAGCAATGATAATGGTAATGACCATCCTCCCCCAAGAAAAACTGTTCACTAATCTCAACTAATCAGCGGATGTTCTCTTTCTTATACACAGACTATGTTGCATCATTTTCTGTCACAAGACAGTAGGGTTGAACTGAACCAGAGGACTCTATGCTTTTCTTTTTGGACTGACCTTTCTACTGATCTTTCTACCATGCTCTCCGTTGCTTTTTCAACTTCGCCTCTGAGGTAATCTGCAGTTATTAATATTTGCTGAGTGTCAGCATTCATAGCAGTAGTACCCTGCCCCTGTAAGTTTGTATTAGTAATAGACTCGGCAGGTAAAACATTAGCTCGTTCCTCTCCTTGCTTTTTAGCCATGCTAGTGATATTGCTCTTGGGATGGCAAGGTCTGTCGGTCCTGTGGGATGGATTGCTGTGAAGACATTAATCCCCAGAGGATTGACTTTTCCTCTACCACCACCTAGGGCTGGGCGGTATATCGGTATATAATGTATCCCGATATATATTTCAAAAGAGATATGAAATTGGACAATACCGTTTATACCGATATATTTTGATGTTGAGTTAATTAATGTTTCCATGAAGTCCTGCCAGCGTTTGCTGCTCTCTCCCTCCCTCACCGCGCAGCCCCGCCCCTCCCTCTGCGTCTGCACGCAGCCGTCTGCTCACAAGATGGAGGGAGACACAGTGCTGGTCAACACTGTTAAACACCTGGCTTGTAAAAAGAAAAGCACGGTTCATTCAGTGTTTCCCACACATACACTTTACTTTGGCGACACACTGTAGCATTTATCAGAGAAACACAGTGAGTGGGTACTATCTGCAATGGAAAACAGAGGACGGTCGAGGCGAGTACTGGTCTGGTACTGGTATTGGAAAAACGGCATAAGAAGCGGGGAACGTTAGGTCTGTGAGTGTGAAGTGAACTGAGGGAGGCGATTTTAATAATTGATACTTAAGATGTAGAATGAAGTATAATTAAAACGGTGAAATAAGAAACTAGCTAAGTTACTAAAAGTAGTAAAAACATGCCCCCCCCCCTCCCCCCACCAGAAGATGATTGGCACAACATTTTGTACAGATATTCGTGGTTCCTAATGGTTTTTCCGATAGCTCCACTACAATGTTGACATTTGTGAATTTAAGCGAAATATCTATATAAACGTATCACTATTGGATATACTGCCACAGATTTTGGTACACACATTAATATCCCCTCAGGATGGATCGTAATAACTTTTCATCCAGCACCATCATCAGTTCAACATTTCTGTTTGTCCTTTGACTTTTGACTAATTACCTGTCAAACTAATGACATTTCCATCAGCCTCAGCTGTACTTTTTTTTTTTGTGCTCATAAGCAAATGTTAGCATGCTAACACTCGCTACGCATACTGATGTTAGCATTTAGAAAAAAAACCCTGCTGTGCCAAAGTACAGCCTCTTGGCTGTAGACTCTTCAGTCTCGTTACATTTCTGTTTGTTTGTGTACAGATTAAACAAATTAAATAACCATATCTTAACTGCAGCTCTCTCTGAATCACACAGACATGAGATTGATATCAATCTAGAAGTAAGTTAAAAGTATTGCTTTTTAGCTTTGTACAGATTTTCTACAAGAAATAAGCACATTTATTTAGTTTTTGTTCCCATGCAATTTTTCTTGCAGTTAAATACAGTAAGCTTTCGCTTCTATGTGTCTATCTATATAATTTGTCTGCATTTCTTTCTATAGACTGATATTTACAATGAATTTACATACATAATCAGTGTTTTTGCCTGTTTAAAAAAAGTGAATTTATAGTCCACTTACCTTCCTGTATCCCAGCATACATATTTATTGTACTATGCACCAGTTTGTGTCTTTGTGATTATAAGGCTTGTTGAGAGCAGCGAGTATGTGATCTGACAGACTCAGACCTCCTGCCAAAGTGTCTTTTGGCACTAGATGAGGGTTGGATCTGTTTGGCTGAGTGATGGGAGGTTTTGGGTGGCTCTAACAGGATGGATGAGTTTCTGCAGCTTTCACCATCTAGCGGACTCTTCATATCTAGCTAACGTTGAGAGAACTCCCCACTCACTAACACTGAATTAACGGCATTAGTTAAAAAGAATCTCTGAAGAACAAGACACAGGTATATTTAATTTTATATTTACTTTATTATTAGAGGATAAGTTTCTTTTGATGTTGAATGAATATATAATTGATAATCAGTCATATAATTCAAAAGTAAAATAGTTACAGCATGGCTCTGAATACTCGTAACACTCGTTGCTGTTTTCAGTATCTGACATATGCTAATATTTTAAATATTAAGTGATTCCTTGCTGAAAGTATTGTAAAGACAAATAATATAAGAGTTGATAAGTGGCTTCTGTCTCAGACTAGTGCTGTTTATTTACTGGTAGCATTGATTTTCCCCCCATCAAGTTTGTTTGTATAACCCAATATCATATACAGTATCTAAATATGTCTAGGCCCATGGGCGAGGAAGCTGTTGGCAGAAAGTAATGGCTGAATTATAATCAAAAGGACAAGAAGTGCAAAAAAATAAGTCCTAGAAATGATGTACAGTGGATAGAAAAAGTCTACATACCCCTGTTAAAATGCCAGGTTCTTATGTAAAATAATGAGACAAAGATAAATCATGTCAGAACTTTTTCCACCTTTAATGTGAACAATTCAATAGAAAAACAAACTGAAATCTTTGAGTATGAAAAATAAAACCCCTCAAATAACCTGGTTGCATAACCCTTAGACTAATACTTTGTTAAAGCACCTTTTGATTTTATTAGAGCAGTCAGTCTTTTTGGGTAGGAGTCTATTAGCATGGCACATCTTGATGTGGCAATATTTGCCCACTCTGCTTTGCAAAAGCGCTCCAAATCTGTCAGATTGCGAGGACGTCGCCTGTGCACAGCCCTCTTCAGATCACCCCACAGATGTTCAGTTGGATTCAGGTCTGGGCTCTGGCTGGGCCATTTCAAAACATTAATCTTCTTCTGGTGAAGCCGTGCTTCTGTGGATTAGGATGTGTGCTTTGGGTCGTTGTTGTGCAAAGGTGAACTTCCTCTTCATCTTCAGCTTTCTAACCGACGCCTGAAGGTTTTGTGCCAAAACTGCCTGGTATTTGGAACTGTTCATAGATCCCTCCACCCTGACTAAGGCCCCGGTTCCAGCTGAATAAAAACAACCCCAAAGCATGATGCTGCCACCACCATGCTTCACTGTGGGTATGCTGTTCCTTGGGTGATGTGCAGTGTTGTTTTTGCAGCAAACATACCTTTTGGAATTATGGCCGAAAAGTTCTACCTTGGTTTCATCAGACCATAACACATTTTCCCACATGCTTTTGGAGGACTTGATGTTTGTTTTTGCAAACTTCAGCCGTGCTTGGATGTTTTTCTTTGTAAGAAAAGGCTTCCGTCTTGCCACCCTACCCCATAGCCCATTCATATGAAGAATACAGGAGATAGTTGTCACATGTACCACACAGCCAGTACTTGCCAAATTCCTGCAGTTCCTTTAATGTTGCTGTAGGCCTCTTGGAAGCCTCCCTGGCCAGTTTTCTTTTTGTCTTTTCATCAGTTTTGGAGGGACATCCAGTTCAGGTCAGTTGTGCCATATTTTCTCCACTTGATGATGACTGTCTTCACTGTGTTCCATGGTATATCTAATGCTTTGGAAATTCTTTTGTACCCGTCTCCTGACTTATGTCTTTCAACAATGAGATCTCTGATGCTTTGAAAGCTCTCTGCGGACCGTGGCTTTTGCTCGGAGATGCAACTAAAGAAAATATCAGGACTATCCTACTAGAACAGCTGAACTTTATTTGTGATTAATCAGAGTCACTTTAAATGATGGCAGGTGTGTAATGACTTCTAGCTAACCTGAGTTTGAATGTGATTGGTTAATTCTTAACATAGCCATATCCCCAGTTATAAGATTTCAGTTTATTTTTCTATTGAATTGTTCACATTATAGGTCACATTAAAGGTGGAAAACGTTCTGACATGATTTATCTTTGTCTCATTATTTTACATCATAAGAACCTGGCATTTTAACAGGGGTGTGTAGACTTTTTCTATCCACTGTAGTGTCCTCATAAGGGCTTTTTAGTTTTTTCTGTTTTCATTGCCTTTCCAAAAAAACTCTGAAAGCTTTTGCTTCATTTACGCTGTCATCAAGCCATCCATCAATGTTTCCAATTTTGTGGCACACCATGTAAAGTCCTCTATAGGGGCTGAATTAATATCATGATTTATTGAAGTTCAAACAACGCATGTAACATCTGTTATGTTGGATTTTTCTTTGTCTCACTTGCTTTAAGGTTTTAGCTGGTCCTGGTACTGCAAGTTCTGATCGTCATTCAATAAGGATCTGAAAAGATCTTGTATGTTGCAGTATTGCTTTTAACTTTTCCCTTCTCTCTTCTGTTCAGCTCATCCACTCACTCCTGTCTTCCCTCACCATCGATTTATAGACTTTTTTTTTTTATAAAAAGGTGTGCGTAATGGCTCTACCAACTCTTGCCAATAGATGGCAAAGGTATCTACACTTTTCTCTTAAGGTTTTGGGAATCTGAAATGTGGAATTTACTTTCTGCTTCTAACTCACCCTACTGTCATAGAGAGGGCCATGACACCATGTTGTGGGCGAATTGGCATTTAACGCAGGTGTGTATGTAAAAACTGCTTTAAATAATAATTCATCATTTAAGGGTTTAATTGTCGTTGTGATTTACATTACCCCTCCTTAATTCTCTGAAAAATAAAAAATGTGAGTATTTTTAATAGGTTTTATTGTGATTTCCCTAAAATACTTGTTTTGGTGACATAATCACAGTGTGAATGCACAGTTTAAAGCGCGGCTATGTAACTCCTGTAAACATGACCACCATGCTCACAAATAGCACCTACGTGATAATGATAAATGCTAAACTGTAGCACAAGTGGAGAAGCGTCATAAATTCAGTAAACTGACTCAGTAACAGTGACACAACAAACCTAATGTTTGCTAACATTAGCCACCATAAGCCACTGGTCACACTGGATGTGTTACTCTCCGCACCCCTTGTTTTGCAGGCATACATAAAGATAATAAGCAAAATGTTATTTTAACAGAAATGCTTTCATTTGACATAATTCTGATATATTATTGTACAGTTCTCAAACCCTTTTCTCGAGGCCAACTGTCGAATGTAATATGTTCGTCTAATGAAAGTTATGGTTATCGATACAGGATTTGCTGAGGTGGGGAAAAAAATAACTCAGACTAAGCAAAGGCCTGGTCACACCACAACACTTTCAGCCATTTTCAGTTGATTCCAATGGAATCAGCGCGATTAGTGGTTTTGCTCGTAGGGATGCTTTTTTGCCAAGTTCAGCATTGGTGACTTTAACCCGCAAACTTTCACGTAGCAAAGCGTTATGACTGATCTTTTGAGGGGAGAGCCGGAGAACCCAAAATGAAGCTATCATAGCTTAATAGCTGTGTGTCACAATTCACTTTCATTTAACCTCTGTTATCTCTCTTATTTTTGTGAACAATTTTTTATTTGGTTTCATATTAACAGACAGAAAAAAGGGGAAAAAAATAAAAGAAAGGCATAAACATGTACAGAAATACAATATACACACCCTCATTCCCTCACCTCAACCTACACACGCACACCCAACCACACACAAACAATATAAACAAAACTAACACAATTGTACTTTATCTAATCCCCCCTACACTCCCTACTGAGTCATCTACCGTGTGCCCCCCCCCGGCAAGAAATTCAGTAACTTGAAGAGCTGAAGACTGTACTTCAGAGCATTCCCAAACATGTGAAGAAAAGTACCTATACTGCCTTGTGAACACAGTTGACAGAGCGGAGATGACTCTAACTTAATCAGATGTCTAATTCTGGGCATTAATAAGTTCTATAGACAAATCTTAAGTGAATGGATTGGTGATTAGGATTTTTAGAAGCTTGGTTAATATTATTCCAAATAGTTTTCCAAGCTATTGTAGGGGAAATGAAACTATAATCATTTTGCCAAGTTGTTTGAATTGCAATTGGTTTATAGGAACTTTGCATTATTTGAGAATACATTGTGGATACCAGCAGTAAATTATGGTTATGAAAATGCCACTTTTTTTTTTTTTTTTTTTTTTTTAATAGTCAAGTGTTGTTGGTCGCAAGCTTCCAAATTAGTAAAAGATTAGAAATAATAGGCCCAAAACGCATTTTGGCTTGTTTTAATGGGAGTCTGCATAAATTAAATCTTGTAATCTGTGCGTATAAACTAATTTCTCTTCCAGAGAGCACCAACAAACAGATTTTGTGGGGTCTAAACAAGATTTTATAGTATGCAATACAATTGCACCAATGATAGACTTTTAAATTTGGAACTCCCCTACCTCTAGCTGATTTCTCTGTCTGAAGAGTTTTGAGTTTAATCTTTAGTCTTTTGTTATTCCAAATAAAACCAGTGATTAAACTATGCAAACTATGCCAGTACTCAATCTGTGGGCTTAGAGGCAACATAGAGCTGAGAAAATGTACTTGCTATCATTTTTATAACAGAAATCCTAGCATCAAAACATTTAGGCCTTGACCTCTGTTATCTCTGTAGTTGCCAGGGGGAGTAAAGAGAGAGAATCACCAGATTATTTTTGTTATACCGCTTTCTGGTGTGACCAGGCTTTAGTGTATTGCATTGAACAAAGGTTTGTGTTTGCTGAGGAAGAATGTGCCATCGTCTCGCTACTACAGCAAATGAGCTTTCAGGTCAAAATCAAATCAAATGTCGCATATGTTGTTCTCCTGGTCTCCTCAGCTCTACATTATGTTTAGAACAACAGGTCGACTGCCCGGCTTTCTGTGTCTTTGTTTTGTGCAGATTCTTTACAAGCCCAGCTGATCAACATGGGTGTGATTCCCACTCTGGTGAAGCTGCTAGGCGTCCATTCCCACAACACAGCCTTGACAGAAATGTGTCTAATTGCCTTTGGGAATTTGGCTGAGCTTGGTGAGTACAACTAAATACCTATTTATCCAAGCCATTACAAAATGGTGAACAGTATCATCAACGTCTCACCTACCTAGATTTCTTCATTTTTATTTACTGCAAATTTTTTAGTCTGTCAGTCTGCAGAATCAGCTCGCCGTGGTCTGAGTAGACCTAGCCCAACTCTCAAACACAAAAAAACACGCCCCCCTCAAGGAGCATTGTGATGCATAGCTGAATATCTTTTCTTTCCTCCAACAAACAAACATGTTAACCATAAATTTGAAAATCACTGTGACAATAGTTTACTACAAAAGTGGATGACATATTGTGACTTCAGTTGGACTATAAAATAAAACGTAGGTCATAGTTCTCCTGCAGGGCCTAGAAACACTATTAGCCTAAATAAGATGTCCATGTAGAGGAATTCCTTCTCTTTCATGACATGCCTGTATAATCCTCTTCTGCTGTTCTCAGAGTCCAGCAAAGAGCAGTTTGCCTCCACCAATATTGCTGAGGAGCTGGTTCGTCTTTTCCAGAAGCAGTCGGAGCACGAGAAGAAGGAAATGATTTTTGAGGTTCTGGCTCCACTTGCAGAAAATGGTAATGTAATTTGTCTCATCTTTCTTTTTTCTCATAACTGAGCGCTACAAAAGGTCATATCCACTGTATGGGAGGTCTAGAGATGCAGGCGCTAAAGAGTGAGAGACGCAGCGTTCTCTCGTGCCTTCGGAGGAAAATCAGGTCCACCTTCTCTATAGTAAATCATCCTCTCAGTGTGTGAGTCATGCTTTCCAGGCTAGCTGCACAGTCATGGCAGACTGCTCCTGCATTTGCTCAGCTGCTCTTTTTCAAACATGTCAGCGTGTGTGTGTGTGTGTGTGTGTGTGTGTGTTACAGCAGCAGAGAGAGCCTCTTACTGACTGTTATCACCATTCCAGGCACACTGGGTGCTCATACGTTTTCAGTCTCCAGGACAACGTCCTACATTACTCTAGAGAAACCTCACTCGCTCTCTGCCTCTCCTTCTCTTTCAGTTGTCAGGCTGCATCTACATTAAGATCTATTACAAGTTTTCAGAGCCCATTCTGATGTCTTCAGATATCTGCATATAATTTAAACACTTTGAGCTCCAATTCTTCTATGAAAGGTGTTACACAAATAAAGTTTGTAAAAATAAAGTTATTAGTGTTATCATATGATGCACCGTTGCATTGCAGTAGCAGTGTTTCAGACTTAACTGTCCTCCCTGAACGTCTTGTTCTCCTTCCCCTGCCAGATTTTTATTATTAATGTTGTTGTTTTTCGTTCTTATTAACTTTTATTTGCTGTATTTTTTCTGTGGACTGTGATTTTATGTTCAGCACTTTGAGAAGCTGCTTTTAAAGGCGCTCTATAAAATAAAGTTTATTATTATTATATTAGATGTGATAAAGCTGCAGCTGGTGGAGGCCGGCTTGGTGGAGTGTCTCCTGGAGGTGGTGGGTCAGACTGTAGATGGAGAGAGAGAGGAGGACATCGCCCAGCTCAAGACTGCCTCTGACCTCATGGTTCTCCTTCTGCTGGGAGGTAAACACACCAGGGCTTGTCCAATACATGGCCGATAATAACTCCTTGTACGTGGCTTTAGGATCAACAATTATACCACAGACTTAAAAGGGTTCATGTGGTCTGTCTTCAAATATTTAACAGTCAAATTTATTTTCAGCTTCATAGAGTTAAGGTGGTTTTAAAAAACATTAAAATTCCCTCTGAATCGGAGCTTTAAAAAGCTTTCTGCAACAGTAATTAGAAATTCATAATTTCTTCAAGCTGTCAGATTAATCTTGCTGTCAAATATATACAAGGTCATGAGGGGAGAAGATTATCCTCTAACTGACTTAATTTATGGACAGAAAATATAACCTACATACACACACACATATATGACCATAAATACAAAGGTGGAATAAACCTAAACAGTAAATAAATATACATACTGGAGTCTCTGCAGCTATTCTTACAAGACGTATCACATGATGGTGTTCTTCATTCTTGTATGTTAAAGGAGCACTATGCTACAGTACGTATATTTAAAGAGCGATTCAGCAATGATTCATCATGTTCTACCAGTGCTTCATAAATCAACAGGAAGATGGTCCACAACATTTTCTCTTCCTCTCTAAGCTCTCTCAAGCAGGCACTGAGTGTAGTGCACTGAGTGTGCAGTTTCTAACAGATGTTTGCCATTATCTAATGGCCAAAAATCCTGATGTGCCAGAATCAGATTACATGATATTTTTGTCTTTTGGGATGATCGCTGAGATTAGGTGATTTTAATGAGTCATAAATTGTCCTGACTTGGCTGAGGGACAAGGATGGGAACACCAGTTTTCATCTTTTTGGCCCCCAATAGTAAGGTTGGGCCATAATTGTGCCAATATTGTGAATTATACCCTACATTTCATTACCGATGAATCTGCCGACTATTGTCGCGATAAATCGTGACTCTACAGTTTCATGTCATAAATGACAAAGAAAAACAGCAAATCCTTACATATAGGAAGCTGGAACCACTAAATGTGACTTAAAAAGATGAATTGATTATAAAAAATAGTTGCCAATTGATTTTCTTTCGATCGACCTAATTACTTAATCTTGTAACCGTTGCAGCTCTATTTCAATCCCATACCCAACACCAAAAAATACTGCCTCAAAATTTACCAGTTGAAACTCAAGCAGGCCATTTTATTGTTCAAGCCTTAAACTGTATTTCTTGTGTTGCCTTTCATGAGGTAATCCAACACTATATAAAATATATAATATATTTTTAAATAAACTAACAGTTTTGCATTGTGTTGCAACAGTGTAGGTTTCAGAAATAAAAAATATATAGTAATGCAAACAGCAACGTCATGTAAAATTTACTATTGTTAATGCACTGACCCTAATTTAACTGAAGTTTAATTAAAGTCTCTTTTTAGGACAATTTTAACTGTAAATTACACTTTTTTTTTTTTTTTTACATAATATACTGCAGTTTCAGAGATGGTGGCAGTGCCCAGCCCAGAGTAGTACAGTTTTCCTCTCAGGCTCAATACAGTCTCACTAAGCTCCTGCTAGAGGACAGGACTGCCCTAATAAAGCCTGAGAGGTGAAACACAGCGAGTATCAGCTCCTGTCGTCTCTCCTGTGCATTGAGGTGTCTGGAAAGTCAGAGGACAAAGTTCACAGGCACTTGAGTAAGAAAATCACAATGAAACTGTAAAAGTGAGGGGACATGTTCCCCCCCCATCCCCAGTGGAAATGATGCTCTTGCTGCCTTATAAAAGACTGGCATTGTGCAGTAATCTGTCTCCCCCCTGTTGTGTAGATGAGTCCATGCAGAAGCTGTTTGAGGGAGGAAAGGGCAGTGTCTTCCAGAGGGTCCTGTCCTGGATACCGTCTCATAACCATCAGCTGCAGCTTGCTGGGGCACTGGCCATCGCTAATTTTGCTCGCAACGGTAAGCTTCACTTCACAGTGTGGTAAGATGAGGTCCCAGAGGGAAGTTACTGACCAAAATGTTTATTACGCAGAGTGGGACGTTCCTGCATAAACATATAATAATAGTGTACAACAAAGAAAAAATACCGTTTTACATTTAATCATAGTTGTAGAGTGATGTGTAGTGAGAAAGTGGTAAACTTAGTGGTAACATACCTACTATCGATAAAATAATATTTTGTTACAGTATTAATTACAGGTGACGGTAATAGGACTGTAAGCCCTGCTCAGTATCTGACACATCAATCTATTTACTCTTCTTGCATGTATTTCTGTGTGTAGATGGGAACTGCATCCACATGGTGGACACTGGGATTGTGCAGAAACTTCTGGAACTGTTGGACCGGCACGTTGAGGAAGGCAACGTGACTGTTCAACATGCAGCACTGAGTGCCCTGCGGAACCTGGCCATACCTGGTGAGCCGCTGCATCAGTCAAACTTAGAGGAGCTTGCACACACACCAGGATCTGTGTCGTCTAGCTACTATATACACTTTGTATATTTTAAAACCTAATTTAGAATACTTTATTCTTAAGTAAGTTTGAAATATACTTTTAACAACATCAAGTATAAACAAACAAAGTGACATCAGCCTGGTATTTTGAGAGTCGTCATCTGCAGTTGTTGCAGTATAAGGTAAGATGATTATACATTTAAGGAAAACATTTCTTGTGTTTGCCTTTAAGACAAAGTGTAAAATTTGTTTGCAAACTCCAAAGACCGATAATGATAATGAATGAAAACTGTGTGTTTTATTGCTTCACTTGTTTTGTTAGAACAGTGCTGAAACACTATCAGCAGGCTTCTGAACTAAAATTTCAAAACCATAACTCCATTTTTCAAACAGCACACCCATTTCCCTAAACTCCACGCACAAATCCCTTCATTTCTTATTGCCTATACCATGCAGTCATTGAGAAAACACTAACATTCAATATTGTTCACTCATTCAGCACAGGTTGAGCTCAGTTAGCACACAGCTACCCAGGTGGAAACACAAACAGTCAAAATTGATAACACACCAATCAGAAGCTTCAATAGAGAGAGTCAGTTCGTTCAGTTTTGGAACAATGGATCCAGAGAGATGTGAAGGAAGAGGTGGAGGACACCAGAGAGGAGGAGGAGGAAGATGAGGAGGAGAGGTAGGAGGTGGAGAAGGAGAACAAGAATCTCTGGCCTGTCCCAGACCAAAGATGGGATGCTGGGGCAGAATAATATCTTGTACTGTACAGCACACTAAGGAATAAGAAATGTGCAGATGTTTACATTTGTTGTTTCTTTTGTTGTGTTCATCATGTGAAAAGGTTTTTGAGGGGGGGGGAGACCACAAGCAGCATTACTAATAACCAGTTTTTGTAGTATTTTGAATTTTTGTCACCAGTGTGTAAGACTGTGTTGCTGTGTGTGTGTGTGTGTGTGTGTGTGTGTTGTGTCTGAGGGCAAAGTTTGCTTTTTCAGCAAGATTGAATGGTTTTGAGTGGAAAGCTTCATTTTGACCTAAAATTAGGATGTTTGGAGAACTGGGTGAGAAGTTGTGCATTTGTGTTTAGAGTTTCGAGAAAAAGAGGCATAATTTCAAGAAATGTGTTTAAGCAATTGAGATAAACTGTAATCTGCCTTGTTTCCTCTCTCCAGTGGTAAACAAATCCAAGATGCTGTCAGCTGGAGTAGCGGACGTGGTGTTGAAGTTTTTGCAGTCAGAGATGCCACCAGTCCAGTTTAAACTCCTGGGGACATTACGTATGCTCATCGATACACAAGGTAGAACTTTAATCTGTCCTTTTCTCTTTACACCAAATCCATGAAAAGCATCACAGGAAATATATATTGACCCTGACAACACATTCTAGACTTACTGAGAATAGAGTGAAAATTCTAAAGTATATGGATATCCAGTGGTCATGTTACACACACCAGTTGATGATGTTTGAAGAAACCATAAAGGATATTTCAAGCAAAGTTGGCAGCAAGCTTTGGCTCCTGTTTAATCTTTGGTGTGATAATCAAGAGCTTCTTAGCAGCCCAGCCCATACGAGCCTCAATTCTGAGTCATAAAGACACACAAATATGGTAACTGCTGCTCAAGTCCTGACACTGGACAGATGGTCCCATATACAGAAAGTCTTTTTAACCAGAGTGAAATAAAATGTGGTTCAGTCAAATGCGACTGTACCATGTCTGAAAAGAACTTCAGTGTTTGCTTCTAATCTAGACCCTCAACTTTAAACCTAAAAAGCTTTTCACTGCATTTTGGTGACAGTGGACACCAGAGTCACTAATCTTGTCACACTAATCTTGTGTGTGTTTGTTCAGCTGAAGCCGCAGACCAGCTGGGAACCAATGGGAAACTGGTGGAGAGGCTAGTGGAGTGGTGTGAAGCCAAAGATCACGCGGGAGTGATGGGCGAGTCCAACAGGCTCCTGTCGGCCCTCATTCGACACAGCAAGTCCAAGGTCAGACGCCATTCTTCACACACAAATTACATTAAACTGGTCACGTCTTTGGTTGCAGTTAATTGTTCTCTTGTGCTGTCTGTAGTTGGTGGAGTTTTTCTCATTTGTTATTTTGAGAGGTTTCTTATACCAGCTGCACATTATTAATTTAGAGAAACTCTGTACCTTCTGCAGCCACAAGTGGCAATTATGGAACATTAGTAAATGCTAAGTAGGGTAAACTGAGTAACTTTGCCAAACTTCTATCACTACACGAGTCATAAACCCTACATTTGTATCTTCCAGACTGGATTATTTTAATGTCCTTTTGTGTGGTCTTCCTAGCTGTGCTACTAGAAATATGTAGCTTGTTCAGAATGCAGCAGCTAGCTCTTGACAAAAACTAGAAACTTTGACCCTATAACCCATCCTGGCCTCTGTTCACTGGTTACAAGCTAGTGCTGATTTTTAAGGTTCTTCTTTTTACTTCTGAAGCCTTGCATGAACTTATATATCTGAGCTGATCACTGGCACACCCTCTTCACTGTCAGTGCTGGTGTCCTGGTCATTCCTTTGTTTAACAAAAGAAATCAGTTGGCTTCAGAGCATTTGCCCACCGTGCTCCTTATCTCTGGAACGGCCTTCCATTACATGTTAGAGAAGCAGTTTAGTGGACATATTTACATCGTAATTGAAAACCTAACTTTTTGCCAAGCAAAAGTACTTCTTAAACGACGCATCGATGAATCGTTGAAATAATCTATCGAAGCTTCGAATACTAAAATCATCGTTAGCTGCAGCCCTACAGCTGATTAATTGGGTTTACTAGTGTATGGGTCTGAACATGGCGTCTATCTATAAATCATCCAGTCATCTCGTTGTGTCATGATGAATAACGGAGCCATCTATATTATTTACTACATATACATTTACCTTGTCTGCATTTATCTGAATGTACATCTCAGGATTGGTTCATTAAAGGGATGGTTGTTGTTTTTTTTTTGTTTGTTTGTTTTTTTGTGGATTTCAGGAAGTCGTCAAAACGGTAATCCAGGGAGGAGGCGTCAAGCACTTAGTTACCATGGCAACTAGTGAGCACATGATCATGCAGAATGAAGCACTGGTGGCCTTGGGTCTTATAGCGGCTCTGGATTTGGGTAAGCGCAAGAACTATTGTTATTTGTAATTTAAGTTTTACACTTTGGCAAGTTTGAACATTAAGGCAGTATTTTGTGTGTGCTTTTTAGTTAACTGCCTTTGAATTTGCATGATGAAACAAAATGGAGACCTCAAGCGCTAATGATTCTCCCCGTCAGCTGCCAGGAGCAGGGAGATTTTCACCTCCCGAGACAGGATCTGTAGAAATGCTTAAAGATCTGCTTAATCAGAAATCCAGGTTCATTGAATTTGAGTTGAGCAGAGGCCTAACTGTCTGCAGAAAACTTTGCAAAAGCAGTGCAAACTGTTTGACTCCGTTCTGTGACTTCTGAGAAAGGAAGCTGAATGCATTATATATTATATCCACACTGAAACCTGCTCTTCTGCTCTGTAGCGCACTCACTGGTGGAAACAAAAACATGTCGCCATATTCATCACGGTTTCCCACTGGAATTCTTTTTCTGGATTTCAGTTGCAGCTGAGAAGGACTTTGTTGGAGCCCACCTGGTGTCAGTGCTTCACAAGCTGCTGTCAGATGAGAGGAGTGCGCCAGAGATCAAGTACAACTCTATGATCCTCATCTGTGCAGTCATGGGCTCAGGTGAAAATTGTTATTATTTTTTAACTCCGATTGAAGTGCATAGTTACTGTATCTAGGGCCGGGCAATAAAACAATAATGATAATCATCGCAATATAATTTTCCTCAATAACAATATAATAAATGTTCAATATATTAAAAACAAATTAGCACTTAATTTTTCTATTAAAATATTAATTTTGTTGAGGAAAAGGGACTGAAAAAAGATTTACTAATCATATTGTTAAAAAAGATTTTATCAAAGTTGTTTTGAATGTTCTCCCTCAGATTTGTGAAGTGATCCACTGTTTGGCAACAAGTGTTTGTGACGTTCTGACCATAAAGAAAAGTTTAATCGCACAATTAACCATCTGGTTTCTTCAGTTTTCACTCAGGAGCAAAAATCACCCTTTAAACTTGGGAGAAATAATGATATGACATTTATCGTGATAATTATCGATATCGAATGCTATAAAATGTGTATATCGTGATAGCATTTTTGGCCATATTGCCCAGCCCTAACCGTATCTATCAACCACACCCCTGACTTGTCTTATAAATGATACTTATTTTGAAAGATTTCAATAGTTGCCTTTTTGAAACTACTGTATAATGCAAGTGAACAAATCAATCACAGCCTGGATGGAGCAGGACATAATAAAAAGTGTGCTACAGTAAACTTTCCAAATGTTGTTATTATATTAACATATTGTTTTGCATAAATAGTTATGATTATTGGCAAGTTAGTAGCCTACTTAAAATTAAAGTTAGAGACTAACTACCATGTAGAACAACATTTTTCTTGCACAAAGTTAATGAATAAAAAACTGAAAGAGAGAAGAGTGGTAAGCTAAATACTGTACTATTATATGAAATTATAATGAATATAGTAACATATAATTAACATATTAATATCAAACTAACAGTTTACTATTATATTAACAATATACTTTTAATATAATGTTATAATATACTAATACACTCATTTATACCAGCTCCTCCTCCAGGTTGTGGATAGGGCCCCTGTAGCAGGCAGATGCCATTGTGACAATATGTGCTCCTCCTGAGAGCAACATGTTCCCCTTGTTCTGTTTTACATCTGTTTTACTAAAGTTGTTGTTATAGAAATGCACACAGAGATCAGCTTTACGATGCAGACAGCAGTTGTTGATTGCAAATGTTTGTGCTACACTACCATCACTCAATTTATTCTCAAGTTTTGTTCCCTTCTGGCCTATTTGAATTATGTTGTATTTATACAGTGGTCGATCGAAGTTATCACAAACAAAGAGTGTTTAGTTTTACAGTCTCAATCTATTTAATGATAAACGTAAGTTAAAAGTGCGTTGTGTAGTTTTTGAGGCTTCTAGCTGTAAGATTTTGGATTGCAACCAACAGTCCACCCTTACATATTTATGCCTGAAAATAAATTACAACTGTGTCAGGTAGTTATCAACTGGTCTGCGTTTGCTGGCAAACTAACATTATCTAGTTTGAACCAACTAAAACACAAATCACACTGTGTTTCACATGATTTGCAGTAATGTTGCACACATAAAAGCCGTGGCCGATATAAGGCAATAGATTTTCGCAGGAAATCCAACCAGTCCTTCACATAGAAAACAGTAGGCTTAAACAGGCTGTTATATACAACTGAGAAAGTTGGTGAATGGCTCAATGTTTAGGTGAGGTTACAACCTGGTCACACATAGGCAATAAAATGTTATAAATATGTTTAAATTCCTTTTAAAAACTCCACAATTCCCCTTTTAAAGGTGTGAGGCTGACTTTACCGGTTACAGCTCAGTAGTGGCGCAGCAGTTTTAAAATATGTTGAAAAGGTCTTGAAAAAGGTTTTAAAAGGTATTGAATTTTACTTCAGGATTCCTGTATATACCCTGATAACATCACTCTGTTGTTGTACTGTACCATTACCTGAATACCAGCTTCGATTTGAAAATTCATGATACTTTCTTCCCCTCCCTTCTTTTTTTTTTTTTTTTTTAGAACCTCTCCACAAAGAAGTCCAGAGCCTGGCGTTTATTGATGTGGTGTCCAAGCTGAGGGCTCACGAAAACAAAACGGTATCACACCAGGCGTCGCTCACGGAGCAGCGATTAACTGCCCAGAGCTAAATGACTGTGTTCAACCCCAACCACATCCATCCACCCTGCCTGAACACCTAATCACCCAATGACTCCTCATGACTGCTCTCCCCTGTGCCCCATCGTCACGTGCCAAGGTACCATGTCTCGTTAACTGCCAGCCAGACATACAGTCGTGTCTCTGCCCCTGACCCTCCGCCCTGCCCTCCGCCCTGCCCTCCTCCACTAGGGTTAGACTGATGCCGATTTGGATTACTTAAATATACAAATCCTAAAAGAGTTTGCCCAGAATTTGATACTTGACAGTGGGGGAAAGCCTCTGAAACCGTTTTTAGTCTACTGTGGACACCAGAACTCTCCTCTGAAAGCCATAATAATGAGATTTATTTAGGTGGGTTAGCAGGTCCTTAGGCAGGGTGAGACAGGTTGCATTTCAGGCTTTACAGACTAACACCCCTTAAATGTTCTCGAGGTAGTCACTGTTGACTTACTCGTCTATCTATTATTTTTATTTGAAATAAACTGATACATCAGTCTAACCCTGGTCCCCACATCTACTTGTGCATGCATCTTCTGCTACAAGTAGCTCCACAGGAGCTGAGGCACCATAAACAGCCTAACGCAATAGATAAGAGACAACACTCTTCTACGACCATAGCTGTGATGCCATCCGCCGGTAATCCACCAGAGAAAAATGTGCACAAAAGAACAAAAAAAAACCCCTCTCCCTATTGTGGTTTTTCTTTCATTTTGAAGAAAAGCAGCCATCCATGATGTGCCCAGTCGTGTCCCATGTAGCTAAAGTATAAATTGACTAGAAACTGTGCATGTTTTAGTCCTGAAGGTGTGACGGTGTTCATTTCACCTCTCCACCGCTCCTCTCATACTCCAAAGTACAGCCTGCCCTTCCTCCACTGACACCTCTAGTCTTGTACACTCCTTTTTTTGCAACGGTTCTTTAAGACTTGGATCTAGAGATTTTATGAGATTTTTAATTCTACAGTTGTCCAAACACATTCCCCCTGCTCCAACAGCTGTACAGTGACGTTAGAGGCCCCACAAGTCTCCACCCCATCGCTGAAAGAGAATCATGTAAGAAGCAGGTGAGGCAAACACAGAGAACAGGGCTGTAGTCAAGTCTCCCTTTGTTAGTCGAGTCAAGTTCAGCTCCAAGACTGAACACAGCAAGTCAGGACCACAATACGGAACTGATAGTGTGTCTGTCCCTGTGCAAATATACTGCAATGCTTAATGCTGATTGTTGGAAATACAAACTAATCATATGGTAGGCTATCTCCTTGGTGACCTATAGGGTGGGAAAAACAATGTCAGGGGGGTGCAAAGTAAAACAAAAGTGTGATTTAGTATGAACAAGAAAGGTCTCCTCCATTCAAGTCAATACAAAACATGTAAAATCAAAGATGGCGGAGATGTCTTTTTCGCAAAATCATTGATTTCAAATGAAATGAAGGAGACTTTTCTTGGTCAGACAAAATCATGTTTGCGATCACGTTTTGTGACTTTGCACCCTCCTTATAGTTGCTAAGAAGATTGCCTATTTAACATCAATTTAGTCAATGCAGAATATACATATAAATATCTTGTTTGTAGCACTGCGCTACAAGATAAAAAATGTATCCAAAATATTTTTGGATGGAGGAAACGGTGGAGTAAGCTATGAAGAGCAGCCACGAAGAAGACACGCGTTAAAGTCAAAATAGGCAGAGACTAAGAAGTCAGTACTGAAGTACTACAGCTTAGGTTCAACATTCACTCCGTGATCTGTTCTAACCATAGACTGTATATAAAGCATAAACCCCCCCCTCCATGTTAGCAGCCAAACTTAAAAAACAATCAGTTTGTACAGTGGTGGGAGGAAGCATCTTTAAATACAGTCTGCGGTTGTAACACACACTAGTGCCCCCAAAAATCACAAAACTAATTTTACAGTACGAAATAAAGCTGACACCTCTCCTACGCGTGTGTACAGTTTCTGTGTGTGTGTTGTGAATGCGCTGCTTGGGATCTGCAGCGTGGAGCAGCGTGGATCTTGTTGAGGACGGTAACTGACTGCAGACACTGAACTGTCGCTGTATATGTGCTGTTTAAATCCCCAACCGGCACCACCCCCTCCAGAGGACAGGTCTCTCTTTATGTACATGGACAGTTGGTTCTTCTACTCTAAGAAATATCTGCTAACGTGCACATCTCAGCATGTCCGACACTGTACCGACACTCTGTTAACATGCCACGGTGTGTTTGCTGGTCTGGGCCCACGCTTTTTTTTAAAAGGTATGAATGGTTATTTATCAGATTTGTGCTCTTCTAAAGACACATGCCAGTGAAGATGTATCCATAGTAACTGCGTAAAATACTATAAACTTAAATGTTTGTTGTAAATGTCATGAGTTGTACATTTGGAGGATTGTAACTCAGCAGATAATTAAAAGATGATAGCTGGTGACGGCTCATGTCTTTATTTCTACTTTGTGTCAGTGAAGTGTGGTAGAATTCAAACCAAACACAGAATGGCTAGCATATAACAAAATAAAAAAATACCTAGGCTGTCGCTTTTTCAAAATATCGATCAATTCAAGCTTGATCCTAAACTACTTTGTAGAATTGAGCAACACATTCTCAAACCCAACTCGTCATATATGGACACTTGCTCAAGACCCCATGGCATCACTTTTTAACACCCTGGTTACCCTTTAGTGTCATTTTTGCACATGTAATCAAGTAAACAATTATAAATATGCAATGGCTGGTTAGACTTTCAAAATAACCCATAACCCTCCTTTATGAAGCAAATTCATGAAGTCCAAGAATACGTAACAGGTCTAGACCGTACTCTTTGAAGTGCGTCTCTGCTTACTTTACGTTGTACAACGGCGTATTAGTGCCATTGTATGATTTTTTTTAAAATTACAGAACGTTTGGAGAAAAACCTGTGAAAAGTCGTACATTTATAAGACAAAACTCAGCTATTCTTCGATTAAAGTGGTGAATTTATAAGAAGAAACTCGCAAATTTACAAGACAAAAACTCATGTAATAACTTACCAAAGGCTCATCTAAGCTACTTTCACCAACCAGTATTATGAGATACTTTTATTCTGTTCAAAGACCAAAAGCATAAAAAACTGGGGAACAGCACAGACTCTGATCTGAAAAGAACTTAGAAAACATTATTTTCCCCTGTAAATTTTAGACTTAATAATCTCAGAGAATATTCAAGTTTTTTTCTGGTATATTTACCACTTCAATCTGAGGAATTCGGAGTTGTTGTTTTTTGACATTACTGTCCACTCTGGCTCCGTAATTGTTTTTTATTTTTTTTGTTTTATTGTATTTTAAGCTATAAAGGTCTTAATACGCTGCTGTTGACTTTGCAATTACATCATCAACTTAATTTCTTTTTTGGTCAAAACACAATTTGTTTTCTGTGGTGTTGAATTCAAAATGCTTCAGTGTCATCTATTTACTATGTTTCTTCCATTACGCGTTAGTGAAGCGATAGCAGCACGGTATGCAAAAGATGTAGGAGTTGTAAGTGTAAGTGTTTGGATTTTGAATTTAGATGACCAGATCCAGATTGAATATATTTTCCCCCACATTCAAATGGTAGTTTGCATTTCAACTGGTTTAATCATCATGTGTTCATGTCTATGTCCTCTTTATAAAACATGTCCTGTTGTACACACAAGGCTTTTCAGGGATCCAATTGTCTGGAATAAACAGAATTCAGACTCATTTGTATCAGCAGCGACAGACGCCAAAGATGTCCACAGACACTGACAGATGATGTGTGGGAAGTGCAATGCATAAACAAATCAGTGTCAAAATATGGACCAAAAAAACACTTTAAAGACTCAAGAATGCAAGAGAGAAAAGAATCAACATTTTGTCACCTTTATTAATTAATTTGACTTAATATTAAAACCAGTCCAATTTTAACAGGACATGAGACAGGTAAATTAGAGGAGGTAGTACCATTACAATGTTTGTGGGATTTACTGTGATCATCTAAACAATCGTTGAAAGCAGTACAGGTAGTGATGAGTGAGAGGCCTGTACAGCAACACCTCAGAGCATTTTACAACCTCCTAAACCTGCTGCATAAACTCTATCTGTAGTGACAAATCTGCTTCAGTAGGACTGAATGTTTTGCGAGTTCTAAAACCAAATCAAATGTACAGTAAATATTGTTAATCCCTTTTTACGTAGCACACAAGTCACACTTTCAGAATGCATCCCACAATATCAAGCTGGACAGGCCGAGGAGACATACTTAAAAATACTGCAAATACTTTGCTACAAATAAAACAAGTGATGCATGCTTGGAGCAATGAATCACTTTAAAACAGCAAAAGAAACACCGATTAAAATCAACATCTGAACACTTAGCTTTTTCAAATTCCAGATTTAATCTCTTAAATCTCAAATATTTTCTTCATTCAATACTGTGCATACTGATCAGATCAGCGTCAAAAATGTGGAAAAAGTGAAAATATGAGGTGTTAGTATGAGAAAACCATGTACGGTGTCCAAAAATGCCCATCTCCCGAAATGGTCTGTTAAAATTTTCAGATCCACACCAAAGACAAATGACTCGTTGCTCTAACCACCACACTTTGTGAAACCCGAGGAGTAACATAACCTCGTGGTGACGGTTATAAGCAACATGTGAAATGAAATGACAGTTGGGGGTATTAGCTACATACATTTTGTGGTCATACGTCATGCATATGAGGACACGAACACGCTTTTCCCCACATTTATCCAGACCTTTTCAAGTCTCCAAAATGAAAAAAAAGGTGCAATTTACTCTCAGAACTGTCTAAGAATGACAATGACTTCTTCCTATGGGATGTAGTGTAATAAGCCAAAGTTTCCAATACCTGTGCTAGCGCTGATATTATACTTGGGTACAATTGTCAAAACCTTTCTTTTTCAGTGTCTTACTTTGAGAAATATAAACTCTTTAAAAAAAAAAATCTAATAGAAAGGAGTTCAGCTTTAAATCCCCTCTTCATATTCATCATTCTTCCTGACCAAAGTGGTTGAGAAGAAATCACTTTGTAGCATGACTCCAATGTAAGAAATGTATGAAAAACTACTGTCCTCGTTTTGTGCAAGAATGCAGTCAAAGTATAGCTGAAGCTAACATGAAGCTTTAGCAGTATGTTAGCCAAACAGCATATGTATCTTCCAAAGTTGGGATGTTTTTAGTTACTGGGACAAAACACCAGCAGTAAATAAGGTAGATTTAATCATCACATTACAACAAGTTTGTAAAATGAAATGCAGTTAGTAGTTCCCTTCTGCTACAAAGCAGGGTGGTAAACAGAAATAAACTATTTTGCATGGAGCAGTGCTGAGGATGAATTTGAATTTAGTCCCACAGCTTGGGGCAAAAAAAAAAAGCTGCTCTGCAGTCTGCTGTTACAACAGCAGATACTTCTGTATTTCTTGCCAGAAGGCAGCAGGGGGAACAGGCTGTGTCTTTTAATATCCTCTGGGCTCTGCAGGCACCTCACCTCACCGATATCACTGATGCTCAGGAGATGGGTACCAGTGATCTTCTGAGCAGTTTTAGTCACCCGCTGCAGAGCCCTCCGGTCCTGGGCCGTGCACATCCCATGTTAGTGATGTTTCCAGTCAGGATGCTTTCTATTGCTCCTCTGTAAAAGCTCAAGAACTTGGCGTGGGCATTATGTTAAACCTAAATATGACTGCCCAGACAAAGTAGTCACTAGTTGATTTGGCTAACTTCAACTGTTAAAGCCTCACATTTGCTTCAGCTTTGAGCTCTGGAAAGCATTTTCACATGGATATCATGTAGTCACACTACAACGTGATAGTTTCACAGCCAGTATTGAGAGGAGGAATGATTAAAGCAACTAAACTGCTTCCGCACAGACGGCATCATAATATTAATTTTATTGTACTGAAATAGACTTGACGAAATTTGAACCTATCCATAGAGCTAAACACAAGTAGCCGTTCTCCCAAGTAACATAACCAAACATGAACTGAAAAATAACTCAGTTGATATCCGATTTAAGTATCTGGACACACATGCATTGCCATAGTTCACTGGGCTCTGTGCAACACACACATAGCAGTCAATACCAAAAATGTATTGACGTTTGATACCCAGACCTAAATATGATGCCATTACACATTCAACCATGGTTCTGAGAATTTGTAGCACACAATGGAGCTACCTAGTGTTAGTGGGAAACACAATACTCCATCACTAAATTAACTATGATACCTTAGTCCATTAGTTAAGTAGAAACACATTATGCTAAACAGTGGAAGTCATTTGTGGTCATCGCCTCTTTAATGCTGGATGAGTTCGAATCGGATTTCCTCAGTTGGTTACTTTCACAATTTAGCTGTCCCTTGCAAGTTCTCCAACATTGCCTACCCCAGCTTTAAATGGGTATTTATATAGCTGAAGAAGTCATGGTGGAAAACACAAAAATCCTAAAAGGGTTATTTTGAGAAAAAAAAGGATATCCTGCTTTTACTTCAAAACCAGCGCCCATTTCCTGACTTTCAGGGACTTTCGTGACATGGCCCACCACAGCCTCAGTCCTGGGCAAGTGGTGGAAAGATACATAAAGCAAGCACTGAACTTTATAACAGATCTGCAGTTTCTTGTACACAAGTATTTCACAGTCCTACATGATGGTTGTAGCAATGGAGCGTTATTTCCACAGTGAAAAATACCAATCTAATATCAAAAAGATGTATCAAAACTCCTACTCTACACGTAGCTATTAAAAACTGGAGCAATGTGACAATCTGCATGTAGTGCATGTTTAACCATCCTCGCCGACGTTTTACAGTAGTCACACAGTGTTATATACAGAGGATTTCACATATTAGTGCCTTGAAAAAAGGTGCTGGGTCCGAGAACAAAATGGTGCAGGTGATCGGTGAAGTCCTCTGTTCAAGGAGGCGTGTTCAAAGACCTGGAGCTGACAAAATAAAATGAACAAAATCTAATGAACATTATTTTCCATTTTCATGTGATCCTGTTAAACACTGAATTTCACCTATAGAAAATTAAAATGTTACCTGTTAGAAGTGAAATGCTGCTTCAGCATTAGGTAAAGAAACTGGAAGAGAGAAAACAGAACACTAAATCATCTGCTTATTAACAAGGCTAAACACCCCTGTGTGCTTCAACTGTTTAACACGAAAAGTTCAGAACACGACAGAAAGCAGAACATTGTTAAGGAGTTGTTAAGGGTTAGATTGGGAATGCTGGGAAAACAGTTTCTTGCAAAGGATCAGCGGTCTCAACTAAAGGCTGGAGAGAGAAGAATGTCTTCAGTTGGACAAAGTCACAGCGAACAGACAGCGGAAGAAACAAAGGAGTGTTGTCTATGTCACAGGACTCAATCTCTACAGCTCGTAGGAAGATGGAGGAATCGACACACAATCACACTGAAAACTATGTTTTGATTTGTCACTGACTTCTATGATTTCAAGACTCAAGTTAGGGCTGGGCCATATGGCCAAAAATGTTATCATGATAAAAAATTTCAATATCTAATTATCATGATAAATGTCAAATGATTATTTCTATCAAGTTAAAAGGCTGATTTTTGCTGTTTGAAGAAATCAGATGGTTAGTTGTGGTTTTAAACTGTTCTTTATGGTCAGAACATGACAAACACTTGGCAAATAGTGGATCACTTAAAAAAAATCTGCGGAAGAACATTCAAAACAGTTAAAATATATATTTTTTTAATTATATGCTTGAGTAAAATTAAGTAAAATCTTTTCTGTCCCTTTTTCTCAACAAAATAAATATCTTAATGGAAAAAACAAGTGCTATTTTGTTCATGATTCAAATGAATTCAACATTTATTGACGATATACTGAACTTTTGTTATATTGTTATTGAGTATATTGCAATAATTATCATTATTTATTGCCCAGCCCTAACTCAAGTGCATTTTTACTAGCATTTCAATAAGTTCACTCCAACACAGTCCAAATTTCCCAAAGGTCCAAATTCAGATTTTGACTTAAAGATATGGAAATTCAACAAATTAAACACAATCGCAAATTCACTTGAACAACAACCACAAGGTCTTGATAGTTCTTTCTGTAAAACCAACCCTCATTAATCTGAGAACAGTTGGAAATCTATTGAAATGAGAATGCAATATTTTCCTGCTGTGTCTGATCTTAAGCTTTTAAAAGGATAATGGCCTATTCACATTACAGCGGGAAAACAGGGTCTTGCGCTGGGCGTACAGTCTCTACTGATCTGCAACTCCCAGTGATGCTGTACTACGTGGTGCCACCTCAGCCACAGTGCTAATGTTGGATAACAGCATTTCACAGACTCAAACCAATGCTAGCTGCATGTGGATATTTTCACTTTCAGCTCACCGCGGACATACACGCAGGGCTATCATAACAACCCAATACAGTAATGGAGGAGACAGCGCAAGAGCTATTGTTCCACGCTAATGTGAATATGGGCCTTAATCCTACAGAATTATATTAGTGTGATTGAACTATAATGGCTATAGTTCAATCACACTAATTCTAAAAATTAAATCCTTTATAAATGAGCATACAAAAAGGAGTACAGAAAAACAACCTGTCGAGATGCTAGTTTTCAGGCACACACAGCTTAATTTACACTTCTTAACCTATAATATGCTCTCATTTCTGCTACTTCGTCAGATGTTCCAGATGTCAGAATGCAGGATATTTTGGCTGTGGTGGAAAGGTACCTTTTAACATGGAGTTTCATGTCAGAAAACATTTTCTGCGATTATGGTGTCAGCAGCAGTATACGCTGTCAGTGCTACACGGCACTGCTTCAAATGTTAAAAATACATTTTAAACATTACATGAACTTAAAGTGAAACACACACGGCAGCATCAGGATACAAAATCCTGTCCTATTTCCTAGCATCGTCAAACGTCAGCCGTCCAGAAAAGTATTATTTTTATCACATTTGCTCTCTGAATCAACAACCTGACTTGCTCTGTCTGTATAGCGCCTCTGGTGTGCGCATAACTTGATGCAGCCAGTGTGTGTTGTACATTAGTTCATTGCAATATAACAGCAATATATGAATTTGTATATCATTTTGATATAAACAAATAGTTGCTAAGCTATGGCTAGCTAACACTACTAAATACTGAAAATATATAAACGGGAAATGCTGCATGGAGAGCAAAGAGAGCAAGGTTTCATTTGTGTTTTTTTTTTACCTCTAGTGTGGAGTCTGGGGCGTGTCACTGGAGTAATTATAGACTGTTTTTAGTGTTTAGTTATAACAGTTCTAACAGTAGCAATATATAAAGCCATTATATGTTGGCGGGGGTCGTGTGTAGAATCAGAGTTCCTGTTACATTTACTATAGGATGCAACTCACTTAATGCTTACACATCTTTGAATTTAAAATTAAAAAAGTTATATTTAAAAGTAATTTTTTTCATTTTGACATTTGACAACTATTTGACAACTAAATCATTTAAAGACAAAAAAAAGAAATGCAATTATTAATTTGCAAATCATTGCCATCATGACATGTTCCCTGTTGAAACAGGTCCGTAAGGGGTCAATCTAATTGGTGTAAACCAATAGGCTATTAGTTACAGAGAGAAAGGTGGTTAGAACTGATAGCATGAGTAGAAAGTGCGGTTGTTACATTTCTTGGTTACATTGTACACACACAATGTTGTTGAGGCAAAGTCGGGATTTGAAGTGCCCATCTCATTGGATCTTTAATTTATTCACTGATTAAATTAAACAAAATTACTCCAGTGGCACGTTTTAACCTTCTTAGCACAGTGTAAGGGTAGAATGAATATGCAACAGCTCCAAGTTTACAGATTTGGACCTTAAATGGAACACAACACCAAACAGAGATCACCCACCAAAAGACAAAACAATGACCAAATGGATCCATCACACCCACCGGCTACAAACACACATACAGCGTGTGTGTGTGTGTGTGTCTCATGAGTAGTAAGCCGATGCTTTCTTGCTGGAGTGTGGTGGGAGTCGACGCATGGAGAGAGGGGGGGGCACCCTGATGAAGCATGGAGGAGGAAGAATGAGGTGGGAGGTGAGTTTTGGCACTGTGATGGTAAAGCTCAGTAACCGTCCTGCCTTTACTCCCCTCAGCCTGCTAGGGGATGACTGCTGACAGAACTCAAACATCTTATTGTAACAAAGAAAAACAGGCTGGATAAGAAGCTGCTAACACTATGCTCTCTTTCTAGCTGTAGTTATTTATCTTTGTCTAGCATTTGTTATTTTCAAGGATGACCTGTGTCAAGAGTCCCTAGTCAAAATTGCATATTTGTCATTTATTCATTTTATTCTAATTTTCAGTGTTTAATGCTATTTACATTCTTACATTCCTTGCTCCTTGTTGAGACCCTGAAGTCTCAAAAGACTATATCTTTTTAATCAATTTAGACCAGGATGTACTGCAAACTGGATAATAGTAGTGCCACAAGATACAGATGTTATGCTAATAAGATAATAACTTGGGCACACGGGTTTATTATCTCACTACTTTGGGGGCTTTGTACTTTCCAGACCTAACTTCAAACCTTGAATCAAGCATTCGTTTTAGAGCCAAAACATACTTCAGACCATTCTTTTTTGATAATTATTAAAACTATTGTAAATGTCTTTTTCTTTCTTTAAAATATTCTAATGACCTTCTACCTGCATCTAAGGGTTAAGAAATGATTTCCTCTCAGGGGAGGTGAGAAATGCCGGCTTCAGACTACACAATATCAGCCATATAATAGCCCAACCCGACAGAAGTAGGCTGAAGGAAAGGATAAAAGGCTTTGGGCATGACAATTGATGGTTTTATCCTGTGTTTTATTGTCAACGTCCCGACAGATGTCTATATATGATGTCTTTCTTTATTTAAAGATGCCGTAGAATACTAATGTTCAGCTTCATACTTGTATTTAAGGATTTAGACAATGTTTACATGCTTTAATGTTTAAAAAAACACACTGTCCATTGCTTCAGCACCTCTGTCTCAGTTTTTGCTCCTGTATCTTTAAGTCCCCCCTCCCTGAAAGCCCACTTGCTTCTGATTGGCCAACTTCCCCAAGCACAGAAAAGGGGCAGGGCCTAGCCACACCATGCTGAATCCGACTGAATCAAGGCCTGCTATGCGAGACCGACCTCACTGGTTACTGTAAAAAATACTGTAAAAACACATCTTAATAACTTTACTCTCTGGTTTTACTGAAACTGGATCAGATTTGATGGCGAAAATATTGTGTGGTTTTCCTTCTGATGTCCTCCGGCTGCTCTGTTAACTACTGCTATCAGCAGCTGCTGCTAGCTACTCAGTTAGCTGTGCAGCTAGCCGTCCTATTGCTGATATCCTGGACTGGAAGCTAGGTGCTCCGGGGGTGTGTTGGTGTTTACACAGAAGCTTTGGACTGCTGGTTCAGCGCTAGCTGATCATAGAAGCTACCATTGTGGTAACTTCATAAATCACAGAGCTGAAGCAGAGCAGCCAGAGGACATCAGAGGGAAAACACTACTTCCCTTTATAACAGTAAAGGCACTTTCTGTGAGACACTGAACAACCTCCAGCTCTGGCTCTATTGGTGCGTTCTATTTGACAGGGGAAGTCTGAATTTCTGAGTTCCAAGTCGAAATTTCAACTGCAATGCCCCCTTAAGTAAGATTTCTGACTCGGAAAATCGAGAGAACCTCACAAACCCCGACCTTAAAATCCAAGATGGCTGCTCCTGGAATCAACAGTGGTGAAAGCTGCAGTAATACACTGTTTATTGCACGTGTCTAACTTAAATCATTACTGTGTAATGCGTTGTTTTCAGCTGATATTGCTAACAAAGGCCAGAGGCATCCATCTTGGTTTTCTGAATCTCAATCTGTTGTTTTACTGGAACGCCGTTCCCAGCTCCGACTTCCGAAGTAAATGGAACGCACAATATGAGCTTCTCTAGAATGTGGGCTGGTTTCTGTAAATTTTGCGGGCGTAATTACTAAAGATCTCAGATGTTACATAACATCTCGCCCTTGCTGGTATTCACCCACATTCGAATCTTGTGCATGCACGAGATTTACATATGTAGGAGGAAACAATGGTGACTGAGGCTCATGGTATGTCAGCTCCATGGACAGAACCCTTTTATTCAACTATGCCAAGGTTAATACAGGTTTCCATTCTACAGCACCTTTAAGGCTTTTTCCAACACAAACCCCTATACAGACCGCTCATACACACCGCTCCGGATGCCATGGTTTGTTTATGTTCTTGTTTCTGGAAGATAGCCCCTAGCACCTCCTTCCCGAGGACATCACGCAGGTCGCAAAGATGGCTAGCTTTGATTGGTTGGGGTACCAACATGTAGTCTGTCATGTCGCTCGGCAAGAATATAATACTACTATAATCATCTAATCTGAAAAATATGGTGTAGTCTGAACCCGGCATAACAAGCAATGCCAAAGTACTTTACATTATTCACAGCAAAATTAGTCTATCTTTAAAATACCATGCCGTCCTGTAATCCAGACATACTTTTTGTTGGATTGGATTTATTTTTTTTATCTCCATAATGTATCCACAACACGGGCCTGTGAGACACTTGCATGTATACTATGAGAAAGAGCCGAAGTGTCTCATGTTGTGAAATAGACACAGTAAAAACAGATGGGTGCCAATCAAGGGAAGTGTGTTTCAAAGGGAGGAAAACAGCGTTGTCTGAATGTGGACACATGAGACACTGAACTCATGTAGTAAAAGTAAATCATTTTCTCACCAGCTCGCCTGCACAGCTTCGATGTCGCTCACTAAGTTTTGGGCCAAACAAATCCCAAAAATCTGTGGATGAAAGACGAAAAAAACCACAAAATGGCAACATTAGACATTTTTTCAAAAAAGGATAGATGGAATGATTCTTTGTTTCAGGCTGCTCTGGAACATTATGAAGCTTAAACGTGTGAATGGAACTGGCCTGCAGTAGTGCAACTCCGATAAAGATCCCAGCCACCAAGGTAAGGTTGTCCTGTAGCCACTTCTCAAACTGCGGCACGCAGCCTTTCACATTGATGTAGTCCTTCTGCTCAGAGTCCTGTGATGAACATAACCCTCTGTGGTCATCTTTACATCCTGACTGAATGTACTCACAGCTCAGATTAAAAATACAGTCTTACCTCGAGTTAAATGAAAACATTTGCGTTTCATTTCTGTGTCCAGTACAGAGATGGATCCCTGTTTAGCCTAGTTTAGCACACAGACTAGAGCCTACCTTGGTTAAAGTGTTAGGAACTGCCTTCAAATAACTTCAAAGCAGAAAATACTCTCTGTTCTGGACACAGAGGTGAAATTTTTGAAGTTTTTGATTTCATCTCACAGTGTCAGACTGTCAACATGTTCACTCTTTGGAAACTTAGTCTAGAATGTGAATGGCATCAGGCCAGCTTCAAGTCTTCCTACAGACAACCAATGTAGTATTAATCAATTCTAATCTAACAATAAGTATATGATAAAATGCATAATGTGTGTCACACAGACATTTTCCATCCTTTAACTTCTGGGTGACAAATTGGTAATTGTCTTAAACTGTTGGCCTCCAGTGGTAACATTAGACTTTAGCAAAACTGTAATACATACATGAAATTTAGCTGCTGTAATCCAACTTTTACCTGCCTTAAATAAACCGTTAGTAAAATCACAGTAAGACTAAACTAAAGACTAAACTAAAAGAATTTAGTAGAGGAGAAATATTACATGATTTAAAGGAAACGATGGATCCACCCAAGTCAAAAATAGAAACTAGGAGGGCAGTCGTCGGAGCATCAAAATGGAAGCAACTGAAGAGGGAGAGCGACTGAGTCAAGTAGACGTGTCTTACTTACAGGTTTCGCTCGAATGTCGTATCCACACTGAGTATTTATTACATCCTCCTGGAGACAAAAAGGAACAAACTTTATAGTATCGTGTGTCTTTGCGTACAGCTGCTGGTGGCGCTAAAGGAAAAGTATTGAAGTATGGGACACACTGACCAACTGGTATTACCATTCAGGGTCCTGCTCATGGGACAATAATAAACAACAATAAAAAGCTGACTGATGACAAAGTTTGAAGTGCTGGGCTACCAACACAAACATTACAGGGTACCTTTAGAGGTTTGGCAATTTTATTGAACTCTAAGAGAGTTGGTCAGTTTCCATACTGGGTTTAATTGTGTTTTGTTTAAATACCTCTCAGGATACAAGCTTTAAATTCACACACAGATATCTGACACATTTAAAAAGATGTGAACGGGATCAAAAGTCAGAATCAGCCAGGCATTGTGTGCGACCTAAGGTTTTTACAGTGTGTCTGATTTTGCCCTGATGCACACATGCATGTGGAACTCCTTAAAAGTGTACAAGCATGCAGAGTGAGGGACTTGTACCGCTGGGTCCTTGGTGCAGCAGGAGAAGGGAACTCCACACTTTTCCCGACTGGGATTCCCATCGGTACAGTTAAAATAGATGTTCAGGTTCCAGTCGTCTGCTCCGAACGCACCGCAGCACTCCCACTAAAGTCAGGCGGAGAGGGAAAAAAAATGTTTGGGCTGCTGTGGTTGGAATTCCAGATTAACTATTTGAGAACAAAATTATAAAAGTTTCAGACATTAACAGAGTTAAATGCACCACAAGTGGACCTGATTGGCTCCCTTCATTAAGGAATTACTACTACGTCGTCCTAAGTCCAATCAGACCAGCTTGTGCTATTGAAGTGCAAAGCCTCCACACAGCAGGATTAGCTCATTTAAATGAGAGGAGCTGCTGTTGTTTGCCTAACAGAGTCGATCTCTCATCTCTGCCTGGGAGAACCAGTCATGACGCCCTGACTGCTAGAAAAACCATGGGCCTAGCTAAAAACTATATACTATATTCAAAATCACATTGACAAAAGCACAGCAAAATACACTTCATTAGACAAAGAGTCCCGTATATATTATGTTTGGATTCTAATTATTGATGCATTAATTAAGCATCTTTTTAAGGCTGCAGCTGGTAAAGTTGGAGCTAATTTCAACTACTTTACATACTGCTGAGGAGCATATTGTATTAATGACCTGAATCTGCAGTGTAACTACAGCTGTCTCATAAATGGTAGAGTCAAAAGTACAACATTCGCTCTGAAAATGAACTTAACTAAACTAAACACTGTTTATTAGGGAGTACAAGTAATTACTGGGATCTGGGAACATCTGGCGGCATTGTTACAACAACGGGATAGGAAATGCGATCATTCAGGTATTTATGTTTTAATTACCATTTTCATCATAACAAGATTATTGTGCTGTTTCCTCTTGTGTTATAAATGACCTGTCTTAGGCTGGTACATGCAGAGAATGAATCCAATGAGGATTAATAAATTATAACTTTCTTCTCACATTTGAAATATCACATAAAACTGACATTTTAATACACATCATTAAATACGTCCTTATATTTTTGTTATTATTACTATTATAAAGTCAATGAGTAATTATGTTAAATAATATTTACCAAGATCATTGTGATTATGATTTTTGCCATATTTGATCAACTTACATATTCCTGAGTGAAATCGATAAGGTTCTGTAGATCGATGTCGTCCCGGTACGCTCGGATGTTATTGTTGATGAACAGGTTGAGCTGGTCTTTAATCCAGTCCTTAAAGACAAACGCCAGAACTCCCGTTGTCAACTCCAAGAAAAAGATAATCCCCAGAAACACCGAGAACTGCAGCAGGAAGAGAGAAGACCACACTGTGAGTTTTCTCATCATTCGTCACTGCAGCGTGAAGACTGGACGTTTCAGCATGGAACATACAAACTTGAGCAGAAACATGTTTTCCCGGAGAGCTCCGATGCATCCTGCAAAGCCCAGAATGAACATGACCCCCCCGACCACCATGAAGAGCCAGACTGGGTCCAGGCCCCCCAGGTCTGTGATGGACGAGATGTTGGACAGAACCCCCTGGAGGGGAGAGACGGAGCACAACAACACAGTGAGTCTCCCAAGCAGCTGCGTCTCTTTCAGGGCACAACACATTTGCCAAAAAGGTCACAGTGACTTCAAATAGATGAGATGTGAATCAACTCAGAGGGGAAATAAGGCAGCTGCAACACGAAGAGTATAAAAACCCCACATTGTCTTTGATGTGGTGCACTTCAGTGAGATGTTTGTCTCTTATTTCTAACATCCTGGGTTTCACGGCGTATTCCACTAACAACCATTTGGTAAATTCAGCAAATTCAGTTTGAACCTAGTTTTAAACTTAATAGGGTTGTGTTAAACCTTTGTTTAATCACCTTTACGTGGAGAAAATTCTGCAAACCCTTTATAATTGGAATTTAAGCCTGCATTAAATAGATGCAGGGGCGGGGAATAAAAATGTCGCCGCCAAGTCGGACACATTCTGCCTGCGTGAGCTGAGATCAATAACTGGTCTCACGAACTTTGCAAAGAAAAATGCTGCGAGACCAGGCAATAGCGCGGTTCCAACTTTGTGCAGCCGGAGAAAAGCAACTGCGGCCGCCAGACTCAGCGCCTGCAGCCGCCTTGCTCCCGCAAGGTTTTAATGTCATGTGACACGATGATGTTTTGCAGCGCCGGCTAAAGTCGGACACGATTTCTAACCAGCATGCATCACGTTAAGTCAGCACTGCATTGCCCGTGTACTTTAACCTCATTGGTTTAAGGTTTTACTGACACGCATGACGTATGTGACGTTATATTTATTATAAGAACTTCAGATCCTTTATCTGTTCTTTGATCTCCTCCTTCTGGTGGCTCACTTCTTACACTATAGTTTTCAATTCCAACAAGAAAGCATACAAAACACTTTAGTGAGTGTTATTGTAAAAGAAGTTCAGTATTTTACCCAATATGGTAGCCCCTTTTTTCCCCCAGTAGCCTAGGATTATTCTCAAGTCAATTAAAAAAGAAATAAAAAATATTTTCTGCAGGTATTCCCTGTGTGACTTTCCCCTGTCCACCTTAACCCATCGCCCCGGATGTTTCCATAAGACATTACTTAGAAGTAATTTTATGTGTGTAAAAAAACTGAACTTGTGTCTTGCCTGGAAATATTTTAGAGCAACATATTTTGGGGTCAGTTAACGGTGTGCATTAGTTTTGCAAATCGGTCTGACATATTGAGGGTAACACTCATATTTTGTACATAGAAAAGACCTTTGTATACTGTTCATTGTATTCCCCATCAAAAAAGACAAATGCAGCGAGATCAGCTGTTTCTCTAAGCTCTCAAACTCTACGGTACGTATTTATTATTTATTGATGGTTTATTTTAGTAGGAGCTTTTACAGCTTGCACAGGTAAACTGTAAACGGCCATCCAATGTATGTTTCCTAGCGTTTTTAGCAGTTACTAATTTACAACACCCGTCCCAGAAGGGCTTTTAAAGAAACAAAACATTAAAACAGTGAGGGAAAAAATTAAATGAAAAAAGTACAGAGTAAAGTAGAATGTGTCTGACTTGATGGCAGCCTTTTTACACCCCACCCCTGCAGTCGCCTGCAGCTCACGCTTGACTATCCAGTAAGCCAGACGCAGTCATCTCGAACGCACCTAGTGTTTTTAGCTGATTAGCTAACCGTTAGTGTCTGATGTTCGCGTGTTGCAGACACTAACAGAGTTGGTTTGCTGAAAACAGATGTCTGCTGAGGCCAGAAAGCTGCGCAGAGCTGGTGATTGTTCCATGTGTGGTCGTCACTACAAGCAACACCTTTCACACCACACACGTCATTCCATCCACTGTTTATATAAAACTATTGATTAGTGCAGCTTAGGGCTGGCTAATATGGCCAACCATCTTATCACGATAAACCATTTCATATGATTTGATATCGATAATTATCACGATAAATGTTCAAGTTTAAAGGCTGATTTTTGCTCCTGAGTGAAAGTTGAAGTAACCAGATGGTTAATTGCGGTTTTAAACTTTTCTTTATGGTCAAAAACACTTGATGCCAAACAGTGGAACACTTCAAAAATCTGAGGTAGAACATTTCAAACAATTAAGGAAGGAACCTTAAGTAAAATCTTTTTTCATTCCCTTTTCCTCAATAAAATCCATATCTAAATAGAAAAATCAAGTGCTAATTCTGTTTGTGATTAAATCAAAAATGTATTGATAATTGGTTATTTTGTTATGGAGGAAAACTATATCGCCATAATTATCATTATTGTTTTATTGCCTGTCTTAGTGCAGTTTTAATTTGGAATAAGCAGTGGTATAAAAAAACATATTTAATAAAATATCCTAATTGGTAAACAGGTTTAAACAATAAACAGGGTAAACACAATAATGTCAGATATTATTTGGACATATAGGAATAAAAACAACAAATAAAAAGATTCTGCCTTTTTGTGACAATACTGTATTTCTATTTTCCAACATCACTATTCATAACTCAGAGTGTCTCCACTTACCTTCTCACTCCATGCCCACAGTCCAATTCCAACCAAGGCCATGCCCAGCAGCTGCAAAACAGCAGTCATGTCAAGTTAGTGGAAAGATGCTTTGATGTTAAATGACACAGTGCCAGACTGTCACTTCCTTATTAAATGAAAATACAAATATATTTCCTCTGAGGCTGCTATGACCCTGTGATGTGGGATCAGTATTTAGCTGGCTTCCCCTCGGACCTCAGCCTTCTTTGTCTTATATGTCAACCTCAGTAAGATAAACTAAGCTGTATTGTATATTTTATAGTATGTTTATCTTTACAATAAAGTGACAGATGCAAATTTTGAACTAGGGATTCTTTTTCCACATTCCATCATTACATTACACCATAATATCACAGCACTTGGAGTTTACCACCAGGAGCTTGGCTTTCTGTTTGTTTCATCTCCAGGTAGCCTATGATTTAACACTTCTCTGTACATTTTTATTTGCTATTCACGTCACTTGTCACTGATCGATCTCTGCGTTCCATCACATCAATTAAACACTTTCCAATTCATTAATCCATTTCAACAACACACTACCACATCACCGTACCACATGAAGCTCGTCGCTTCAAACTTTCAGTTCATTTCAACTTTAGTCGTTGTGCTGGTGTTTGCCTGCTGCTGCAGTCCTCTGTCTGTGTTTAGAGGCCTGTTTAAACATCCTACTGTTGCAGTAGCCTACATTTACTGTAAACTGTGCCCATAAATAATTGCACATGCATTTGAATATGTAGTATTTTCATTATATATTGATTCAATTTGTAATATTTTCTAATTGAATAGTTAGAATTTTATTATTCTTTCTGATGACAAAATTGTACAACACAGAATTCATAACAATTTAAACAGAACACACAGAACCTGGCAAAAAATTAAACAGAATTTGGCAGAAATTTTAATGTATTTCATATGATTATAGCATAACTGTAGCAAGCTCCATTGGGAGCTAGTAACTTTAGCCAAAAAAATGGAACGGAGAATGTGACGAACCTAAACAGGCAGTACCTTGCCAAGGACACTTCGACATGCCGGGGATTGAGCTGCCGATCTTCTGGTTAGCGGGCAACCAGCTCTACCTCCTATACAACTTTTTAGCACCGGCTGCAGATTTCTGCTGCTGTGTGTTCCCATCTTGCTGCTCTGCACCATCCAGACAGGGCTGGGAGTGTATTTCCCCTCTGATCTATGTTCACCTTCACTCAGCCCTGTTCCACTTTCTTCCCACACCTGAACCAAGAGAGCAGGTGCGCTTGGAGACGCCCACACTGTCTATGCAACCAAGACCCGCCGCTTTGCATTTGTTGTTGTGCTTGTTCAATTAAAACAGGGCCCAGAACGCCTGAAACATGACGGTTCCAACTTTTCAAAAGTGAAAATTTGCTGCTTTTCTTGGTCTGCGTTGTAGTAAATCATTTCATTTTAATGATTTGGACTGTTGGTTGTTCAAAACAAGACATGCGGGGACATTAACTTGGACATTGGGATGGACATTTTTCTGAAGCTTTACAGACCATGTGATTAATTGATCGAGAAAATAAGATCAATCAATAATACAAGTCATCATTAGTTACAGCCATAACCTACTTTTTCAAAGAATCTGGAAGAGAATTTAATAAAATGTATTTGTCTAATTTATGAAGATTTGGACTTTACGACTGACCCTTAGCCCCCCCCTGTCATTTATGCAAAATGTGTTAAAATGGGCACAAATGTTTCCATCTGAGCTGATAATCCACCTGTCAATTATCGTTTATGTCAATTTTTAAGCATAAAGGCCAAAACAACTGCTGGTTCCAGCTTCTCCTCTGTGCAGATTGACTGCTGCTCTTTGTTTTCTGTGCTGGTAAACTGAATATCTCTGGCTTTAGAACCGTTGTTCAGGTAAAACACGGTTTAAATTGGCAGTGTGGGCTTTTTACTATTTTCTGATATTTTAAGTATTCTTCAAATGGATAGATAACGAAAACAACTGGGGGTTGCAGCCCCCATTTCCATGCAGATGAAATTTATTTGAACATGTAGTCCCTGCAGGCTTCCTCACAGATCATTCTTGCTGTCAGCAACTAGCGTCCACCGTATGACATCACCTTTTTAAAACATGACGTCGTGTCTAAATAACATCGTGAAGTGCAAGAGCGTGTTATGGGTGCCCTTCGCTGTGAATATGTGATATGAACGTGTCAGCTGATGATAAGCCTGCAGTCTGAGCTGTCATTAGTTCACCACAGAAAGCCGATTAGCTGCGAGTTGTCCGCACACCGAGTTGCTTCACATTACATTTCAGCACGGAAAGAGTCACAAAAACGCACACATGCACTGATTTGAGTCTGAAAATGAACGTGAATGATAAGGGCACCATGACATGATGCGAGGATGAGTGGGGCCTTCCTCCCTATTGGCCAGCGGACATGATGATGGCCGAGCTGTGCTGGCGAGAGGCGCAGCTGCGTAACGTTGGAATAAACAATAAAACCGCCTTACCCAGAACAGGATGTTGAATCCAAAAATGAAGTATTTGATGCAGCAGCTGACCTCCTGGCCTTTGTACTGATTCCCCGACATGTTTGAGCATCATCAGCGCGTTGCCCGTGAGAGGAAAAAACACGGCCTGCTTCACAGGCTTTGTGTGCGGGATGGAACAGGTTCAGCGCCCCGGGGATGCATTTCACTTTGTCCGCTTCAAATGTTCACGCGGCCGCTTCAGAAACGCACCAGGAGCATGCTGGGAGAAGCTCAGGACGCGGGCACACACGGAGCACGGAGAAAAGAAACGGAGGATACCGCAGAGGAACAGCAGCAGGACGGTCCTCTCCGTCTGGGCAAATAGCGCCTACAGGAGGCGGTACCGCTGCTGCGGGAGGTCGTCAATGATTGGCTGAAAAACTACTTGAAAGACTGAGAATGTAACCAATCATATCAGTGGCAGGATGGCGGCACTTCCTGTGTCTGTCTTTGAAGAAGGCCTACTTATGAAAACACAGATACTGATTCTTAACAACAAAATCATCAACAACAACAACAACAATAATAATAATAATAATAATAAAAATAAAAGGCTTGTTTTAGACACATTTAAAAAAAAACATTTTGACAACCCACCAACCAAACTTAAATGTCATGTTATTTACTGGTCAATTATATTATATTCATCTCCATTAATTATGGCGTGGAGTCATTTCGTTTTGTTCCCTATAAAGGTTGCATTGTGTGCATGTGTATAATGTGTATCTAATTATATAATTTAAAGGACTTCCATTATAAAACAATACATTTCCAGAAATATTAATGAGGACATGACCTTGGTGACCTCAAAGGTAGCCACATCATCATCATCGTCATCATCATCATCATCATCATCATCATCATCATCATCATCATCACTATCAAGCCAGGATTTTACAAATACTGAAGTGCAGATTCCCTGAGGAGAATTTTTTAAACAAGCCACCAAACTCTGTATTTTAAACTGACTGACTGGTTTACATTGATCTTACCGCTGGCATTAACTGCCATTGTTGTCTGGTGCCAAGTACTGTATGTACTTCTGTTGAAAAATTTATTTTTTAATTTTAATTTAAAACATTTTTTGAATCAGAATCAGAAATATTATAATAATAATAATAATATTTATTTGTAGAGCACTTTTCAAAAACAAGTTACAAAGTGCTTTAACAAGTGTAAAGACAATAATACCCAAATGACAATAATACAAAAACAATACAAGATACAAGCATGAAAACATTGAAAAGACTAAAATACACGTTTAAGATAAATATAAAATAAGTAAAATAGAATAAAATAAAAGGGAGAAAATGAAGTCAAATAAGATCGGGAAAGGCTCTCCTATAAAAGTATGTTTTAAGAAGGGACTTAAAAGAGTTCACTGACTCAGCTGACCTGATTTCCTCGGGCAGGCTGTTCCAGAGCCTCGGGGCCCTGACAGCAAACGCTCTGCCCCCTTTAGTTTTCAGTCGAGACTCTGGAACAGACAACAGACCTCTGCCCGAGGATCTCAAGGTACGTGCTGGTGTGTATGGGACTAAAAGTTCAGAAATATAACAAGGCGAGAGGCCATGAAGAGCTTTAAAAGTGATCAATAGAATTTTAAAGTCAGTTCTAAAACACACAGGGAGCCAGTGTAATGAAGCTAAAATAGGAGTAATGTGGTCATATTTCTTTGTTCTGGTTAAAAGCCTGGCAGCTGAATTCTGGACAGTCTGGAGTCGATCAATAGATTTTTAGGTTAAACAGGTGAAAAGGCTGTTGGAATAATCCAGGCGTGATGAGATGAAGGCGTGTAAAATGGTCTCGGTGTCCTCAGCATAAATATGAAAAGTTTATGGATAATATGTCCAAGGGGAAGCAGATACAAGGAAAACAAAATGGGTCCTAAGACCGACCCCTGAGGCACACCATATTTAACTGGACAGAATGAGGAGACATAGTTGTTTACAGACACGCAAAACTTCCTATTTGACAGGTAGGATGAAAACCATTCTAGGGCAGTACCAGAGATCCCCACCCAGTGCCTCAGTCTGTCTAACATGATGTTGTGATCAATGGTGTCAAAAGCAGTGTTAAGGTCCAGGAGTACAAGGACTGAGCACATACCTTCATCAGCAGACATTAAAAGGTCATTGGTGACTTTAAGCAGGACAGTCTCAGTGCTGTGGTACTTCCTGAAACCAGACTGAAACTTTTCAAATATTTTGTTATTTATTTATTTTCCAGTACAGTGAGCAGCTGTTTGGACACAATTCTTTCTAGAATCTTTGCAATAAAAGGCAGTTTTGAAATTGGTCTAAAATTATGTGGGAGGGAGGGATCTAAACCAGGTTTCTTTATAAGTGGGTTCATGCAAGCCGTTTAAAAATAATCAGGGACACAACCAGTAGAAAGGGGCTGTTAAAAACAGAGATATAATGGGGCCTAACAGAATCTATTACTTTTAGTAAAAAGGTATTACATCAAGTGGGCTGGAGGACACTCTCATTTGTGATACTGTTTTTAAAAGCTCAGACAAGTCGATGGGATAAAACTGGTTAAAACTCTCTTGTTGCTGGTGAGGAACCTCTGAGTAAGAGGCAGTGGGGGTAATAGAGGCTCTGATTGACACCACCTTATTGGTAAAATAAGATAAAAACAATTCACAGTCATCATTACTTCCAGCTGAGGCACAAGGAGGGGTTGGGTTTACCAGCTGATCCACAGTCTTAAACAGAAACCTGGGATTGTGTTTATGTGTAGTAATGAGTTCAGAAAAATAGTGATTGCCAAAAATTAATGAGGACAGTACCTCAGCATTGACACCTGTCTGTGTTGGTACAAATACATGCAGGTTAGCTGAATTGGTAACCCTACATAGTCCATGAACTTGGACTGTATTCACCTCACAGAATGACACAAATCACAACACATACCATAGCTTCCACAAACAGAATACACCAAGTGCACAAAAACTGAAGCAAAAGGCACACAGCTTCCAGTTACACTGAGGGAGGAAGTGAGAAAAGGATTCAGGGAACCTGTGCTCTGTAAATGCAAACCCCTCAGAATTAATACTGTATTTCCTTAAAATGTTTGAAAGGCGGCATTGTATCAGGGTTGGACAGCTCCAAAACATGTGATACTGAGTGGCTTCAGGATCTGCTGGGTAGTGAAGGGAGGCTAGATTACCCTTTCACCAATTCATAACAAAAGTTATCTCATTGTACTTTTCATATAGAGCAGGTCTACACCGTACTATTTGTAATATTATTTACAGAGAACCAACAATTCCCACCAGGGAAAGGAAAAAGGAAAAAATCCCTTTTAGCATGTAGGAACCTCGAGCAGAACCATGGCTCAGGGTGGGCGGCCATCTGCCTCGATTGGTTGGGGGTGAGCGAGCGAGAAAGAGCAAGAGAGTCAGAGGGATGAGGGAGAGCAGCCAACACAATATCCACACAGAAATACAAACAGTAAAAGTAGTAGTGGATCAGAAAATTAACAATGGAACTGAAAATTAAAGTAGTTATAATGATGATAATAATGGGACTTGTCATAACAAATGTAGCAGAGGGTGTCGAGCAGGAACACGGGGGCAGCAGGTGACTCGCAGCCACAGATCCAGACTCCACAGCTCCAGAGCCAGAAACACCTGCAGGAAGTGATAGGAGAGAGGAGAGGGACGAGAAAGCACAAGACTACCAGAAAGGGGAGAAGTTGTGTTAGTAACATGCAATAATGGGATGAGGTTGCATACAGAGGGAGAGAAAGTAGAGGAGAGAGGAGCTCAGTGCATCATGGGAAGTCCCCCGGCAGTCTAGGCCTATAGCAGCATAACTAAGGGATGGTTCAGGACTCACCTGAGCCAGCCCTAACTATAAGCTTTATCAAAGAGGAAAGTCTTAAGCCTACTCTTAAATGTGGAGATGGTGTCTGCCTCCTGAACCCAAACTGGAACCTGGTTCCACAGGAGAGGAGCTTGATAGCTGAACGCTCTGGCTCCTAGTCTACTTTTGGAGACTCTAGGAACCACAAGTAACCCTGCATTCTGGGAGCGCAGTGCTCTGGTGGGGTAGTAAGATAAGATAAGATGTTTTAAGTATTGACCTATTATACTGTAAACCAAACAGTAATCTGATAAAACACCAAATTAATTTAGGCACAATGTAAGAACAATATACATACACAATATAATAAAGGATTTTAAACTAGATTTCGATAAAGCCCTGTAGTTGAGGAAAGTTTTACCACTTTGTTCGCCCACATGTACATGGAGGTGAACAAAGCATCCACAAAGGTCATGTTTAGTGCAGGGCTGCTTAATTAAAATACATAACAGGGTACAACTATTCATATTGTTTGATAAATAAGTGTAGCCTATATCATGAATACACACGTTATACAGACATCTCAGAGAGACAGATATCTTAAAACTCAGACAAATTAAACCAAAATGATCTGCATGGCTGGAAGTCAATGAGAAAATGTGTTTTGTTTTTTTGTAATGTGGTTGAACTGACCATTTATACTTACATATAGCCATTGAAGAATGTCCAGTTTTATTTAATATGTGGCTCTTACAGGGAAATGAACACTCGCAATGTCTGCTTGTTTCTTTGTTTGATCATTTCAAATTGCGTTATTTTGTTCGCCAACATTTACTCTGAAAGTTTTCACAGGAAGTGTAATAATGCTTTGACAGGGGGATCTATCATCAGGCTACATTGGTCTCTAGATTTGACTTGTCTTATTAATTATACAGCTGCTGATGTTACTGGTGTTGTTTCTAATTAAGACGCTGATATCGATTGACAGATATTATCAATAACAGTAGCTGATAGCAACACTGTTGTTACATCAGTGAAATGTTGTGTTAAGGGCAGTGTGCTCCCATGATCATCAAGTGACATGACTACCCACATCTCCACCCCTATCAAGTCAGACACAACAGCACTAACACTTCCAGTGGAAACCTTCAAAATAAAAGATGGTAACAAAAGTGCAGTTCTGGTAGAGTTAATACAATATAATGTAATAGTGCATCACTGATAGTGATGCTGAACTGTGAAGGCTACATTACCTGAAGGAAATGCAATGTAATGACAAATGTCCGTTATCAGTTCCTAAACACCTAAAGTAAAAACATTAAAAAGGTTATAAAGAAGTTTTCTGTGGATTTAATTTAGTTAAGTTTTTGTCTGTGTCAAAGTTACAACGCTTTAACCTTGCCTAGCTAATTTTGAGCTGAAACATTTAGCATAATATCCACCATATCAGAGGTGGATTAACAGAGAATTATTCATTTTAATAAAAAAATAAAAAAGATGTGGTCAGTTAGATGTGGACGGGGTGTGCTTGGTAAAGCACCAGTAAGGGTTCACTCAGAGAGCCTCTGTTCAGACAGTAAAGACTCTGTGTCAGGGCTTCATGAAGGACCAGACTCCCACTCTCGTCTGTATATCTCAGCTGAAAGCCCACCATCTCCACAGGCTTCACAGCCAGAACAGCTGACACATCAAACACATCGAATCCAGATGAGGGTCGCTGATCCAGGATCAGCAGCCTATCCTCGAGAGCGGGACTTTCCTTCAGAGCGCCCTGTGCAGCTGTGACGCTGTGCAGGGTGATAGTCACACTGATGGGACGGGGGTGGAGGATTTTCCTGAACAGAACCAGCTCTGCACCCAGCATAGAGGGGTTCAGGCTGCTGACATTGAACCAGATCCACCCTGGAGGAGCGTGTTGTGGTCCTGGATGATCCAATGAAAAAAAAGAAAAGGGGAGGGTTCATTAAGACTACAAATTTTAAAAGATAATACCTGCAATAACAAAGTTTTTCTGTTCTTTCTCATTATTTTGTGTATATGTGAGCAGACATTTTAAACTTATGCTGTGTGATCACATCATATTCTGTTTGTTTTTTTAAACTATGTCAAATTGACTGTGCGCTTTACACTACAAGTCACATTCACACACTGATGGCAGAGGCTGCCATGAAAGGTGCTCATCAACAATTCAGTATTTTGCTCACACACTTCACCATGCAGCCTGGAGGAGCCAGGGATCAAACCGCCAACCTTGTGATTTGTGTGTGACCCGCTCTACCTCCTTAGACTCAACCATCCCAATTAACATTGCACGGTAGTGCAGTTTGGGTGCTTATTAATTCTGACTAAAATGCAGATGCTTTGTGCTGCAGATATGATATTCACTGTGATGGATGATACACAATTTGGGCTAAAACACGATCACCAAAATCACCAGTATGCTCCTTTAACTAACTTCAAATTCAAGCCTTTACATACCAACTAGTATCTGTTTTAGGTTGTACATTTTTATTTAACATCATCACACTGGAAACAATTACAAAGTTAAAGTAAAAGTGGGTGCACAGAGACTAAAACCCTTTAATACCATGTCACTAGGACATTTAAGCCTCTTTGAGCTCATTGTTTTTTATATTAGAATGAAGAATGTACAATACAGAAATGTGGACCTGAAAAGTTATAAAACAAAAAGGTTTATTTATGCACTCAGTACTTGGTCGGGCCTCCTTTGCATGAATTACTGCATCAGTGCAGCGTGCCATGGAGGCAATCAGCCTGTAGCACTGCTGATGTGTGATGAAGCCCAGGCTGCTTTGATAGCGGCCTTCAGCTCGTCTGTGTTGTTAGTCTGGTGTCTCTCATTTTCCACTTGACATCACCCAGTAGATTCTCTACGGGGTTCAGGTCAGGTGAGTTGGCCAATCATGCACAGTAACACCATGGTCAGAAAAACAGTTCCTAGTGGTTTCGGCATCTCCATACAGAAAGGGCGTCACTTTGTGTGAGAAAGGTGGTGGGGACAAGGAGCGTGACAATACACTTAACTCACGAGATGCGAGGATGCACAATATTGGGGTCACGAGAACAAGACAAGAAGATATTTCAACATTATTTTGAAGAAACATTCAATGCTGAAATATATGATTGGGGGTCAGAAGATTCTGAGCATTAATCACATAATTCTCTGCATTCTGGAGACTTTTTCTGCAGCAATTTATGGAAATTCCTTTATTTATTTAAAGGGAAACACAATCCAGATGGCAGGTGACGATTCAAAATATAAATATTTAATGGAATACAATGCAGCAATCAGTAGCTTGTTTTCTTTTAGCTTAAGTTACTTTTTTTGGACAATGCACATTTCTTTCTTCTGTATTTAAATTGCATTGTATGTTTTCTTACTGTGCAAACAAACATTTAACATTTCTCATTGCAAGCTATTTTTCAGAACATTTTTAACAAATTATACTTGTCCCCAACGTCCCCAGTGTAAATGACACCTATGCCATAAAGCTTGTCTGCAGATGGAAGCAGGAAGTGCTCTAAAATCTCCTGGGAGGCGCTGCATTGACTCTGGACTGGATAAAATACAGTGGCCCAACACCAGCAGATGACATGGCACCCCAGGTCGTCCCTGACTGTGGAAACGTCACACTGGATTGCAAGCAAAGATTCTGTGCCTCTCCACTCGTCCTCCAGACCACTGAGCAGTCCAGTTCTGTTTCTCCTTAGCCCAGGTAAGATGCTTATGATGTTATCTGTAGTTCAAGAGTGGCTTGACACTATTTAGCTCTAGACCTTCTGTGGTCCTTGTGGAGGGGGTCAATGACTGTCTTTGGACAACTGTCAGGTCAGAAGTCTTCCTCATGATTGTGGTTGTGTGTACTGAACCAGACTAAGTGATTAAAGGTTCTTCTCAGGTCGACATTTCTGCATTGTACATTGTTTATTCTAATATTTTGAAATATTGATTTTTGATTTCCATGATCTGTAACCATAAAGATTACAACAAAAAAAGGCCTAAAATATTTCACTGTATGTGGAATAAATCTAGAATATATGAAAGTTTCACTTTTTTAGGATATTCTAATTTGCACCTGAAATGCACCTGTACATCATCACTGGAACACTGCTAGGCTAACTACCATACAGGTGCTGGTCATATAATTAATCATCCAGAAGAAAAGTTGATTTATTTCAGTAATTCCATTCAAAAAGTGAAACTTGGATATTATATTCATTCATTCCACACTGACTGGTATATTTCAAATGTTTATTTCATTTAATTGTGATGATTAAAACTGACAACTAATGAAAATCCCAAATTCAGTATCTCAGAAAATCAGAATATTACTTAAGACCAATACAAAAAAAGGATTTTTAGAAATGTTGGCCAACTGAAAAGTATGAGCATGTACAGCACTCAATACTTAGTTGGGGCTCCTTTTGCCTGAATTACTGCAGCAATGCGGCGTAGCATGGAGTCCATCAGTCTGTGGCACTGCTCAGGTGTTATTAGAGCCCAGGTTGCTCTGATAGTGGCCTTCAGCTCTTCTGCATTGTTGGGTCTGGCGTATCGCATCTTCCTCTTCACAATACCCCATAGATTTTCTATAGGGTTAAGGTCAGGCCAGTTTGCTGGCCAATTAAGAACAGGGATACCATGGTCCTTAAACCAGGTACTGGTAGCTTTGGCACTGTGTGCAGGTGCCAAGTCCTGTTGGAAAATGAAAACTGCATCTCCATAAAGTTGATCAGCAGCAGGAAGCATGAAGTGCTCTAAAACTTCCTGGTAGATGGCTGCGTTGACCTTGGACCTCAGAAAACACAGTGGACCAACACCAGCAAATGACATGGCACCCCATGCATGGCATTTACTTTCATCAGAGAACATAACTTTGGACCACTCAGCAGCAGTCCAGTCCTTTTTGTCTTTAGCCCAGGCGAGACGCTTCTGACGCTGTGTCTTGTTCGAGAGTGGCTTGACACAAGGAATGCGACAGCTGAAACCCATGTCTTGCATACGTCTGTGCGTGGTGGTTCTTGAAGCACTGACTCCAGCTGCAGTCCACTCTTTGTGAATCTCCCCCACATTTTTGAATGGGATTTGTTTCACAATCCTCTCCAGGGTTATCCCTATTGCTTGTACACTTTTTTCTACCACATCTTTTCCTTCCCTTGGCCTCTCTATTAATGTGCTTGGACACAGAGCTCTGTGAACAGCCAGCCTCTTTAGCGATGACCTTTTGTGTCTTGCCCTCCTTGTGCAAGGTGTCAATGGTCGTCCTTCGGACAGCTGTCAAGTCAGCAGTCTTCCCCATGATTGTGTAGCCTACAGAACTAGACTGAGAGACCATTTAAAGGTCTTTGCAGGTGTTTTGAGTTAATTAGCTGATTAGAGTGTGGCACCAGCTGTCTTCAATATTGAACCTTTTCACAATATTCTAATTTTCTGAGATACTGATTTTGGGGTTTTCATTAGTTGTCAGTTATAATCTTCAAAATTAAAAGGAATGAACACTTGAAATATATCAGTCTGTGTGGAATGAATGTATACATTATACAAATTTCACTTTTTGAATGGAATTACTGAAATAAATCAACTTTTTGATGATATTCTAATTATATGACCAGCACCTGTACTTCTATTGTTATCAAACAGGAGATGTAAAACATTCATTTCATGATTAGCTATGTTTTAACAACACCACGTAAAGTAGCTGTAATATCTAATACAAGATGGTAATTCATTTCACATCCTTACCAAAAACACTCCGAAAACTCTGCACTAGTGTGCCATCTGAACTCCCAAAGTCTTGAGCCTCCAGTGAGTCCAGACGCTGATAGATCCTCCTCATGTAGGGATGTGGCTGGGCCTGATGGCTCGCAGACACTTTATTGATATGTAGCATTTCCAAAATGGCTTTGTTGAGCTCCCGGTCATCCTCTGCATCTCTGTGGTGATCTATCAGCAGCAAGCTTGTGACAGAACACAGCAGGAGGAAGACCCGCGTTACATCAAAAAATCCCAAATAGACTCCTTGGGCCATTGTGAGATTAAATTATTTCCAACCGGTCTAATATGATCCTGTGCCTGCACTTCTTTTTCTGTGCTGTTGAAACTTCCACCTGCCAGGCTATTGTAACAGTGTGTGCACTGTAGGTATGCAGGAACCACAGGGGCTGTCACGACTTAGTGATTCTGAAGCTGAGGAATGTTACTTCCTTTTAATAAACACTCTACCACAGACTGTAACGTGCCACAGTCCTGCACTGCTCTCAACAAGCAACCGCTGGGCTGATGCACTGACTGGAAAGACTCCACTGTGACTTGAAGGAAACACTAGACATGAGCAACAAGGTATGACTGTGACTGAAATTACTGCAGGTTCTATAAAATGAGCTGCATGGTAAACTCACATTATACTTGTGTTTTCTTTATCTTTCATTCTAGATAATTCTATTAATTGCCAACTCCCACCACAAGTCTCTTCTACAAAGGATATTAATCAATTACTACAAGATAAAGTTGTATGTCTGTTCAGAGAATGTAGTAATATTTAAAGGAGACACAGTGGTCTGGTTTTTGTGCATATGACTTACTATGGCTTTGTTGTGTGTTTCCTACTTTAACAAGTCAAAATGTCTGCTAAGAACAAGGCCATAATGGAAATGCTGATAAACAGACTGTGTTTCAGTGACATGTGATTTTTTTTTTATTACCTACAAGTCAGTCAGTTTATGTTTCACCATTTCAGTTTATTTGTATATTGAGAATTGATCTGAGTTTCACAAACTGTTCACTGCTTGGGACTGCACTCCGATCGAGCTGACAGACTACTTCACGTCATGACTAAACACCACGGGTCCACTGTGACTAAACTTAGAGGGATTTGTGTTCTGGCATTTAAAGAATATACATCTGGTCTGATCTTTTTGGAAGAACAGCCGCTTCACCACCAGTTTTGATGAAACTCTGATTTCAGATTGCAGTTGAGGGTGCCTGTGTCATTTCTGGTTGACAGCATGGGTTTACTGGTTTAAATGTCTAATGTGATTTCCAGGAAACAGGTTGGTACTACATAATCAAAAAAGTATGTAGTATCAACCTTGGACAATTCATTTCAACTGGTTCGTTAAGGCAGCTAAATGGAATACCATGTATTTGGAGTGGTCATATTGTTTTCTCAGACTAACACCGACCCCTGCTGGCTTAAAACTACAGACTCAATATGTATGTATGCAATAAATTTGTCACATTTTCTCTTCAATCACTTTAAAAAGGCTTTTACACATGTTCTAGTATAAACATTTTATCTGTGGCTTTCCTTTTTAACACTGGTGTTTGTTTTCTCTAGCAACTTTAACTGGTGGATTATTGGAGCAAACTATGACAAAAAAACAAAACTTTGCATTGAAAAGAAATAACATTGAAAACAAAAAAAAGTAAAAATTTAAGATCAAATCCATGTTAACACTTTTTTATGCTGGCTTGTGGTCAAAGGCTTTACATCCGGCCAGTTTCACCATTCAGAACCAACTATATACACTTACTACTAGTTTGTTTAAAGCATACCCCAGCCTTAAGAGTAGCTAAATCATCGAGCCCCCGTAGCCTAATAGTTACATAACTGTATGTCTATGGTTTAATTCATGAGAGCACGTCATTCCCATCTCTCTCCCTGTGTTTCCTGGCTGACAAATAAAAAGCAAAATGGCTAGAAAATGATCTTTGGGTAGAGGTCAAGGTATATAGATGTGAACTTACACTCAGGAGACCACTGAGTAAGCAGTTTTTAACACGTGTTGAACATGAAAACATGATGAAAACGTCCCTCACCATTAACAAAGTGATCATTTACAATACATTTGCTCATTTAGCTGACGCTTTTATCCAAAGCAACTTACAATTGCCATGTATGTCAGAGGTCGCACGCCTCTGGAGCAACGAGGGGTTAAGTGTCTTGCTCAGAGACACAATGGTGGATGAGTCACAGCGGGGAAGTGAACCTGGGTCTCTCACACCAAAGGCATGTGTCTTATCCATGGCACCCCATTTAACCCTAGACCACAAAGTTTTACTTAACCCTAACTAAGTAATAAACACATCTATATGTCATTCTAAAGGACAAACAACACATTTGATAATCTAATTTTTAAATGTGACTTTTAGCCCACGAAAACCTAGGTTCATTCTATGGTTCATTAAAGGCTGTAAATAAACAACATTATTAGATAGTATCGTCCTTGTATGAAGCAAGCCACAAAACATACTGTTGAAAAAAGGCTTTGTTCCAAAGCTGGATTTCTAGTTATCAGCGTTGTTATAAATGTCAGTGGGATATTGAATGAGGTTTTCTTATTTTTGGAATAGAACCTGAAAGTTCCAGTTTCACTTTGGCTCTCTATAGCAAACGTGTTCGCAAACAATTGCATCCAGCAGACACAGAGCAGCATAAGCGATGATTTGGAGCCATGGTTTTGGACATTTGATGTGTGTAAGGTCAGTATTCACTCTCCTTTAGCTGTGGTTTCGGTCTGGTGTTCACCAGCTAGTCACTAACTTTGCTTCTTTGGTGCTGGGCCGGTGGTGTGCAATGGCTTAATCTGAGCTTTTTCACTAAAAACAGATGCTGGAAACCAGGTTGATTAAAGGAGTGAGACTAAGCCAAAACAGTAAAGCTGCGGGGCGTAAAACTAAAATAGTGAGCTAAAAGCCTGTTAATTGGAAGGTTCAATCCCCGGCACCTCCAGGCTGCATGTCGAAGTGTCCTTGGGCAAGATACTGAACCCCTGGTAGCTGTTCCGTATGTGAATGTTAGTTTCTAACAGTAAGTTTCTTAGGCTCAGTGAATGAAAAGTGTGTGAATGGTGTATGTAGAGTAATGTAGTGTAAAAGCGCTTTGAGTGGTCAAAAAGACTAGAAAGGTGCTATACAAATGTGGAGCAGAGTTGGTGATAATCTCTGTAGGTTCGTCAAAAGTGACAACTTTGACATTGCATATAGTAATTTGATCCATTATTGATGTAAAGATCCAGGACATCAAAGTAAAATCAAATACAAGTCCCCCCCCCCCCGCCTTTGCAGGATGTTTATCCTTTCGAGTACATGAAGTCCATTTTCTCTCCTTTGGTGTTTTCTTTACATTAGTGCACTGTTAAGCCTTTTATCTTTGCCCCTTTCTGGTCAGTAATGACAAAGCTGTCCTTTAAACCACCAGGCTCACTGGACAAGACTTTGATCTCAGAGCCTGGTGTTTGTCTTCAGGTTTTTCCGCTCCGGTTACTGATCCCGCAGCAGCAACAAGAGGAGGAAGGCGTCCTCAGTCAGTTCCTCCTGCCCTGGGCCTCTGTCCCTCCCTCTATCTCCCTCTCTACTCATCTTGCTCTCTAGTGGGTGGAGTCTGTCACTTAGGAGTGAACACGATTCTGTCAATGAGGTAGTTGCTGTTAACAGCAGAGGAGAGCAGACAGGCAGGAAGAAAGAAGAAACACCAGATGTTGGTAGATCAGGTAAGGACATGTCTAAATGTCTGTCTCTGCTGGGGATCTCTAGCTTTCCTGTTGAGGAACATAATACGATGTTTGCTCGGATGTCTTTTTCTTCTTCTCCCTCTTTTTTTATTCAGTTTTTTCTTAATGATCAACATCTGCACTGTGTTTGTCTTCCCTCTTCATCTCATTATTTTGAGAAGCCTGCCTCTTATTGCCTCATAATATTTATCAGAATACTCTGAATATTAACTGATGCCTCAGTAAACTCCTGTAGTCTAAATGTGTCAAATATTTTTGTCAGTTCATGGATTTTAATTAGCATCACCAGATGTACTGTACATTTAAGAAAATCTGGCTTACAAGAGTTGAACGTACCCACCACCATCAATGGGAAAATTTAACATGGCCTACATGCTCTTTTGCACAAAAAGTGCACAAAACTGCACTTTCACCCGTTTGTCACATATTCAGCTCTTGTTTTCAGGAGTTGTGCAGTGTATTTGGAAGTTTTTTAAGGCTTTATGTTGCAATTTCTGGATTATTCTGCTGCACAAATGCCAAATGTTATGCGCTCATGTTTGCAACAGAATGCTTTCTTCTTCCCCGATGGCTCGCCTTTCTTTTGAAATTGCTGGCTGCTAAGGACCCTGTCATTATTAAGATTAGAAGAAGACGCTGCTGTGAATGGATGTAACCGACATTCCCAGCTGTGGAGCGTAGCCACTTCTTATATGACACATCACATTCCCCCACAGCTGTTTGTTTTGTGTTCATCATTAGTTTGTGGTTTGGGAAAGGCAGGATGAAATTATGCTGGGTTATGGAGGGTTTACTTATAGAGAGGGTAGACTTCTGAGACACTATTTGACTTTTATGACCTCTGATTGTTATTTTATGCTTGTGCTATGTTATCTTTCCAAGGGGGAGGTGGGGTAAACAGACAGAAAGCACATGTTCTCATGTTCTGTTTTTTCCAGCTGGCATATGTAATCTGTAATCTTAATATCTCAAAACTGCCCTATATCCAAAAAACCTTTAGATATGATGTATTATATGTAGTACAAGAAGACTGGTGATTGTTGAAATGTTTTAATATACTATTTTACAGTGGGGGAAAAAAGTATTTGACCCCTTGCTGATTTTGCAGGTTTGCCCACTTACAAAGAATGCAACGATCTATAATTTTAATCATATGTACATTCTAGTGAAAGACAGAATCCCAAAGAAAATTCCAGAAAATCACATCATATGAATTTATTAAAATTGATAACCATCTGATGAGGAAAAACAAGTATTTGACCCCCTTGACAAACAGCATGTTAATATTTTGTAGAAAAGCAATTATTGGCCAGCACAGATGTCAAACGGTTTTTATAGTTGGTGACAAGGTTTGTGCACATTTCGGCAGGGATGTTGGCCCACTCCTCCCTGCAGACAGCCTCCAAATCATTCAGGTTCCGAGGTTGTCGCCTGGCAACTCGAATTTTAAGCTCCCTCCAAAGATTTTCATTTGGATTCAGGTCTGGAGACTGGCTAGGCCACTCCAGAACCTTGATGTGCTTCTTCTTCAGCCACTCTTTTGTTGCTTTGGCGGTGTGCTTAGGGTCGTTGT